AAAACGTTCTGCTGCAGTGTGCAAAACGATTGGTCAGCCAATTGCGATCAGTATTAAAGTAGAGAGGAGAGGAGAGGAGAGGAAGAGTTCTTTAGTATTAAAGTACCTAAATTTATGCTACTGGAATGTTTCAAAAGAATCAAAACCAATACACGCCCATAGAGGCGTGAAGCAATCCAGCCTAGCTGGATTTCAGTACTTCGAAGGAAAAACAAACAATCATTAACTTTGTATTGACTTCCAAGGACCGGCAATGCCAATAAGATTCAAACACACGAGGTACATAGCATCATCTAAAAGGTCACAACAGTCAGTCGGCAGTCTACCTGTTGCTAACTCCATGCGAAAAACTAAAAAACACCAAAAAGAGTAACACTTTGCTGACTAAACAAATTTCATCTATTGCACTGGGATACAACTTTTTTTGTGCAGACTGAACGTTGTAAAGAGCCAAATAACAGCAAGGAACCATGTTTGACGCACCGTGCCAAAAGATAAGGTGTGCTAGTGTCTTGTGTCGCTCCCTATGAATTTGCAGTATAACCGTATAATTGTCCTAATTTTATAACAAAAACGTTTGCGGGGGCCGGGGAGCGGGTACTTATGACATTCAGCTACGTTTCTGTAAGTATAATTATTATGTAATGGTCTGTGCTAGTGCGGCAGAAGGCTTGCCATGGCCTACGTATCCAAGAGATGACAATGGAGTAAAGGGAGAGGATGAAATCGATTCCTCTTGTAAGAAGCTGAACACTACTCTTTAGACGTCAACCTCACGTACATCCTGTCTACTTGGTACCTGTAGATCTTCAAACTGATGAAATATCTGCTGGAACGAGGGCCGGTCACGTGGTTCGTCGCTCATGCACTTCTCAGCCAGGTGACGGTACGGGTAGGGAGTGGTGGGAGGAAAGACTGGCGTGTTGCCATCCATGATCTCTTGATGGATGTCCTCCGGGAACGTCAAATGTGGATAGGGAAGCCGACGCGTAGCTATTTCCCACATCACTACGCCATAGCTGCGGCAGAAAGAGACCATACGGAAACACATGTAGTCATACACATGCACACAGGGATTGCGTGTAGGACGCGTGGGAAGAAGCCAGTTGTATTTACGCAAGTGTGGCGGGGCTTCGTCAAGACGAATAGAAAGAAAACAATACACAGTTTTCGATCCGCTTGACTAGAGATGGGGAAGGTGTTAAACATATCATAAAGCTCGGCAGAAGGGAAGTATGATGGTTTGAGGAAAAGGACTTTCAGTATCCTCTTATTGTGGACTTCCAGGGTACTCAATAACGATTTACTTAGTAGAGATGACCAGGCGGTTGAGCAATAGAGAAAATGGGGAGAATATCATCACACCATCACCATCACAAGCCCATATAGTTGGTCAATGATGCACACGAAGCCCATAGCCCTAAGGCCGTCGGGGCGTCACAGAGCAAGTATGAACAAGCGAGCGCCATAAAAATCGATCGCGTGCAGCAGCGAGCAGGGAGGGGAGAATATAGCAATGGTAAAAAAAAAAAGGCGAATGCATTCATGCAGTAGGTGGGAGCAGTGAGACACGAGGTAGCCAACAGCTTTACTGACTTTGCTACAGATATAGTCGACATGGAAACTCATCAATGAGGGAGTACTACAAGCAGGGAGTAGTACAATACTACTCCCTGACTACAAGTAACGAATTTGAATTTGATGAGGTGTTTCATGAAAATGATGCAATGGATCCAAAAGATTTTCATTCACTTGTAACTTGTAAGTGCATGTTCTTATAAGCGAGGGTGCTCTTATATTCGAAAATAAGAACATGTCCTTAAATAAAGAAAGGTAAAGGACAAAATGTTACGAGTTAAGACAAACTGTCCACCAACGTAACCAGATCTTATACAGTCAGCAAGTGCGACAAAATGGCACAAAACTGACAAGGAGTACATGTACTGAGACATTCGGCGACCTGACACCTACATGTACAGGTAGCTCCAAGACTTCTCCAAGGCGCAAACCAACAACAATAGAGAGGTTCCGCATAACGTAATTACGTTAGTAAAAAACGTAGTCGATCTACGGAAAGTCTGAACCTGCCAGCCAAGTGCGTGAGCCAGCGGACGTGGAGTGTGCCGATGGTGCCATGATGAATGCCAGCGGGATTGCTGTGGCGGAGCGCAGGTCAGCAAGCAGTGCGGCGGCGCCGAATCCGGACGTTACAGATCAGGAGTTGCACTCGGCTAGTAATACACCGGTCCAAATCGCTGACCCTGACACCATCACCGACAGCCAGGCAACGCACCTATTGGCCACACTGGATGCCGGTGAAAGCCAACCCTCTAGCACTCCCAACTTCGACACAGACGCAACAGCCACTGGGGGCCCAGCTGGATCTGCAGACGGTGCAGAGGTCCCCGACCTACCAGTCTTCCCATCACTGGACCGCACCGCATTCCGACTTGGAGAACTGACAGGGGAAGACTCTGTGACAGCCATCGTTGAGGCGTATGAGGTTGTCGTCCACTTCCGCCCCAACCTGTTCCCAGTTCCCCAGGGCACCGTCGGTCGCTCGTTCATCTCCCAGCTGAGTGCCTTCTTCCACAGCTTTGGCAGTGCCTCGGCCTCAGAAGATGTCGCACTCAAGGCGGCGATGGTCTTCCCACAGCTGATGTTACAGAACCCGCAGGGCAACCATACCAAGCCGTCTCCACAGGAACACCTAAGGAGACGTCTAGAACTTTGGCGAACAGCAAGCCTGCCGGAACTGCTCCGCGAGTCAACCACCATCCAGAAGCAGGTCCAGGACAGGCACCAGCCAGCCGCCCGATCGACCCCCCCTGACCTGGCAAGGGCGTTCGCCGCTAATGTGTCCTCCGGCAAACTACCATCCGCCCTCCGTCAGCTATCAAGTGGTGGCTGCAAAGGAGTTCTCAGCCTGGACACCACTGTCGGCACTGATACCACCCGTGACCTTCTTATCAGCAAACATCCGGCAGGGGAGCCGGCTGATGCAGAGTCTCTGCTCACGGGTGAGCCACCTGTTCAGCCCCACAGAGTGATGTTCTCAAGCCTGACCCGTGACGTCATCCGCCGGGCCGCCCTGCACACCCACGGCGCGGCTGGGCCATCGGGCATGGACGCTGATGGATGGCGGCGCATGTGCACCGCGTTCTCCGAAGCGTCGGATGAGCTGTGTGACTCGCTTGCAACATGCGCTCGTCGCATTGCTACCACATACGTCAACCCAGCGACACTGGAGGCGCTCGTCGCATGCAGATTAATAGCCCTTGACAAATCGCCGGGTGTTCGACCCATTGGTATCGGCGAAGTGGCCAGGCGCATTGTCGGCAAAGCCATCCTCACTGTCACCGGGAGAGATATCCAAGATGCAGCGGGCACCCTTCAACTGTGTGCCGGTCAGGAGTGCGGCATTGAAGCTGCCATCCATGCGATGCAAGATGTCTACCGTGAGGAGGATGCGGATGCCATATTGCTCGCCGACGCTTCGAACGCCTTCAACCGGCTTAACCGTGAAGCCTGCCTACGGAACATCCGTCACCTCTGTCCCTCTATAGCGCCAGCTGTAATCAACACCTACCGCCAACCATCCCGCCTATTCGTTGATGGAGAGTGCTTGCTATCGTGCGAGGGTACCACTCAGGGTGACCCTCTGGCCATGCCCGTATATGCGCTTGGAGTCCTCCCGCTCATCAAGAAAGTTGCAGTGCCTGGTGCGAAACAGGGCTGGTATGCGGACGATGCTGCAGCCGGTGGCAAGCTAACGCCTGTTCGCCAATGGTGGGACAATCTCGTCAGCCAAGGTCCTGGGTATGGCTACCACTGCAATGCCCAGAAGTCACTCCTCCTGGTCAAGCCCTCCAGGTACGCAGCTGCTATCGAGATGTTCGAGGGGACCGGTGTGCAGGTCACGTGTGATGGTTGCCGCCACCTTGGTGCACCTTTGGGCACGGATGAGTTTATAGAACAATTTGTCCAGTCCAAGGTCGCCACCTGGTGTGAGGAAGTTGCGCAGCTCACGACCATCGCTGCATCGCAGCCACAGGCCGCCTACTCCGCCTTCACACAGGGCCTGCAAAACAAGTGGTCCTTCCTCTGCCGGACCTCCTCCATCCCGCCATCCTTGCTTGAACCGCTGGAACACGCAATCAGCGGTCGGCTCATCCCGGCCATCACGGGTCAGGCTCCACCTGGGACAACTGTTCGCTCCCTACTCTCTCTGCCTTGCCGGCTTGGGGGACTGGGTATGGCAGACCCTTGTTCAGTGGCTGAACAGTACACCTCATCCCGAAGGATCACGGCTAGCCTCGTGTCTCGCCTGCTGGAGCAGGAGTCGTCTCTTGGCGACTCTCTGACTCAGCTCCGGACGGTCAAGGCGACGGTTCGGGCCGAGAAGCGGAGCGCGTTCAAGTCTATGGCTGACGCTCTTCGCTCGGATCACCGGGAGCTGGCCCCTGTTCTCGACCTGGCCTCAGAAAAGGGTGCATCCAGCTGGCTGACCTGCCGCCCCCTCAGCCGCCATGGTTTCACACTCAGCAAGGGAGATTTCCGGGATGGCCTGTGCCTCCGGTACGGCTGGACACCTCCTCGGCTCCCAAGCCTCTGCGTGTGCAGTAAGCCGCTGAATGTGAGTCACGCCCTGTCGTGCCCGTTTGGTGGCTTCCCGACGCTGCGACACAACGAGGTGAGGGACATCACCGCCAGAGCTCTGAGGCAGGTCGCTCACAACGTGACAGTGGAACCCCACCTCCAGCCCGTCACCGGAGAGGCCTTCCGCCATCGCACAGCTGTCACGGAGGAGCAAGCTCGGCTGGACGTTGCGGCTAGTGGTGTGTGGGGTGGCCGATTCGAGCGCATCTTTATTGATGTACGGGTGTTCAACCCTTTTGCGTCTTCGAATCGTGCCACCTCCCTCGCTGCTAGCTACAGACGCCATGAACAGGAAAAGCGCCGGAAGTACGAGGAGCGAGTACGTGAAGTTGAGCATGCCTCCTTCGTGCCCGTTGTGCTCTCTGCCTCTGGTGGCTATGGCAAGCATGCCAATGCTCTTTTCACGCGGATCGCCTCTCTCCTGGCTGAGAAGAGTAAGGAGCCATACGGGCAGGTTATCTCCTTGCTGCGCTGCCGCCTTGGGTTTGCCCTGGTGCGTTGTGGTGCTATGTGCCTGCGTGGCTCAAGGAGCATGTTTGCTCCTGCCATGCCTGAGTCCCCTGCTGTGCTAGTGGCGGCGGAGGCACGCATCCAGTGAACCTGCACAGTGCAGTGATCCTCCTGAGTGACAGACTCTGTAAATACTGTATATGATGATTCGTTTTTATATATGTGTTGATTCTTCACAAAATGTGTTATTTTGCCCGTACAAGAGGCTCAGTTTTCCGTGGGAAAAAAAAAAAAAAAATCTACGGAAAGTCTTACGTAAACTGCATGCGAATCTGGGTTCCGCCACACGGAGTTTTCAAATCACGTAGCTGCCCTTGACAACTCCGAACGCGGCAGTGTACGACCAGATCGACCTGGGGAGAGAGTCATAAATTTGTACCCCAATCCACTTACGGACCAGCTACGTTATCAGAGCCCTATCTACGTACTCTCCGTAGACAACTTTCCGTAAGTGGAGTGCAAACTCGCGAATTCACGGGTTTTTCCCGCCCACTAACGTAAAGTTGCTCAACTTTACGTTGTGCGGAACCTCTCTAATGACTGTATAAGATCTGGTTACGTTGGTGGACAGTTTGTCAGAACTCGTAACATGTTGTCCTTTACCTTTCTTTATCCCAACTATATTGGCTCACCATCCGAGTTCAAATGTCCTTAAATGCGCGAGATTACGGTACGTAATAGTATATTAACATTGATGTCCTAGATCCTACCGGAGGATGTACCCAGAGTGCTGACAGTGCTCAACACCGCGGAGGCAGAGCGCAATACAAAACAGAACAACAAGGATGTCCTTGTTGTTCTGTCCTGGATCCTAGAAGTGCACCCCCTATTTGAAAGGCAGTCCACGGTAGGCTTTCCCCAAATCGGCCGGCTGAAAAATTCGCCGAAAACGAGACTTACCGAAAATCGCTAAGCTTTTCGCCGATTTTGGAGGGTTGCTTTGAGAATCGCCGAAAATCTCTACCAAATCTTTCAATATCTCACCAATTTTGAAGCCAATATGCCGACAATTCTTCTAGCCGATTTTATATTCCAATTTGCAGCCGATTTTCGAACAATCAGCTTTAATATTTTGCAGGAGAATCTGTTGTATCGTTGAGCCGAGCGAAAAGCCGAATAAGCGAAAAACGGGCCGATTTGGGGAAAGCCTAGTGGGAAGTACTTGCAAAACTGGACTGCAAAGAGCAAAATCAACAAGACAAGACTGGCAAGACTCACCTGTAAACATCGGACTTTTCAGTGTAACTATTCTCAGTCAGTGTCTCTGGAGCTCTCCATCTGTCGGTTCCAACACCACACGTCATTCCAACTCGTGATGGCAGCTGTGAGGCCGTGAAACAGTGAGGTGGAGTACTCTCTGTGACGACAGTTGTCATGGTTACTAAGGGATGAACACTTGCACTAGTTGCAGAGGTCCGATTTGCAGATACTAGTGACAGTTCCTCATCGCCCAGAAGTGGACTGGCGACATCACAGCTGCTCTGGTGTATTGGATTTGAAGAAGGTTGGCATTCAGGAACCGTTGGTTGAAACACTGTCTCGTTTTCACTCCTGTCTGCTGTTGCATGATCGTGTGGAACGCTTGCTGCCGGAGTGTTTGCATGGGAATCGCTACTGGATTCCTCCCCTGATTGCGAACGATCTTTACTTTCCAGTAGGGCAAGATACCTAGTGAACTCTAAATCTCCGATTTTCACCACCCACTTGTCACTGACCAATAGATTTGGACTCTTGAGATCACGGTGAATCTGGGGAGGATTGGAGCTATGCAGATATCGCATGCCACGAGCGATGTCCAGAGCAAATCGAAGCATATCCTCTTGTTCTAGTTGAACTTCTGGATTATGGAGATTGTCGTAGAGGGAACCTCGTCGCAAGTACTCCATAACCAAGAATGGGCACTTGTCAGCTGTGTCCTGGCCTGCTCCAAGAAAGAGGACAATATTTGGGTGGCACAAGGATCGCAAAGTCTCGGCCTCCTCCAAGAAGATATCAAATGGTGATGAACGCCATCGCGTGTGATTGAAACGCTTGGGAAGTTTCTTGACTACAACATCCATGTCACTAAGCTTTGCAAGATACACCTTGCTGTAGGTGCCCGAAGCGAGACGTTTGCTGATTGTCAAGTCCCTCCATTGCATTCGCGCTCCCCGGTTCAGTTCTGCAAGTTTCCTCAGGGACCTTTGGAGACGAACATGTTGGATTTGCATTTGTTTCTCCGTTTTCCTCAAGTCGCGACGCTTTCGTATGAACTTTACCAGGAACGCAATGCACAAAGAAAGTACCAAGGAGAAAATGATGGCTGCCAGCTGAGAAAGGTAGACTACGGGTGTGCGGCAGTTGTCGGACGGCAGGTATCCAAACTTGCAGTTGCAGTACTTCTTGTCATCTCTATCCACCAAGCATGTGCCGTGGCCATGGCAGTAGCTGTCCATGCATATGGTGTCGCATTTCCAGGCTCCAATGCCTGGTGTCGTTAAATCGCCAGGACATCTCGTACAGTTCCCTGCAATAGCAGACGAATAGTACCCTATAGGACAAGGCTCACAGGTACGGTGTTCCGAGTATCCATAGCCCAATGGACAATGTTTGTTAGTGTTCACACTCATAAAGCCTAGTAAAGTCCTATATTCATCAGTGCGGGTACCAAGACAACCGGAGAAGACGAGATCATCGACCACATGTTGGCCATAGATGGAGAAGTTGAAAAAGGGTACAACCTTAACTGTGGTGTTTGCTCCATGCTCACGGAATTGAAAAAGCAATGCAGCATTCGCGGATATGGGATCATTAAGGTCATCCGGTCTCTGAGCAATGAATCCGCCTAGCAGTAAAAATGAATTGTTCAAGTACGAAGACAAAGAATGGTAGAAGCGCATGGTCACTGGCCGTGACAAAGGAATCTTGCGGAGATGTATGAACGAGAGGCTCTTAATTGACATCAACAACACGTGATCGGTCATTATTTCAGGTCTACTAGTATTGATGCTTCTTGGACTTTCTTCATTGAACACGTTATAATCACCGAACAGAATAATATCATCACCATACATCGTTGCAGAATGCCCCCACTGACTGGGAAGTTTCTCACCGAAAACATTATCAGTCAGTTGGGTCCACGTACCGGAGCACGACTGCTCATCTCTTATCTGCAGCACCCATAAGTCACTGTAAACCATTGTCGCGTCTTGCCCACCCTGTATCACCAAACTGTTGTGATTGTGCTTGAATGCCACGTGGTCTCTTCGAGGCATGGGTGTGGGCTGGGATGGATGTGTCTTAAGGCGTCGCCAGTAGGTTGTGGAATCGACTACAAGGTACTCAATTTGGATCGACAAACACCAAATCGACTCAGGGTAATCATAGCTTTGGTTTATTGTCTGAGAACCGCCAAAGAGAATTCCCATGGATGGCCGGACGGATGTAAATGTGTGGCCTATGCGATTATACTGCAGTGGTGATGGTGAAGGATGCTTAGCGAATATTGTTGATGATTCGAACGGTTTGTATATAAGTTGCCAAACAACAATAGGGGATGGGGTCTGAGATGGGGTATAGCGAATGTCAATACCAGCTGTTCGTTCGGGACAGTAGGAACCAATAAAAATATATATTGACTTGTTTTGCCAAAGCGGTGCAGACAACGGACGTGCATTGACGCAGCCCTGAAAGCCTGGAAAATATATCCGAACATCAATATCCGGCTTATGCGCGATCCTTAGCTGGGACGTATTTGGTTTCAATTGGGTGTCCTGCTGTAAAATGAAACTTTTTTTGCTGTCCTGTCCATGAAACACGATGTGGAATTCGTCAGTTAGGCTGGATAACAATGAAAACCAAGGCATGCTATGCGTATAGCTCATTACTCGCACCTCTGAAAGTTTTCCTTTCGCTTCGCAGTGAATCCGGCCGTTGCCTAGAGTTGGCAGTGCGCACAGATACAGGGTAAATGGTCCATGCGGAACTGAGTATGCCACAATCGTTGTTCGTAAGTCGCTGAAATAAGCAACTTGCAAGTTATTGTAAAACTCTCTCATCATACTTGAAGTACTGATATCGCCTCTTGGAGAGTAGATAGATGGGAAATTGGATGGCAGTTCGAACCACGTACCTTGTTCGATATTGTAGATCCAGAAATCGTTCAACATTCGTACCTGGATGGGTTGGGAAGATTCATGCGCTTCCACTCCACCGAACAGCAGTAACTCGGAATCACCTATGGATATTAGAGCGGGGTTTGATCTCGGGCTTGGAGAGCGAGCATTTACTAACTGTTGCCCCGCTTTTGTCCATTCTGCCGGTACGGATGTGTCGGATATGTCGATAGTGATCTGGAAAATATCCGTGGAGAAGCGGACACACTCAGTGTCGCTGATGTCGTTACAATATGATCCTCCGTACGATATGAGTGTGAACATGGACGATGACGTATTGGTCGGTATGGTAACAAGACCAGGTAAGACAAACACCTCGTGAACACCAGATAGCAGCGCGGGTCAGTGTCGATCATGGAGGCGCTGAACAAGCGCTGAGGACCATTCGCCATTCACACCGTTGTTGCCTCCAAACCATCTAATTCGCAAGCCCTTCCCCAACTATCGCCGAAGTCGCACCAACGTCTTCTTCACATTGTTGTCCCCAGCGCGAGCTTGCGAATTAGATGGTATGGAGGCAACAACGTTGTGAATGACCAATAGTCCTCAGCGCTTGTTCAGCACCTCCATGAGCGGCACTGACTCACGCTGCTATCTCGTGTTCACGAGGTGTCTGTCGCGCTGGAAACGGAGCGTCGCCTCTGTAAATGATGTGTATCTCTGGTGATGTTTGTGCCTGGAGAGCACTATATAGGTGGTGCTCTTCAGGCACAATCTTCCTCAGCCTACTCAAGCTCCACTGATGAGGTGTGAATTCCCCGAAACACTGTGTGTTGAGCAGGGAGTGGTGCTTTCTTGCAAGCTTGCCAAATGGACGGTTCGATGGACTTCTCGTGTGCTCTAGATGACAATCGTGAGTCAGTCAAGTGAGAATTTACTGAGTCGGCAGGAAAACCGCGACGGCGCGAGCTTCCATGATGTAGGGAGCAACACACACTTCCCTAAATCAATTATTGTTCATCAATTACGTACAATCATGTACTATTTTGGACTCGGATGGAGAGCCAAGGATAAATTTATAGTAAAGAAAAAGGACTAAGAAACTACAAGCTACGCTATAATGTCCACTAACACCACCAGTTACTAAACCAGCAGCTCATGATAACATTGCACGACACTGACCGACCTTCCCCTCTTCTCACGTAAACACCTCAAATTTTACGTGAGTTTTTTTTTACTTTTGACGTAAAAGTTCACGGACGTAAGAATTTTACGTGAAACTTAACCTCTCTAATAATTTTTATGTAGACAGGAAAAGGACATTATGGAAAAGAAAGTGTAACAACTAGGCACAACACTGACTAGGCACCGGCGGATAATGCTAGCATAATAACTAGCATAATGACCCATGTGGGGAAGACCGGCACTGCCCTAGCATAAAGCCTCCAAATGTGACCTTGTCTAGCACAATCGATGTGGGAAACTAGCACTACGTCCAGATGAAAGTGTATGCTGGATGCCACCGTTGCCAGAAGCGTGTTTGGCACTGTTTGCTGCGTTTACGGAGTTGTTCAAACTGCACTGACTTGGATCTAAATATAGCATTGTGCACACTTTTTGCAAATTTGATTTCCAAATTTGCATTGCTTGTCTTAAACCGCTGTACATGTATTCTCTGATGTTTCTTCAATTTTCTTTGTGTATTATGTTTCCACCGTGTTTGCCCTGTGATACTGCCATATTCCGAGTGACTGCATAGGGAAGTCATTATTTCCCACCGCATGGATTGAAATTTTTGTAGCACTATCGGCACTGCTAGCATTATAACTAGCATAATCGCTCCAAATACTAGTAACTAGCAGTGCTAGTAGCACAATTTCCTCATATAACTAGCATTATCCGCCGGTGCCTAACACTGACAGAGTACTCGTACTGAGACATTCGACGTCCTGACACCTAGCTTCAACACATCTGCGTAGCCCTAAACAGACAGCCTTCCAACTCGGAAGGTTCAAGGTGATGGAGAGACCAAAGAGGTGAAGATTGTAGTAAAGACGCAACCTAACCTACCGCCGTACCGGTACTCAAAGGCCCGAGCGGGTACATCATACATGTACCGTACATCATACATGTACCGTACATGTACGGGGAAATGCCTCCGGATGGCTTACGGTGTTGCCCCTGAAGCGCGAGGGGTATGATCTGTCGAGTACAGAATTCCGCGATCAACTTGCCATCCGCTATGGTCGGCAGCCGCTTGCCCTGCCAGCGCAATGTGATGGTTGCGGGAAGCCTTTCTCTCTGCAGCATGTCCTTGACTGCCCGAAAGGTGGACTTATCAAGCGAGGCCACAATGATCTGCGTGATAGCGATGCAAAGCTAGCTGATATGGCATTCGGTGGTGTTGTAGTCGAGCCGATCATGGTGCCGGAGGGTGATCGGACGGGGCAGCCTGCTCTTCGGGCAGATTGGCTTGCCCGGGGTGTGTGGGAGGATAACAGGGTGGCGTTTTTTGATAATCGCATCATTGATGCCAACGCACCCAGTTACTCCCATTCATCCTGGGAAGCTACTTCCAACCGCGCTGCTAACGCGAAGAAAAAGAAGTATCGTCAGGCCTCCGAGGACCTCCGTGGGTCGTTCACACCACTGGTTTGTTCCACGGATGGGGTGCTACATCGCGAATACGCCAGCTATCAGAAGCGACTTGCTGGTCGCCTCGCCCTCAAGTGGGACAAGCCATTTTCTATCATCATGGCTTGGGTGCGAGTTCGCAGCCAATTTGCAGTGATCCATGCAGTCGACCTCCGGCTACGCGGGTCTAGAAGGCGCCTGACAGGCCTGTCGACGCAGGATGGTGCTGGGGTAGGCATCGGCCATTGAAAACTGAATTCCGTCTGTTTTACGTGGAATTTCTTGGAGTTTCCCAATGTATTGTACTTGAATAAAATTCTATTTTAACTTTCATGATATCTCAATTTTTTTCACGTCTACATGACTTTATTTTGCCCGTAAAAGAGGCCGTTACCCCGTAAAAAAAAAACATCATACATGTAACACATGTACATGTACATGTACATGTACACGTTTTGGGCGACATAAATAATACGCACCAAAAAAGAAAGAAGAATGAGAAAAATGAAGGGGGCGACAGGTACATGTACATGATACGAGATGTTAGGAGGAGAGACAGTACATTAGAAGGAGGGGAAGGATAAGACAGACAGTGCTGGGAGGAGAAGGAGAGAAAAGAAGAACAGACGTTATTTGGAATAGTATGTGGAGCGGAATTTGGAAGTCATGAGGTGAGGCAGATATGATGCTGATACTCAGAGTTATGTACCCACGACAAGTCAGTCGTTGGTCTTCAAATAGCGGTTCTCAATGTATAATGGCCCTGAGTTGACTGCAACTTTGAAGTGTTGCAAGTCTTGGTGCAGAATGGACCAGAGAAGACTCCGGCGGGCAGCTGATTCCAGACGGGGACAACTGCGTGAGGATAGGCTCGACACAGGTTGTTTCGGGAACGGACTGGAAGTTCATTTGCCAGTTGGTGTGCGTGAGCATTACATCTCTGGAACGCACTACGGGTGGAGTGGACTGTTCGGTATTGTGGCTGCTGGGGTGGTAACATAGGCTCTGTAGAAGGGGATGTGCATCCGGACAATGCACCTTGTAAAGGAGGCAAAGTTCTGCAACCATCCGACGAAGAGCAAGACTCGGCACTGAGACAACGCATCTGTTCATCACGACATCAGTGTAAAATGTCATGACGATTGTATGTGCGTAGTGTGACTTGTGTGTCCGTGTGACACTCGTCATGACACAGCATGCAATCGACTGGTGAATCTTGCACTTCGGCCTTCGCTACAATCACGCTGTCTACAAAGCGTGCTGATTCACACTCCGGTCTCCAGACTCAGTCAGTGAATGCAGATCTACCCAAAGTGCTGAGCTCATTGCTCACATGACCTGTCGCGTGACGCCGTGACCTCGATCCACGACGATCACGTCATCGGGAGCTGGAGAGTACTAAAACAAGCGGTTTTTTAGTACTCCGGCCTGCTCGAATGACCCCTTCTCTCTCTCCGGGCGACTCCAGAACTTTTTTTCCTTTCACTGACGTGATTTTGTGAAGCCCAGCTTCGCAATAACATTAATTTTTCATTCAAGCTCGTGCAAGAATTCTCTTGCATCGGTTTCTTGAGCTGTGCTGGAAGACGAGAGGCGCAGATCGCAGCTGGTGTTTTCGTGGCAGGTGATCTTTAGCTTCTAGTCACAGCCTGTGTATCGACGTGAAGCCTGAGTTTGTTTGTAAAAATACAAAATCGTGAAAAGATGCCGGGCTTTATTGACCTCGTGCGGCGGACAGATCCGTACGTGCTGTGGGTGCTGGCTATGATGTTGGCGGCGTATCTGATGAACCAGCTTGATCGGTATACGTACTCCATAACATCCAAGGACGTCTCGCGAGAGCTGATGTTCGGGGACCAGGCCTGCTTCAGCAGCTCGCCGGACAGCAATTTGACGACCAAGCAGTGCGGCAATGCGCTGGACCAGCAGAAACACTCCAACCTGCCCAACATCAGTGAGCAGGATTTCTGCAACAATCTGACCGTTGTGGAGATCAACGGCACGTATCCATATGACTATACCACGGAGCCATGTTTCTGGAATTACAACGGCCAGGGTGTCAAGTATCAGATCATCGCCGGCACGTACTTCATTCTGATCTACACGTTTGCGGGCATACCGCTCGGCTTCCTGGCGGACTCCGTGAATCGCAAGGTGATGCTGTCGATAGCGCTGTTCTTCTGGAGCGCCATGACCATACTGACAGGTCTCTCAAAGGAGTACTGGCATCTGGTGGTGCTGCGTCTCGGCCTGGGTCTGGGCGAGGCAGGCTGTACGCCCATGGCCGTCAGTATCCTGTCGGACTACTTCCCGGCCGACCTGCGTGGCTCGGCGCTGGGCGTTTACAACTGGGGCATCTACACCGGCTACAGCATGTCCTACGCACTGGCCAACGGCATCAAGACGACCCTGGGCTGGAGGTACGTCTTCTACATCTCGGGCGCCATTGGCTGTGCGCTGGCCCCGCTCATCTTCTTCACCGTCAAGGAGCCGCAGCGCAACCAGAACCCGGCGAACGGCGAGCGTGCGCCCATGCCCAAGGAGAGCACGAGCAAGAAGGCGAAGGACTTGCTGTTCCAGTTCCTGCGTCCGGCCGTCCTGCTGCTGTGCGTCGCCGGTGGCATTCGCAACGCCGGCGGCTACGTGTGGGCGCTGAACACGGAGAACTTCTTTGAGTCGCGTGGACAGACGGCGCAGGACGTCAACAAGTTCATGTCCTGGATCCCCCTGGTCGGCGGCTCGCTGGGCGCCTTATTTGGCGGGTTCATCAGCGACCGGCTGGTGGTGAAGCGCGGTCTCAGCGCCCGTATTTGGGTGCTGGTCATCAGCCAGGTGGCGGCGGCACCGTTTGCAGCCGGCGCGCTCTACTTCGAGGCACCGTACTCATACCTGTGCCTCATACCCAGTAACGTCATCGGCGAGATGTGGGTCGGCGTCACCATCGCCATTCTGGTCGAGCTGGTGCCGTCGCGTCTGCGCACCAGCTCCGTGGCCGTCTACCTCTTCATCATCTCAAACATCGGCGGCAACGCCAACCTCATCGTGCCCTACCTGAAGACCTACTTCCAGAACCTGCTCAGCCTGCCAAAGTCGTCGTACATCCCGCTTCGCAACGCCCTACTGCTCATGTTCCCCGGTATGTACCTGCTCAGCAGTGTTCTCTTTCTGGCCGAGTTCTTCGTCCTGCGGCTGGACAAGCAGCGTAAAGAAGAGGAGCGCAAGGCGGAGGAGAACCCGCACGACGAGACCAGCCCGCTCCTCTCCGGCGACAAAGTCACCCACACGAGCCTGGACGGAGACGACGAAGCAGGCTTGGTTCAGAACCAGTCGTAACGTGAGTGTGCACAGACAGATCTTGCATGGAAGATGGGAACATCAGCAAATCTCCCTGCTGCACCCTGGTAGCATCCCTCCTCAAACATGTACACACTTCATGGCTATATCAATTATTTAGAAATCTTTTTTTATTAGCTTTTTAATCCAGCTGTGCAGGAACATGCAGTGTACGGTACGAACTGGTCCCAGTTGTTTCCGTTGCATGCGTACAAATATGCACACGTCTAAAAAATATGGTAGGAGCTTTCTGTGTAAGTACTCGTTTTTGCGAAGGTGTAGCTAGCCATGTCATGGCATGCATGCCGTGCGCACGGGCAGTAGTAGTAGTGGTACGTTACCCGACCGCCGACACCAGTCCTGTGTTTCGCACGCTGCCTGCGTCCAGGTGTTTGTGTTTGCGTTGCTGCGCTGCGGTCTTCCCTCGACGTCTACGCTCTCTTTGATCAATTTGAGCAGGTCGTGCTCTGATGTTGAAGCACTGAGTACTTTTCTATTGTTTTATTTCTCTTTGCAACAAGAGGTGTTTTTTTACTGTTGTTGTTGATGATCATTATTCTACTGTTCGTTGACATGATAGCTCGTACGATGGAGTTCTTTGCTTTCTAGTTTCTATTTTTGTCATGCTGCAACCGCAGTGGTCTGAAATGTGTTTGGTACTGTGCGTCATGCGGCACCCCCTTCGCCACTGCATACGCACCTTTTTTTTGTTTTGTTTTACTTTATCAAGTCCTTCTCTGCACGGAACTTCAAAACGATTTTTGAGAGAATTTTCAACTTCTGACCGAGGATAAATCACTATGTAAAGTTACGTTTTGTTTTTCTATTCTTTTGTACTTTCGAAATGTGATTGTTGTTGTACATCTGATCACTGGTTGGAATTATTTTACTTTAGAATACTACAGAGAGATCGAAATCTGATATTGATATTATTATGACTTTGAATGTCCTTCGCTGTCCTCTGGTGTGATGTGGTTGTGCCGTGCTCACGTAGTGGTGTGTGGCGTGACAGTACTCAGTCGCGTACTATACACAAGGACAGTATGTATAGGCATACATGTACATGTATAATGAACGGTCTTTCCTGTTAGCTCTGTTTGTCCAGTACATGAGATACACCGTCCTTTCTTGTTGTTTTTCCCTCTACATGTAGCTGCTTGCAGCATGGTAAACGACAGTATCATGGCCTTTCAGATTTTCATTGTACCTACATGTATTTGTAGTACCTCCCAGGATCAGTATCTCCACTTGAAACAATATTCACTGTGACCCAAATACCTCATTCTTAGCATTCTTTTATTCGCTTCCATGTAATTGGGCTTATTGCCCGTTTGGTATTGCGAATTCAAATAAAAAGAACAACACAGTAAAACTCCCCAGATACGGACGTCCCTAATCCGGGCACGTCCGTCCACCGGGCACCCATCTGACCCATCTAGAGTGATTGGCATAACATTTTTTTTAATTTTTTAGGGCTGAAACGATCGTGGATCATGTTTCACGTATCGATTACTCTTTCTTAACGATCGAGTAATCGATTATAATCGTTAGCAAAATAGTGTCATAACTGTGCAAACATTACTCTGTTTCCACAAACTATGCCTTCATAATACCAACAAATCTGCATTAGTGAAAGGGTAGCTCCGAAACATGGCAGTTTTGAAGTCAATTTGACCTCAGAACATGAACCATACCCCTGGCAACTGTATACCGTCCCAGCGGAAACTGATTCAAACTTCACAAAACGAGGGTGTACACTGTACAGTGGTTTCTGGTAGGGCTGAGTCGGGTAGCATTTTCTTCGGGTATCGGGTCCGGGTAGTTTTCCACGGGTAGCACGGGTACCCGATCGGGTAATGTTTCCGTGGTAAGACCACAATGCACACCGGCCCCTTCCCTTGCGCATTGGGTAGACATGCGTGAATTATTTGTACACGTGCACTGTGCATGATGTCATCTGCGACTTCGGGTTTTCGGGTACTATTACTAGAGAGGTTAAGTTTCACGTAAAAGTCTTACGTCCGTGAACTTTTACGTCAAAAAGTGAAAAAACTCACGTAAAATTTGACGTGTTTTACGTGAGTTGACTGTCCCGCACGTAAGTTCATGACGTGAGTTTTTGGAAGTTTCGTTTGGTTATCCCGACCGAATTTGTGTGAGTTTCCGGAATTTTATCGAGATTTATCAAGTTTGTTGGAAGATTTGATATTTGTGCGAACTAAACCCGAATCCTGCCAGGCAAAATTTCACGTCACGTCGCACGTGTAACTTAACCTCTAAAAATTACACGTAACGTGAGATTTGCACCGCGTTTTGAAAAAGGGCAAAAAACGTGTAACTTAACCTCTCTATTCGGTACCCGATTACCCGAGGTCCTCACGGGTAGCACGGGTACCCGACTACCCGTGCACACCACTACTTTCTGGACACAAATTTAAAAAAAGCAAAATAATCGTAATCGGTAATCTAAACGATTGCTCGATCGTTAGAGTTATCAAACGAGTACTCGATTATTCTGTATAATCGTTTCAGCCCTAATTTTTTTACTTGCATTCAGTATTCTAAAGTGGGTAAGGTCTGACTTCCGGACAATTCCTAGTTACAGACACTGCTCGGTCCCAACTAACTATTACTTGCCTGGAGCTGGGCACTTTCACTCTACAGGCAGTCACCTATACATGTGTACTCATTAAAGTTAAATGCTCATTTCTGTTCCCTGGGCAACTGGCGACAGACAGCCGGCGGTCCGTCGCCAGTTGCCCAGGGAACAGAAACGAACATCTATCTAGCCGGAATGCCCCTACCGTTTAGAGTTCTTCGAATCACAATACACACTGTACAGTCATGTAGCTACAGTATAAAAAGTTTGTCGAACCCGAGTCCTGAATGAAGGCTGATGGCTGAACCAGCGGGCTCACAGTGAATCCAAATCGGCGCAACCAACATATGCACATGTATAATTTATAAACTCATTACGCGTACCACAACAATTATGTAAGTCTGTGTGTTCTCAGGTTCAAGTGCGGCACGGCAAGCCACCTTGCTTTCCAGTGACCCAAAAGCCAACCAACAACCCTACATGTACTACAAAGCAAGAGAGTACATAACCCTGGGCACTGGAGAGTACATAACCCTGGGTTTTGTACTCTACAGTGCACCAACTAGTGTCACATTTATTGATTTATTTTTTGAAAAACGTAAAAATGTTTGGCACCTATGAAATCAGGGGATGGCCCACGCCTGGTAAAAAAACTCTCTAGTAGTAGTAGTAGTAGATTGTACCACACACAGATGTACTAGTACTTCATCTGACTAAATTAGAAACAAAAAGAGTTTGAAAGACCTGTCGTAAACTTGTCTCAACATATCGAATAAGAACCAAGTGCTGGAGCACACACACACGCACTCACACGCACACGCACACACACACACACACACACACACACACACACACACACACACACACGGCACACACACACGCACACACACACACACACACACCGTGACACACACACACACACACGGCACACACACACGCACACACACACGGCACACACACACGCACACGTAGCGTAACGAGTATGCTGCCTAGCACATGGACATACAAGCACTGGTGCCGGTGTACTACGTGTACACTCACGTAGTACGGGTATACAATAACATGTAGGTAGTACGCAACACAACTATGATGCCTTCATGGCACCAGTACAGTGTTGTCAACAGCGGTTGTCCGTACCGTATTAGGAACAGCAACTGTTGTGCACTCTTCATGCATAATAATATTAATAACATGGATGTGATGTCTCCATCAGTTGATCATAATCATAGTAAAAATTATAATTCCAGATTTTCATGTGCCCCTATTTGCAAAGCTGCATGCACTGTTTTTGTATGAAGTTAAACAAAATATTTTTAAATTCGTAAATTGTCGTCTCCGTTCCCGGGGAACTCACGGTGGTGCCGGGAGTAATCCAGCATCTACATCTGTATACGGCTAACAGCTATTATGATGTCCAGAGCGTGCAACTCTGAACCATGCCCAGTGCATATCACAATCCCTGGCCTACACATCATTGCTATCCTGACAGACTGTCAGTGCATACCAAGTTAGTTGCATTTGTGCAGGAGTACTCTTCTCACCCAGCCAGGGGTACTTTATTCGCGGTTGAGAGTACGCAGAGCTGAGACAGGCCGCTACAGCCTGATGATGTTGATCGGGAATTTTGACTGAACTCTACCCAAGGGCGTGGCACACTCTGCGGATGGGTTGCCATGGTTACCGGTGCTCCTGTACAAATGCTAGTTCAGAATTCAGCGCCACACTGGCCAGTCTCATCCTTAGAGCTGGACATCGCACTCGTAACCATAGAAACCTGTATCGGGCGTGAGTGTGGAGCTAGTGGCAGCTGTCCCGGAACTGTCGCTCTGCGAGGCGATGCTCGTTGAGCTGACCTGACGTGAGGTCTTCTTGCCGTCTACTTCCAATGGAGGGTATCGTCCAGCGTAAAGTTGCTGTATTGCTGAGCCACCACCACCACCACCTCCGCCACCGCCCCCGCTGCTGGTGTTGCTAGCACGCTGGGCACTTGACGACGCCACCACATTCTTACGGGTCAGCGGCAGTGGGATAGCGTGGTCTTCGTGTAGCTGCGGCCGTGGCATGCCACTTGCATAGCCACCGGGTAACTCCTTGTTGGACTCATGATGGCTCCTTGATGACAACGGTACGTGCATGGAACCAAAGTTGTGATAGTGGCGAGTATCACTGACAGCGGTGGCGGCAGCGCGGTTCAGCTGACTGCCAAAGGACGCGGCCGGCGTGAGATCGTTCTCTTGCATGCTGGCCACGCCGAAGCTGACCGTGTCCTCCGTGATCTCACCCCGATGGGCTACGCTCCACTGGTGTTCATGTGCAGCTGCTGCTGCTGCCGTCGACTTGTCAACAGTAGGCGGTGCGGTCAGCCTGTCCAGATGCCAATGCTTCGATGCCGTGCTGACCCCCGCTGACCTAGCACCCAGATAGTACTGAGAGCCACGCGAGCCGCTGTACTCCGTGCTGGCGCGTCTGTAGATCTCCGCCGTCGACAGTCCCGTCTCGACGGACTGATGGAGTTGGTGCTTGAAGTTCCAAGAGCCGCGAGAGTGTCGCTTTCGCTCGACATCCGGCGGCTGCTCTGGGTCAGCTCCGTGCTCAGGAGCTACTGTATCCTGTGTTTCGGAAAGCTTGCGCCGCTTCATCGCCCCAGGTCGTGGCGAAGTCGAGCGGTATAGCATGTGCGGTGTGCCTACATCATCAGTTGACGGTACCGGTATGGGCTCTGCTTGGCCATGTACAGGTTGGTTAGCTGCTGGGACTGTTTGAACAGCATCCATGGGCAGTAGGTCTAGGCTGGACAGTGGGTATTGTTCGTAGACGTAGTGTGGGTCAGCGTCAACGGGTCTTCTGTGCGCTCCCTCGCCAGGCTGGTTCATGGGCGCCTGAACCTGCTAGCAAGACAAGTAGTGCAAGCATGCGTACACACACACACACACACATACACACACACACACACACGCACGCACGCACACACACACACACATACACACACACACACACACACACACTCTCACACACACACACACACACACACACACACACACACACACACATACAGTTACTCAGATCAGACTGCAACATTCACTTTAATTTTGATTTTTGAGTCAACCAGGACCACTTATTCTATTTTTTTATTTTTTTATTGTCTCCACTTCATGGCACATAATAATACGTAGCCAATACAAGAAAGGGAGGGTGAATCCAACCACGGAAAATAGCATTGATAAAAGAAGAAAAGGAAGGGAGGTGTCACCATGTGTCAACAGCAGGTAGCATATAATTGTGTTGTTAGTATGTTGTGCTGTAGTGATCTTCCTGGGGACAAACAACCACTGTGTGTACTGTTTTACCGTTGTCTCAAGTACAACTGTTTAAAAGTCTACTTGCCATCATTGTCTGCTCTTGGAAGTGCAAGGTCTCATAAATTGTTTACAGAACAAGACACGTATTTACACAGTGTGACTTGACCATAGTATTCTTCGATTTTGTCTCCGTATTTTGAAAAAGAGTGCCCAAACTGCCGCAAGCAATAATGGATGTCACAAAAATCCCACTGCTTTAATTAGAACAGCCCCATTGCGCTCTGAAGAAGCAAATTATTGCCGGCACAACTCCAATAGTGCGTTGGATGAGTTTGAAGTTTTACCGTATATTAACTTTTGTTAAAGGGGAAGTTAAGGCAAAAATTAAAATTTCACCAGTTGTAGTCTTCGGGGTGCTGAGTCGAATGGTCTTGGTCCGAGAAAGCTGAGACGCTCCCTTCCTACTTGAATCCCAATCGAACTCGCGCACTTCCACCGAAACTGGGTGACTGCGCCCTACGAGATGGGGATTTGTATGCAAAATGTCACTAAAAGCGCCATTTCGTTCTTATAAAAGCACGGATGACCGCGATTGGCCCATATGTTGTAGTCTTTTGGACGCTGAGTCGACTGGTTTTGGTCCGAAAAGGCTGCGATGCAGCGTTCCTCCTTTATTCCCAATCGAACATGGTTGAAGAAGCGGTCACGTGCTCCTGGGTGCCAAAATCACCTGGTCACCACGCCAGCAGGCGACAACTTTCACACCAAGGTTCAACTCGAGTGACAGGACTGCACCCAAAAAAGGTCAAAACAGGCTGTAAGTTGTACCCTGCAGGCACGGTGACCAGGTGACTGGTGTACGCAGGAGCACGTGACCGCTTGTTCAACCATGTTCGATTGGGAATTAGGGGCGAACGCTGCATCGCAGCCTTTTCGGACCAAAACCAGTCGACTCAGCGTCCAAAAGACTACAACATATGGGCCAATCGCGGTCATCCGTGCTTTTATAAGAACGAAATGGCGCTTTTAGTGACATTTTGCATACAAATCCCCATCTCGTAGGGCGCAGTCACCCAGTTTCGGTGGAAGTGCGCGAGTTCGATTGGGATTCAAGTAGGAAGGGAGCGTCTCAGCTTTCTCGGACCAAGACCATTCGACTCAGCACCCCGAAGACTACAACTGGTGAAATTTTAATTTTTGCCTTAACTTCCCCTTTAACGTTGGCCATATCAAACCAATTTCTCTTTCACAGTTGTCTTATATATTTAGGAGTTATGTGTATGAGCATACTATGCTGTACCTGCTGTTGTGATGGCTGTGTCGGGTGCCATCCGTACAGCATGTCAATGGTGGGCATTTGCAACGGTGCCGATGGGCTGACCACCTCGCTGTCGGATGATGTGGCACTGCTGCTCGGCGTGGTGGAGTCCGTACTCGTAGCGCCCTCGTCACTCGTGTACACGCCGCCTACGGGCAGGGACGCGGCCTGCCTGAGCATGCGATGCTGCTCCGCTGCCGTCGCCACTGCTGCTGCTGCTGATGCTGCTGCAGTGTCCGAGATCGGTGACAGAACTGGTGTTGTATCCGCGCTGCTGCTATTACAATATCCTGATTAAAAACGCGAATGAAAACAGTGAGAGCAGAGTGGAAAACGACAAGCTGCACATTTTGGGAAGCTCCTGGCATGTGTGCCACCCGGGTAATGCTGGGAATTTCATTGCCGAGTTATGCTTCATAAACGATCAAGCCAGGTACAGCCTTTGGTCAAATGTTGCTTGCCTCTGACCCATAGGGAAATCCTCTCATGTCTAATCCCCTATACCTAACATGTTGACATTCTATGGCTTAGACCTTGCAAGGTACTTGTGTGCACCTCAGGAGCAAAGTAGACGAATAATTAGTAATTCAGCTCACTCACTCACCTTGTCTCTCGGCTTCCATGGCTCCTGCCCGACGTTCTTTGTTGTCAGCTGCGCCGGTGGCTATTCTTGTGTGGTCGACACTGTCACTGGGTGTGCCCAGGTGTGGCACCCACTGGCTCTTTGCTCCTCCGTGCCGGCTAGGCGGGTATTTCAGAACACCATTGTGGTCTTGATGATGATGACGGGCATCTCCGGTATCATGTAGTGTGTGTGCAAGGCTCTGGAGTGTTCCCGGTTGAACCGGAGCATCGGTGAGGTCCTGGAGGCTCGGCATGCTCGACGATTTGGACGGTTTGCCATGCAGTACGATATTTTCGCCTGTGCGCTGGTACTGCAAGGTTGAATGTCGAGGGAGAGTTGGCACGAGAGAAGGAAGAACAGAGACTGCCAGCTGTTGCTGTGGTATCTGCACTCTACCTTGTGGAACGCGCTGTGTTTGGTCATGTTGCGGCGGCTCCCGCTGTTGCGGTGCAGTATCACTTCGATGGTAGGACGACGTTCGTCGAAAGATGCCCTGTCGCTCACTCACAAACACCTGCCTTGCATGGACTGGGGCAGTCAGAATGCTGTGACCTTGGCCACGGTCACCGTGGTAATGATGGCGGTGGCCTGCTTCCGAGTGTGGGTGGCTTGGTTGGCTTTGCATCAGAGTGGAGCTCTGGTTGGGAGCCATGGCATGGTTCCTCTCTGAGTGACTTGAGGAAGACGTATTGGTTCGAGAGGACTTCGCCGTATTTGATGCCGACGCGTTCCGCGCAGACTGTGATGTCATCTCCATAGGAGATGACATCAGTGAATCAGTTCTGCATGCAGGGTCAGCAGTTGGACTTACTACTCGCTGTTCAGGTTGACATGCATGCATCACTGCATGATCAGCTGACCGGTCATGTGACTCATCTTGCTGTGCAGCTGCTGAGCTTCTATTCCGGGTCAGCCTAACCCCACCACTACCACTAGCATCATGTTCACTGTCTTGGCGAGCTTGCACGATGCACGTGAACGACGCCGTGTGGCTCCTACTAGTGGACATACGCATGCCACCTCCACCGCCGCCGCCACTGTTGTTGTTGTTGTTGTTTGCACTGCGCTGCGACTCGCCGCTCACTGTACGGTCCACCAAGCTCTGGCAGCTGTCGGCGCGTCGAAACAGCACCGGGTTGTGCGAGCCGTGCAGGTGTTCACGACCCGAGCGAGTGCGGTGTATCTCGCCGTGAAGGCTGCGGGTCGAGTTATGATGCGTCGCCAGGGAGAACGACGCAGAGCTGACGCGCGATCGAAGTATGGCACCGGGCGGTGTTGGTGCTTGATCGTTTTCGTCGCCGTCGATGATGTCGTCGTCGTCATCATCGCTACTGCACGGCGGAAAGGTAACCAGTTGCAGAATATTCTGAGATGACTTGCTGGTTCTGCTACCTACCTCGTCATCTCGTCGTGTGTTTCGCTCATCTTCCTCGTCGTCCAGGCAATGGCTCGCCTCGCTGCCCAGCGATGACGTCACCTGCAGGCTCGGGTATGATGTCATGGATGACATAAGTCGCGAGGAGGCGGCGCGGGGCTGCTGCAGGACGTAGTCGTTGTGCTGGCGACGATGGTTGTCGTGGCGACGTGCAGAGGAGTATGCGGCGGCGCTCCAGTGATGCTGGTGATGGTCGCCGAGGATGTGCTGGTCGGAGCTCATGGGCAGTGAGGAATACGCCGTGCCGAGCAATGTGTGTGGTGTACGCGCCATGTCCAGGGACGAGGCAAGAATACTTTCGCTCATCATCATCGCTGCAGGGTCATCACCAACATCGCCGCCCGAATCCGTGGACTTCAGGTGCAGATAGCTGGAAAACGACGTGGACGGCGTGTCGAACGATCGCATCATCGCCACCGACGGCCGAGTGCTGAACGGAAGCGAGCCGTGCCGTTTAGCCAGGCCGATGCCGCTGTGTCGGTTCTCCTGCGAGCGCTCGGCCTTCGTAGACTCGCGACGAACAATACTCGCACTCGCTTTCGGCCTCTCGTCTACGATGTGCTCGTCTCTCAGGCTGTCATCGGCCTTGCTGTCGTGATGTTTGCCAGCAGACGGTGCTGATAGTACCCTGAATCGGTGTATCACCATGAGGATGATCAGGATGAGGAGTAGGGAACTTGCCAGAATGGCTATGAGAATTGCAGGTGATATGTCATCTGCTATGGCAGCCTCTAACTCTACCTGTTCCTGTGGACGGCTTGTCGTGTGGTAGGGGTGTGTACTGAGAGAGGATCGCCGCATGTGGAGCGGTTCGGTGGGATTTCCCGACAACAATGACGATGATGACGACGACGAAGACATCGATAGCCAGCTCTGTGCATCTGCAAAGACAGGAAAGTGTACAAGCATGGGCAGAAAGCACGCATGCGTGCACACACGCGCGCGCACACACACACACACACACACACGTGCACGCGCACACACACACAAGAGCTCATGGCACATGCAAGCACACACATGTACCACAGTCCATAGTTCATAGAGAAAACACTGCTTGAAGTTGTAGCACTTTGCCCTACACGAGGGACCGTTGCTTACTGTTAGGTACTGTCCGAAAAAGGTTTTCAAACGAGGAGCAGTGTGGGGGGGGGGGGGGCACAGTGATCAGGGAGTCGATATTTTACAACCCCTGACTGGAATGTTTATACAGAACTGTACTGTATAAGCAGAAATATTCGTCTGGAATTTAATTTTGTCTTTTCGTCCAAGGAGCTTTTGGACTAAATTAAATGCCGGACGAATGTCGATTTGTCCAGGTTTTCAATACACTCTTATGATCCATGGGCGAAATTTACAGCCGGACGAACTCCCTTTCTTTGGAGTTGGACGAAATTATTGACCGACGGAATTTTCTGCCTGTACAGTATCTGATATGTGCATGATTCATGATGTAAAGTATGTCATTGCTCACACTAGAAGTCACATGGAATCCTATCACAGTGAATCTCAAAGCATACATGTATCTCCAGGGGACATGCGATCTGTACTAAGGACCTTAGTAAGGTACTGTCCACAGGCGCAGTACAGCATTGTGTAGCCGACGTACTCTCTACTAGTCTTCGAAATGTTCAAAGTCAAATCGGACTGGAAAAGGACACGTCCTCAACACAGTACTTTATATCCGATTCAAAGAGAAAAGTACATCTAAAATACTAGGTAGGAGTTATCGCACAATACTCTCTATACATACGTGCTGGACAGAAGGCAGATTTTTTTTACTATTGACACAGCCCTACTGGAAGAATACAGGTGGATAATGCATTGTTTGTTTGCAACTCAATATTTCACACAAAGCAACAGTACTCCAGCAATCTCATTTCGCCGCAACTAAACAGCCTGGAGACGGTGGAATCACTGTGTATGTACGTGGGCAGTGGGTGTATGTTCACCGGCTAACCAAACACACACACACGCACTGCAGCGCTAGAAGGCTCAGCCAGAATCTGGAGATAATTCAAGTTATGAAAAACAAAAAATTACTAAGCACAGAATGGGTTCACAAACACACAAAGCAAAACACATGCAGAGCATGGGACGTATCTCAACTGGAATACGAAGACAACTCAAGAACAGGCCGAACTACTAACTCCACACGCCACTGCAGACACGAGCAGCAAAACAAGCGACACACACACACACACACAAACACACACACACACACACACACACACAAGTAACAGCCAAGTGCCAGCAATCAACACGACCGTTATAGAATGTTACGTTACAGTACAGACACTGTACTTCAAAGTATTTTGATGCCACTTGGTCACCACCCCATCACAGCTCCAATGCCTTGGATTACGCAGGGCTCAACAGTACTGACACCGTATTCCTATTCCTAAGCGACTTGGTCATCACCCCGTCACAGCTCCAATGCCTTGGACTGCGCCGGGCTCAGCTCCTGACTGCTCGCCTCCATCTGCATGTGCAGGGCATGCGAGAGGCTGTGAGGGGAATGCCCCATGGGAAACGGAACGTAACGCTGCTGATCTGGCAGCGGCATGGATGCCGCGGAGAGTGTGGAGGCCACGGACGCCTCGCGAAGGTGATCCACAGGGGTTACCAAGGATCCCGGCTGCAGGGCCGTGGGACTCGGCAGTCGGGGCTTAGCTATTGCCGTGGCAACCACTGCTCCTGCTCCTGCATCTGCTGGTGCTGCCACAGAGTCTGATTTGAGATCCTTCGAAGAGTTTTGCCGGCGACCATGCAAGACGAATTTCAGGCCGGAGGACTTGCTGAAGTGAGCTCCCAGGCGGTGCGTGAGCGATGGCTTGGATCGGGGAGACTTGGGTGTGCCACCGCTGCTATGTTTCTTTGATCGGCTCGACGAGGATGACGACTGCCTGGCGTGCTGCGGATGGCTCATGTCCTCGTAGCTAGCATACTGGTCTCGCAGTGACTTGGCAATGCTCGCCTGCGCCTCGTGCATTGGCACACCGCGCGGCGCGTCCATGGGTGTCAGCAGGTCGCCAGCGCTCGAGCCACCAGCCACGCCGCTTCCCTGAGACGCAGTGTTGGCCGAGGCAGCCACCGCTGTAGCAGCGGATCCAGCCGTAGTGTCACTGGCTGCTGACACGGATACGGCGGCGGACATTGGTTGTGTTACGGGAGACAGCAGGGCGCCATCCATGGGCAGATACTGCGTTGAGGGCACGGATCCGGCACTCGATGCCCCGGTGGACAGCTTCCGTGCCTTCGCACCGCCGCTGGCAGCAGCAAGCCCTGGCGTGGACGATGAGGGGCCGGGCTTGGACAAGTTGAGCGTAAGCTGCCGGCGTTCGGCGTTCATACGCAGGATGTCATTCTCGTACTGATTGCCCAGCGCAGCGGCCTGCTGCTGCAGCGGAGAAGCTAGAGTTGTGGTGGTGGTGGTCTGACCGGGAATGTCCTCGGCGCCGAACTTGAGACTCTGCATGGCGATGGGATGATCGACAACACCACCGGCAGCAGCAGCGCTCGGTGAGCGCAGCTCCACCTTGGACAGCGTGCCGGGTGATTGCGGGGTGAAGAATGGCGACCGGTCCAGGGTATTGCACGCCGAAGCAGAGCCCGAGTGTGTCGGATCACTGTGTATCACCGTCGGTCCAGCCAGCGTGCTCAACATTGGTAAGGCAGCGGCGGATGCAGAGTGAGAGGATGACGCAACGCCCGCCGCCTGCTGCAGCTGCCACATCTGATGCCCACCTCCACCGCCGCTGCCGCCACCCCGACCCATGGTCTGCGCAAGACGGAGCAGGGCCGGGTGTGAGGACTGCCGCGCCGCCATGTTGTTTCCGCTGCCGCCGGCCCCCAGCGTGTTGGCCTGGTGACGTGCCCACGGCAACGGAACGGCGCTCGGCAGGCTCTGACCGGAGCTCTGTCCACTGCCCCCACTATAGGACGATGTTCCCATGCCTGATGACAATGCCTGACCTCCGTTTCCAGTCGGTTTCCATGTACTGCTGCTCTTGGCCGACAGAGCGGATAACTTCTGGAGATCTGCGGCATTCGGGGCGGGCATCGACGTCGACCGCGACACGATTGACCCGCCGAGACCCGAATCCGTTGCCGTGGCGATTGCCGGCTGTGCGGACGGGCCCTGGTCCGCACCGGATGCGGAGCGTCGCGACTGCCGACTGGTGCTGCGCAGCTGTAACTGCTGTTGCTGCTGGTGTCGGCCCAGGCCACTAGCACTGGACTGTTGCAGCTTTCTCCACATGCTGGTGATGCGCACCACCAGTACGGTAACGCAGACCAAGAGCACGAAACCCAGAGCACCGATAACGCCGGTGAAGACGTAGGTCTCGCTGTTCGACGGCGCTTGAACGGGGCTGGATGTCGTCGGGTTGGCGGCATCTGGACACAAGACAACAGAGAATAGCAGACTACAGTCAGGCACATAGCTCGTGTACAGCCATTGTAGTTTTTTTTTACTAAGTCCACTGGTCCGGTCACCACACCAGCAAACAGCCGTCGCAGGTACTGCAGTGCTGCTCGATGAAATCCAATCGACTCACTCAAGTATGCGCCGGGCATTGCACAGCCCTAGACCTGCGAACACTGGGCTGCGAAATGATGAAAAGCTGGCAATTCATTTCGACCGCAGCACACATTCACAGCCATAAACAATCCAACCCAAGTCAAACAAAGAACGCTATCGGGAAGAAACGGTCACGAATGAAACCACCATTCATAGAACAAACATTCTGCGCCCTGAAAAAGATCTATTCGAACTTCTTTGATCAGGTGTCCTGGCTCACAGGTAGTAGTGCATATCAGCATCACTTCTGCAAAATCTGAAAACTTCACTCAATGCTGCCGTCACTACATTCGACTTACCAACAAATGTTTTGCCTAGGGCTTTCATCAAGATCGATCATATTAGCATCGTTATAGAAAAGAGAACTCACCCAATGAGAATAATCATCAGTTATCAGCAGTTCAGCCATGAGTCACGAACAGTCCCGCCGTGAGTCATTAGCAATTCCGCCGACAGTCATCAGCAGTTCAGCCACAGCAGCTCAGCCATTATAGTTAGCAGTTCCGCCATTAGTCATTAGCGGTTCCAGCATTAGTCATTAGCGGTTCCAGCATTAGTCACTAGTGGTTCCAGCATTAGTCATTAGCGGTTCCAGCATTAGTCATTAGCGGCTACAGCCTTAGTCATTCGCAGTTCCAGCACTAGTCATTCACAGTTCAGCCATCACTCATCAGCAGTTCAGTTATAAGTCATCATCAGTTACGTGTACATCAATATTCAACAGTCGAATGGATAGACAGCGACGGTGGTTAGTCTTAGCTTAGCGATCACCAGGTCAAGTTAGAAAGTACAGCCAGTAGTGCATTTCATCAGCACATCTACACAATCATATAGACTCGGATGGAGAGCCAAAGATAAATTTGAATAGAAAAGAAGATGTGCTCGAGCTGATAGCCAGTTAGTTGTAGAACGTCAGTACCGTCGGTGAGTGTCGTGCAATGATATCGCATGAGCTGATTGTCAAGTAACTGGTGCTGCTAGTGGGCATTATAACGTAACGTGTAGTTCCTTGGGCCTTTTCCTTTACATCTACACGTCCATGCACATGTAGGTAAAATGTTCAATCAAGCGAGGCCAGGGCAGGCGGTGGGCCGGTATGGTTGCGGGGACCATGACAAGACCCTCCTCCGTCACTCACAATGGTGCTGTCTCAACCATTACATACAGGAGACTACCTGGTTTCGGCACTGCGGCCTGGCCTGTAGAACCACTACTAGCATTCTTTAGCACCAAGCGTATGGAATCTGAAGTGGTTACCACGGTTTTAGACTCATATAATGCGTAACCAAAAATGTGCCGATCCCCATGGGCTGCTTGTAAAATTAGGTTTTACCTGAAAAATAAGTTCTGTTTCCTTGGCACCAAGTCATCACGAAGCTTAGGCGGACAACCTTTCTGCCACCAAGCTTTTGTTTTGATGCAAAAGCCTGCGGAAAAGTGCGGAAGTTGTCAATGGTAGCCTGCATTGGTCGGCCATTGTTTGGATCCCGTTCTGCTCGATGTGGTAGATCGCAAACAATTTGACTTTGCACAAATTGAACTCTGCATCGTGTGTACGGTATTTTTTATTCAGAAAATCGCAAAGCGTCTCTGTGTGGCTGTTCTATGCTACGAGAAACTCCAATCAGGCTCCTGTGTCCTCTGCCTTCTTGATTGAATGTCCTCTTCATTTGAACAACGAACACACTAATCGAGGACGGCTTTGCAATGAAAATGCAGCTATACTGGAGCTGAAAAAAAGAAGAAAAAACGTGCTCAGGATGAGACTCGAGTACACGCGTACTCTCCCAGCAGGTTCTGTGGATGTCGCTCATAGATGCGTAATTTCGCGTGACGAGGGGAGGGGGGGGGGGGGGGGACCGGTGATTCGGGGCCTGGGTCAGCACCTTAAAAAGTACACATGGCGCTTCATCAATGTGGCAGTCATGCAAGATCAGGGTGTATAAACAACAACAAAATCATTCAATTATTCTACATAAATCAGCCAGCAATGACTATATCATATTACCCAAGCGCCCCTTCACCGCTACCTCGATTTTTGTGATGAAAAGCACTCAAGCCTGCAAAAGTGAACAAGAAGGTTTTGTATGGGTGACAATGTCGACAGCAGATGTGCATGCAGGTCTTACCTATGCAAGATAGGTTGCTAGTAGCAACCAGGATGACCAACGCCACTAGATGCCCCCAGCTGGGGCCATGGTGAGACCGTTGTGCCGCTGTATTGCCAATGCCACCATGTGCCGTCAATGCTGGTCCCTTGCACGCTCGTGTGCAGCAGTTCGGTGTAACGTCTCCAGGCTGATCGGCGCCAGGATGTTGACGCTGAGATGACGATCGGCCTGGTGCACATTGCATAGTGATGCATTGGTTATGGCTTTGGTGTTGGTGACTGTTGTGCTGTGCAGGCATGGTCCAGCTCGGTGATGCTATCTGCTCATCTGCACAGCATTCACAACACGGCTATGTGCTACTGTGCAGCATACAGTCAGCCTGAGTGTGCATCAAGCTAGTGTTGTCTGCACAGCTGATGATGTGTAGTCAAGTCTGTGGCTCAACACACCTAGGGTGATGTGTAGCCAAGCCAGTGGCTATGCACCCCGCTACAACTATGCAGTCAAGTCTTTGGCTGTGCACACAACGGATGACGCGCCGTCTCTGCAAAGCAGAATTGCTGTTCTCAGTGTTACACTGTGGCTGCTGCTTGCGATGGTGCTGGTGCTGGTGGTGATACTGACAATAGCGATGGCATACGTTCTGCTCTACATATCCAACACACCGCTCACAGTCCACTCAGGTCGACTCGGGTTGGCTTAGCGTTAGCACGATGGCTTCACGTTGCTTCTGCCTTTGCTCTGGTGACAGCAGGGCTGCACAGCTGCTGCTACTACTGTCTACTGTGCTACTCAGGTACTATGTGCTGTCAGCTCGTGGACGCCTGGAGCAGTGTGATGCTGATGTTGACCATGTGGCTAAAAACCTAGATAGCACACAGAGCACAGACACAGCAACATAGTACAGGACTCTGTGCTCTTGTGCTGCAGAGACAAGATCAAGAGTGAGCAGAAGACCTCAAATCTTGGGACCAAGGTCCTTCAGCAACATGTCAGCTACATGATGTAGTCTGTGTTCATGCTTTCCCCTATCTTCCCTTGCAGCAGTTCTACCAGTGGAAAGGGGCGATATAATCATCATTTTCCCCGGCATCATTGTGCTCCTGATGCTGCTTCTAAATCTAGATTGCACACGATCGATGTCTGTACTGGTAATTGCCTCCACACTAGGAGGAAGGCGTTATTACTTCACAAGTCAATTGTCATCGAGTTCAAACTGAATCCTAATCGTGCCCGTCTGATTGTTGTCGAGTCTCTGGCCATACGAAGTAATCAAGTTCAGCTTGAATAGCTACATGTAGATCGTGAGCAAATACTTCAAAACATCGGCCATCAGGCATTCCAGCATGCATCCATTCCCTGCCTGATTTGCCTAGCAGACATTGATAGCGCCATACGAAGAGCAACGAGCGTGGCAATGCACAATCCCTTGCGCTCAATTCACCTGCGTAGCTCGATGAGCCAGCGCTGCGCTGATCGTCCGCTTTCCTGTATGTTGACCGCTAATCCACTTTGCGCACTGGCCACAAACGTCGTAAATACACGTGCGCCCACCACAAACGAGAGCTGCGCCTTCCGCAAGAACAAAGTTTCAAGAGAGGAACGCAGTGATCAGTTCCCTTTCTAGACCAGGAACTACGAATAGCTATGATAGCTCTGTTCGAGTGAACATTGAGCACTCTACCGAGCCGGAGGACCCATTTAGTAGACCACGAACTAAAAATTACTTGCCAGAGCTAGAGAAGTTCTATTTTTCTATTCGTGTACAATGTGAAGCATGTGTTTGTGCGCCTCGCAAAACACCCAGATTAGCTTGTACATGATTGTAGTTGTTGTAGATCGCAGAATCGAGACCAGTCTAGCATCCAGCACCTCTCACTCTTTGCCCGAGGCCAGCGGGTTTTCAGATTTAAAAAAAACGTAACGGTGAAGGCAAAACTTCGTCTGACGCAGTGACGGGGTGCGATGTCGTTCCTGTTCCTAGCCTAGGGCAACGGCTAGTGGTGACAGGTAGTCACAAACTGGAAATAACGGGTAACAGTAAGAGTTCCGCTAGGGTCGATTACACGCCACAGTCCCACTGCCGTTACCTACAAAGTTTCTGAGCAGAAAGCCAGATCGAGTGTGTATCCTTCCCGCTCAACCACTGCTGTGGACCGCTGTGTGTTCGAGACGTTGTCAACAACAATCAGGCAGCAAATCAACCATGATACCTTCAACATTACATGCCTCCAGCTCTCCGTTTTCTCTCTCTCTCGCTCCGCGTGGAACATGCAGCGGATATGGGTCGTTCAACAGTGCAGTTCCGCTGCGTCCTGCGCTCAATCGCCCCACCTAGAGCTCACATCATCAGCAATCACATCTGATGATCTGTCGAAGAAGCCGTGCTGACGTTGTGTTCTGGTGTTGCACTGCATCGCCTATAAAGCCTTCGTGTAGTCTGTAGATCAGCCAGTAGTACTACACATGCATTACATGTTTGTAGTGTAGGTATGTATATTTACAGTATAATTATGTACTGTAGATCTACAATCATCAGGATCTAGGACTAGTCGACTGTAGTGTAGGTAGATGTATGACTTTTTCGCGTAGATTTACAATCCGACTGGCAACAAACAGTCCAGCTAGCTGCCTCGATCAGTCTCCAGCATGCAACGAAGCGAGTTTCAAAGCGTATTATCGGGAGTGCCACAAAGACTATGCACGACACAGAAGCTCACAACTCCATCGCGTGTTCATGGTGTTTCCTGGAGTCGAGAATGTTCCACAGTCCACACACACACAAGATCAGAGTGAAACTGGAGAAAAAATGAGAGAACTCAAGATACGCGTATACAGATCATGGTAAAAAAATGTAGCTGACCCAAGAGACAGTCTACACGCGAAACAACAACATTCAGCACGACAGAACGCGACACATTGCCAATGCCAATAATGACATTCTGAAGTATTGAGCTATCAGCGGTTCGATTTTGCCTTGTGACATGGACATTGTCAATCGGCATTTTGAACTCAACGTGCATGGTCCGTCGGCTATCCGGCGGAACGCAAGCAAATGCACTTTCGATGTCTCGCCTCGAAGTGTCACAAAAATGATAAAACCCATGCCATGGGACTATCATAAGCTGTCAGGCTGGCTCTAGCTAAGCTAGCTAGGCGGAAAGCTCAGAGCCCATAATTGTTAGAGAGGAATTCGCTTCTTCTAGTTCTACTTTCTGGCAGGGCATGTCGCCTGGGATACAAACGTGACAATCATGACTGAGTCTGTACTAGTAGTAGTGCTAGTAGATCTACTCGTAGATCTACTGTTTTCCGAGACTGATTCTCAGTGAGAAATGGAGTAGACCATGGTAGACACAGAACAAAAAAGGACATGTACATTCATGATACATTCATGTGACTTGGCTGTACAGTTCACCATCGTCACCACAACTACAGCCGAGGCTAATACTGCGCATTCATGTAGCTAAAAAGGCCATGCAAGGTATTTTGTAGTCGGAAAATGCGATATCCTTGCAACTACACCAGTAGGCTGTTCCACAAAACAAGCATGAATCCGCTACTGCGCTAGTACCACTACCAGTCCCACTACCAGCATGCACCCGGCGGAACCACTCGTTCGGCAGGTGCTTGCACGCACGTTGCTCAGCTTTTTTTTTTCTTCTTTTCAACGTCCTGAACTGTGAAGACTGCGATAGTTCATGACATGGCCCAGCAGGCAGCCGTCAATAAAGTAAGTAAGTAGTTCGTTAGTTACATACAAGAGCAGTCAGCTCTCAACATGTCGCTTCCTGCTGGCACAAATACCTTCCCTATGCGGCAGACGAGCCCAGGCCATTCTAGATGTCTTTCAGCCCAGGCGGAAAAGCCCTGTACAAGCGCTGGCTCAGTAACAGGAGCACTAACAACATGTCCGTCCACTCCATCAGGGAGAAATTATGCACGAGGTACAAGAAACACTACACACTACAATGTCGACAGCACAAGATGTCCTTCCTGACCTTGTGGCACTGTTTACTTGGCTGGCAACTCTACAAATGCTCCTTCTTCGAAGAAGAATACAGATTTAGAACAGCGTGCCACAGGACGAGCATACCGGTAATCCTTTTCTTCTTCCTTTCCCAATGAAATGGAAAAGAAACGCCATCGTGTAACCAATATTATCATTTTGTTGTCGACAGGTAGCTGGAAAGTCAACACTACACACATACACCATCCGCCACTCACTAGCGCATAGCCGCTGCATAGAGCGGAAAATGGCACGATGGTTTCGGGCGATTTTCGCACCAACCTGCTAAAGTTCTTCCGTCCGGTTGCTCAGATACAAGCCACGAACACGCATAACACGCCAAGTAATAGTTCATTACTATACTACATACAGTAGTACGGACGCTGAACGCTGGAGTGAGAACCTGTTACCACCAGGTCACACTCACAGTAACACAAACGTACACATGCTCACACTGAAGCAGAACTGATAGTGATACACACAACACACACAAGAGAGTATGTCACGCATCCTTGACTTTTGAGCTCCGAATTTCTCACCTTATCGCGACTGCGACCCAGCGTGCGGGCGATGTCTGGCACGTCCAACTCCGCGTCGGCTTCGAAACAGCTGCACACAACTCCGATCGCTACTAGACCTTTACAGAGCTAGAGGCGGGACTGAATGTTGGAAGAATCTTCCTTGGCAAAAGGAGTTACACGGCACGGTCTGGTCGACGGCTCAAGTCAGGGCTCTTCTGCAGTTCTGCTGCATCAGAGTCTGCTGAAATGCTAGACACTGACTTGCCTACTTAGCGACTCTGTGGATCTTTGTCAAATTCTGTTGTAGGAAAGGATGGAAAGGAACGGCGCAAGTTTTCAAAAACGATGAACAAGAGTCAAGACTGCACCCAGCATACACACATATCTAGAGCAAGACGCTCGATGGAGAATCAAGTCGACTCGTGGCGAAGCGACCGAACTCGGGAATGTACTGAAACTGAAGCCTGGACGAGGCGACAAGCAGCTGCTGCGAAGACAAGTCAGTGTAGACGGTAGTGCATGGACGGGGACAGGTCGGTCTGTCTCAGTTTTGGTATGCATGCAGTGACTGACTGTAGCGGTACGCGGTGTGCTTGCACCCGCGGCGGCCTGGCGGGGTTCGCAAGGTGACATCTGACACCGCTTCGCTGCACGTGTCACACTCTCAGTATACTAGTACTAGTAGTGACCCCGCGTGTACGCGTGTCTCTTTCACTGCACTCAACCATGTACCTGATGTAGTAGTAGTAGTATTGACATATCCGCGGCAAGCCGCTTATGTACAACGGCATGGGAGAGGATAACAAAAAATGAAAATATAATTAATGTTGGGGAAATCCACGCTATTATCGAATATTCAACAATGACGGGTGTGGGGTTATACCAAATTCCCATAATGTGGAAGTACGTTATTATTGTTGAAAGCACTAGGTGATCTGCACTCTACAATGTGACCTGTGCGATTATATCGTTGAATGATTGCCTGTTCCGAGCCACCAAACGCAGTGTCTCCAGGTCCTTCAGACTCCGGAGACGCATGGACGTTGCCTTAGCTAATTCGTTGTCTATCACCACTGGTAGGGTGATGCGCGGGCGTCCGAGCCAGCCCCGATTCTGTCGCTGGAAATACGCTGTCATGCTCACCTGCGCTGGAGTTGCTTCAGGGAGGCGTAGAATATGACCAAACAGTTTCCACCGTGCTCTTCTGCTTAGTACGGATATTGGCTCGGCATTGCAGCGGGCATATAGGTCTGTGTTGGAGATAATTTCCGGGTAAGATATCCCTAATAGACGGCGGAGCTGCTTTCTGTGGAACGCATCCATTGCTGTAGCATCCCGGGATGAAAGCACCCACACGCCGCAGTTGTAGGTCAAAATAGATAGCACAAATGCATCAAACAACCTCAGGCGGGTTGCTTCAGAGATAACTTGTCTCCGCATCCACAGGTTGACAAGTGTGTTGAAGGCAGCTGCGGCTTGCTGGCGCCGGCGCTTGAGGTCTTCTGTGACTCCGTACAGTGAACCAAGCAACCGGGTGGACCTCCATCGTTCCTCACCTCTTCTTGCAACATCCTCTTCTTGGTATAGATGGGTACCTGATGTACCGCACCAAAGCAATGCAGTGCAGCATGTCTGAGTATCAACTAGGGATGATTGTGTTCAGTGACCTGGTAGTTGTACCCGGGCCTTCGCAAGAGACTGCCACCGCATGCCACCACTGGCACTGGCGCCAGTCCAGACTCCAGAGTCACCAGGTCAGGTCAGAACTCACACTGTCAAATGCAGACATACGGACCGTCGGTCACCAGGTCATCATCATAGTCTACTCGTACAGACTATGCATGCTGCAGAGCGCAGGGACATGCCAGAGACCGGGAGTTGATAACCCGGAGTTCCACTAAGCCTCCGGCCCTGGCCTGGCACAGTCGCCAGGCCCATAGACTATGTAGTAGACTACATGGTTGACTCCCTGACCGGATCATGTTACATGAATACTGGTATGTAGATCCACATCTTGACTTACTCCTTCTACAGTTCTAGCCATCCCTGGTCCCGCGGCCTTATCCAGACCTGGACCCAGGCCCAAACCCCTTGCTTTGCAACACGATGCGGTGCCCTGTCAGTGTGGGACTCGGTGTGGGAATGTGCCCCCGTCCCAGGTCTCGCGGGCCCTCGAAAACCAGGTAGGCATTGGCGGATAATGCTCGAAACAATAATTTGCAGATTTTGCTCGAAAAGCAATGGCCAGAAGAAAATCCCTTAGCCTTACTTTCCTTCCGAAGTTCGTGTACCTCTTGTGACAAGTGGCAGAACCTTACACAATGCAACACAATATTGTGGAAAGGTCACAACAATAAGAGACAAGATCAAAAGGAAAGCTTTACAATAATAAAACGTAGCCTGTAAAATGTAAAGAGTCACTGAGTGCAGTTATCCAATATCCATGTCCAGTATTTATAATAAAAAATTATCTAAGAAAGGGTTTGCTCCCCACACCGGAGCTCGCGCTATTCCGCCGACTTTACGCGACACTGACTCACGCTGCTATCTGGTGTTCACGAGGTGTTTGCCGCCCTGGAAACGGAGCGTCTCTGTAAGTTTGTATCCCTGGTGATGTTTGTGCCTGGAGAGCACTATATAAGTGGTGCTCTTCAGGCACAATCTTCCTCAGCCTACTCAAGCTCAACTGCTGAGGTGTGAATTCCCCGAAACACTGTGTATTGAGCAGGGAGTGGTGCCTTCTTGCAGGTTTGCCGAGTCGAAGGCTCGATGGACTTCTCGTGTGCTCTGGATGGCAGTCGTGAGTCAGTCAAGTGTCAAGTAAAGTCGGCGGAATAGCGCGAGCTCCGGTGTGGCGAGCAAACCCTTTCTTACAAATCATCGCCGAAGTCGCAACCACTACTTCAAAAAATAATCTGCTGCAATTAATCGAACCTTGCACTGGCTACAAACCTTATGGCGAGCACTTCCTTGAATAGACTCTGATGGAGAGCAAAGGATTTATAGGAAGAAAAAAGCACCAATCAACTGCAAGTTACGCCACTAACACCACCAGTTACTAAACAATCAACTCATGCGATAACATTGCATGACACTGACCGACGGTACTGTCGTTCTACAAGCCGTTCTTTAGAGCCACGCAAGTAAGTTAGTTGTGTGGTATGTTGCTACATGTATGCGTGTGGTTTGACCGTGTTGTCCAATGGTCTTGCCAGTACTAGTATCGTCTTCGGCATACGAGACATGACACATCCGTCAACGTCGACTTTCAGCTTGTGCTTATCTTGGTTGCGCTCACCTTCCCCTCCTCTATGTTACTTAAACTTACTTTCTATAACTTAAAACCTTCCAAGCTGGAAGGCTGTTGGAGTGCGCATCCAAGACGTGCTTACTGCTAGAGCTTATTGCCAGTTCAATAGTTGTAGAACGTCAGTAGACTCAGAACCGTTGGTCAGTGTCGTGCAATGTTATCGCATGAACTGATTGTCAAGTAACAGGTGGTATTAGTGGTAGGCCCTGGCGGATAATGCCGGCAGAATTTCGAGCAGGATATGGGTTATTTTAGAAAAGTAGCAGAATGAGCAGACTTCGGCAGAAAAGTGCAGAAGAAGGAGCAGATACTCTGCAGAACCAGGTGTGAAGTGCGGAGAGGGCTGCTGGCGCCTATTTACGGCTCCATTGTGTTCACAGGCACGTGAGAATCCTGCAGAATACGAGCAGAATGGGGCAGAATACCGGCAGAATACGAGCAGAATGTCGAGCAGAAAACGCTACCTTACCGAGCATTATCGGCCAGGGCCTAGTTAGTGGACATTATAGCGTAACCACAATGTAAGTCCCTTTTCCTTCCTACTTCCTTGAATACTGCTCCATTTCTTTATCCACATACCAAACATGCATGAAACATGCCAGAAAACGGGCTAGATCAGATCTAGGAATGGGATATTAATACACAACACAGCGCTTGTAACATTAGCTAGACATCGTAAGAACCAGGCAGTCTCTCAGATCCAGAAGAATAGCGTTCAGGACATTGCGGTCGTCTTTTCAGCTTACTTCGTATTCCTCCGGACAGTACCTGGTCGCTGCCGGTCGCTGATGTTGAGTGTTTTGCCAGCCCCAGTTTCCCTTAGCATTCACATGGGTGATGGTTTGTTGGGAACCCTGCATACTCGAAAACATACTCGGGTCACCGTCTGATGTTGATCTGTTGCGAAGTTCGCACGAAAGTCTGTGAGTACCTACGAGCAACAGGCTCACGCGTTAAGTTCGCCATCAGCCGATAACGATGGTTGTGAAACCGCGAAGCCCTGAAGTCCTGAACCTTCTCTTCTCGCCACGAAGCCTATGAAGCCTCAAGGATTCTACCGCAAACCGCATTCACCATCAAAGTCCTCCTTGACATGGAGCCTGCACACCGGTGCTTCGGCTTGACTCCGTAGATATCCTTGGTTGTGTTGTCTCCGAGATGATTCCTGGCCTGCTGCGGGGCCGGGTGGTACTTCAATGGTAAAACCAAAGCCAAAGATCAGTTTTCGCTACAGGTGTCAATTTTTTTATGATCAGGTGTCCGAGTGATCATGTAGATCTACCATGGACATGGTTGTCTGTCAGAAGTCGGACCATGGCATGAGCCGGCGATAGGACGAGCATGCAGGCAGTCACGAGACTCCAGCTCGCGATCATCGTGAGCATGAAGCCGAAGCCTGTGGACGACGAAATCACCTGGAAAGGAATGATGGGTTGGCAGGTTGGTCGCCGACCTGAGCCAGGGGAATGTCATGTTCGACTATGATGCGGATTTTCAAATGCCGTGCACGGCCAAACTCCGCCACTATCTGAACGCGTGGCGTGCTGCTTCGTCAACTCGGTAACAAGCGAGCACAAGAGAAGTGATATTTTGTAGAAGCAATTGTTTGATTTTATCCACACTTGCGTGCGGGACAAGTCTGCAAACGAAAAGTGTAGGACGTAATCAAGTCACCTGCCATTGATTGGAAGTGGACACCCAACGAACGATCATGCTGCTCGCTGGAATTCAAGTGCTCGGTAAGAAACGACATCCCATTCAGGGCATTGGATCGGATGTTTTCCAGTAAAAATGACTGTGCCGAAGAATGGAAACGATCTACAAAATTAATTGTATGTCCTGGTTCCTGAACCTTGACAAGGACTGGTGCCGAAGAAAAAAAAGAGAAAATCGTTGCTGCCTCATTGATTCATTTGCGGCTGGGTGTGGTGCCCCGATGTCGTGGGCCGTAGGTCTGCGAGTGAAAGAAACAGCCATTGGCATTGATAAGATTGCGCAGTGTGGAGCACATGTCGACCTAAATGCAGCTTCCTGGCATAACACTGAGTTCCTGTATCGATGAACCCTTTTTCGGAGGCGAGCACACTGGGCTCGCAACTTCTCGCGATCTGTCTGCAATGACGCACCATTAGTATCAAGGGTGTTACTGTGTAGCAGAATGATGGTCCGCCCAAATGGGATACTTGATCGGAAATGGCCAGTATCGACCAAGAGCACCCATTTTGCACAAAGTGGCCGTGGGTGGATCAACTTCGAAACAAGGTTTGACCATGGCCTGACCAGCCGGGCCGGGTGCTGCGGGCCCGAGTATTGCCCTCCCCCCCCCCCCCCTTACCCAACCTCTGCTCTTCTTTTCAAGCAGGGCATATGCTTCCTATTTTAAAAGAATTCGGCCAGGACCTGATAGGTGTGATGTAGAATTTAGGTCACCCCTTACAGTTTATTGGGAACTCGTGACCGGGCACAATGGAAGCATGGATGCAGCGAATGGGACCACTTTGTGGTGGGTCTGATCTACTCACCTCCCACCACTTTAGGAGCTACATCTGCGCCTTGATCCTAGAGGGTGGTGACGTTCCTGCGGCTGCGGAAACTCGGCTTCCACGAGTCTCACGCGAATCGTGAATTTTTCTCTAGGGCGTGGAGGTGGAGAAGATGACGATGTTGTGGCTGATGAATTTCTCTGTCTCCCTGCAGGTCTTCTGAGTTGCTTGCTGATTGCTAAGAGTACGGCTGCAGTAGCATTTGCTGATGTGCCTTCTGTGCCACTGAGCAATGCAGCTGTGGCTGGCTTGAGAATGCCTGTGATTGGCTTGGGAACGTGGGCGTATGGCTTTCCAGGTAGGCTCACGCATGGTGACATACATGTACATGATGATCTACGCATGGTTGGAGCAATGCCACACTTGAAGGCAGAAGAGAACAGAGACAACCGGCTAGGTGCAGTTGTCTGAGGATTGCCTTAGCTTTGCTATATGTGCATGAAATGCCACATTACAAAAATGACCTGACCGGTTGTCTCTGCTCTCTTCTGACTTTGTGGCATTGCTCCATCCTTGTGGTGTTGAGCACTCCCGGCAATCTGGAAATTCTCGCTATTGTGTATGCATGGTTGCATGCAAGCAGCTATGCGTGCATGGATGAGTTTGCACTTGTGAATGCGGACCTCCAGAAATGTGATCGCAAACGTACATACATGTACATCAATTCGGAGACAATGCAGGCACACCACGTATTAGTACAGCACGGTGCATTGACTGATTGAGAGTACAGCCATGAACCCTGTATGGTAGCAAGAATGAGTTGAGGTCATGCATGCATACATGTACATGTACCTAATGACCACTGGCCCTGAGCTCAGCTAAGGCCCTCTTCAGACTAGATACAAAACAGCCTATAAGTCACATTTACATAGCAGTTTCCAAGACAACAACAAGAATCTGGCGGGAAGCCCAAAAAGCTGCCCAATCCTTTCAGGCAGGGTGCGAACCCTTGTACAAGGCAACTTTCCTGCATTTATCGTACTTTCACCAGGCAGTTGTACGAACTTTGTACCCGGGTACGACTGTCCGCTGCTTTCACACATCCCAGGCCCCTTGCGCAATTTCGTAGGGTCAAAGGTTGACTGTATATTGCATGTAAAATGTGTAGTCTGAATGCAGGCATGGAAACATGTTGCCTTTTAGGTTTTATGTGATTTTGTACTGGATGTTCTATGTACGTAGTCTGATGAGGGCCTAAGACTGAGACCTAACAAGGTCCAAACAGCTAGGTGTCCGGATCGGTTTGAGCAGTGTCTCCTCTAGGATTTCAAACCAACCGGGTACACGTGTACCTGGCACAGCTCTTGCAACCGGGTCAGAACTGGGTACATTCAAGCGCGGCTGTGGTACATTAGGGAGTCGTAAAAATATGTTACGACTCCTTCATGTACATGATTGTACATGGAACTCTGTTCACACGTGCCAACACTAGCTGCAGCCTAGCGCCTGTCTGTCATATCAGTAGTGTGTACCCCCTTGAAAAAGTCTTGATGTGACTCCCAACCGGGTCACAGGTGACCCGGTGTCATTATTCCAAACGGGTCCACGTACCCCCCCCCCCCAAGAAAAAGCGGGTCACTGACCCGGCTCTGGAGCAGACACTGTTGGGTGCTTCATAGTACGTGTATGTGTCTCTGCATAGTGAATTGCAGACAAACCCTCACCTTTTTTGTAACATGTGCGTGTGTGTGTCGCAGGAGAAAAGTGGAACGACACCATTGGCGGAATAACAGCGGGGCAGTTTATCAAGCTTGGTGGACGACGCATTGACGGGGCTCTGGGTTACGGAGATCAAGTTAGTGAGCAGTGACTGGACATCTGTGCATGCCTTTTTTTTTGTTTGGGCGTGGCAGAGTGGTTTATAGTCATGTGTTATGAGAGTGTGTGTATACGCCGTGAGAGCAAGAGAGGGGAGACAGCGAGGTGGGAGAGAGAGAGAGAGAGAGAGAGAGAGAGAGAGAGAGAGAGAGAGAGAGAGAGAGAGAGAGAGAGAGAGAGAGAGAGAGAGAGAGAGAGAGAGAGAGAGAGGGAGGGAGGGAGGGAGGGAGGGAGGGAGGGAGGGAGGGAGGGAGGGAGGGAGGGAGGGAGGGAGGGAGGGAGGGAGGGAGGGAGGGAGGGAGGGAGGGAGGGAGGGAGAGAGAGAGAGAGAGAGAGAGAGAGAGAGAGAGAGATACAATGTGTGTGTATGTGTGTGTGTGTGTGTGAAAAAAAAAAGAAAAATAGGGATTCACTGGCCAGAAAAAGTCACTTCAATCAGCTGTGTGGTGGATACCAGGCTAAAAATAGTGGCGGTCAATTCATCAGCCTTGCAAGCTGTTGAATGGTGTAATCCCAGCACAAGTTGCTATGTCTAACATAGCTGTTCGCTATCATCGCTTCCGCGATGGGCAGGTCTGAGGTGTGTGTGTGTGTGTGTGTGTGTGTGTGCGCGCGCGCACACGTGTACACGTGTGCGCGTGTGCGTGAAAGAGATAATAGATAGAGAGACAGACAGACAGACAGACAGACAGACAGACAGACAGACAGACAGACAGACAGACAGGCAGACAGACAGACCGAGAGCTGTGAGTGTGCACAAGTGGTTTGGAGTGTATATGCCTTCGCTTGCACCCAGACAAAAGTTAGCCATCAAGCACTAGCTCCACCGTCTACAGCATGATTAGAGTACCTGTTTGTAGTCGGACTTTATTATACTAAAATCATAATGTAATAACCTTTGCTATAGCTCAACAGGTCGAATTATTATTTGATTGTCTTGTTGCTTCTGCAGGCTGGCGTGGGCAAGGGAATTCTCGCCAGCGGCATTGAACGCTCGGAGTTGTTTGTCACCTCCAAGATCCCTTGCTACGGGTACAACGAGACGCTCAAGAACGTCGATGAGGCACTGAGCACGCTGAACATGTCGTACGTCGACCTGCTGCTCATCCACTGGCCGTACTCCAAGTCCAAGGTGTTCACGACGGACCCGAACTGCAAACCGGACACCGCCGCGTCCGCCAAGACCTGCCGCCAGTCGGTGTGGCGCGCCCTGGAGGCTGTCTTCCGCTCGGGCAGGGCCCGCGCCATCGGCGTGTCCAACTTCGAGCAGAACCACCTGCAGGACATTCTCGACATGGCCGACGCGCTCGTACCGGCCGTCAACCAGGTTGAGTTCCACCCGTACTGGCACGAGGACGACCTGGTGGCGTTCTGCCAGAAGCGCAATATCACCTATAATAGCTACTCGCCGCTGAGCTGCCCTGACTGGGCGCCCAAGACGCATTTCTGGTCCAAGAAGCACGGCGCGCTCGACGAGGACGTGGTCATGCAGGCTGCCAAGGCGCACGGCAAGACACCGGCGCAGGTCGTCATCCGCTGGGCGTGGCAGCAGGGCGTGGTCGTTAACCCGCGCACGTACAGCACACAGCACATGGCCGAGAACCTGGCCGTCTTCGACTTTGAGCTGAGCGCGGCGGAGATGGCGGCCATTAGCAGCATCAAGCCGCCCAAACTGAACAAGGTGTGCCCAGATCCACACAAAGACCCTTGATAATCACTCGGTACTGGCTGAGGCTGCTGAGTTCAGCACTCTTGTGTTGGGCATAATTACACCACTGCATTCGAGAGCCTAATATTATACACAACAACAAATCCACGATCTTCATGAACTTGGCAGCCCATGGAAATATTCTGAGCCGACAACCTGCTCAGTTCAGCACTACAAGTTGTGTTGGGCACGATCATACCATGCACTGATTCGAGAGCCTTACGGATATCTTGCAGCAGCAAGTCAATATCTTCATGAAGCCCGTGGAAATTTTCTGTCCTGATACTTTAACATGACATTTGACGATTTGTATAGTCCCATTGACTTCTATTGAGATAACTGCGGGGACTTCTTTTCTCTTCTTTCGATGAATTTACCAATGTGATTCTGGTTGTATCCCCCACTGATAGTTGATGTGTGGGTGTGTTTGGGGGAGGGGTGCAAAATAGGAATGCATAAGATTACGAGTATATTCACAAAATAAAGTGAATTCCTATCTGTCCTCAATCGTCACTGAGAGGCAGAGGCAAGGGCTGTGCAAAATCTTACGACGCCTGTTCGTCATCTTGTTGCCACCCTTCAGCAAACCAGTATGTCTACTGAGTAGATTCTAATGCTGCATACATGTACATGTACATGTACATGTACATGTACAATCATGCTGTTTTGCCGGGTGATCGACCAGAACTGATCAAATGAATCAATCACTTTCGATAACACGTACATGTAATGGCATCAACTACAGTCAACTAACTGGTTACTTCGCTAATAACGACTGCGGATATAACGACAATTCGCGAATAACGACAGAATTTCCATGCCCAGAGCAAAGTCCCATCCAACTGTAATACTGTAAGCTAGTATAATGAGACTTCGGGTATAACGACACTTCGCGAATAAGGACACTTTTTTGATGCCCCGCCGAGTGTCGTTATACGCGAAGTAATTAGTTGACTGTACATAACTAAAATGATCACGTGACGTGTGCCAATGATCTGACATGATCAGACAGTACTCGGTAGTCCTGGGTCCTGGAAAGCGACAAAAATGTCACTCAGCAGGCGCTACATCGTGCTGACTTTTACAACGTTTAGTTACATGTAGCAGCCGTTCGTGTTCATCGTTTACTTCAATTCAAGTGACTTTTCTAGCGACAGGGTCAGCTCATGCCACGGTATCGGTGTGTGTGTGCTTGAGACGGAGGTCGAGTCGCGCCGGCGTATCGATCAATCGCTACCGGTACCTGACTGAATCGAACGGAAGCTGACCATCGGGGCGGAGTCGAACATTGAAGATGGCAGTGACCGCTGTCGCCCTTCTAGTTCTCTGCGTGGCTGCCTTCACTCAGGGTGAGTAGATTCTACGAGCATGCAATGCTGTTGTTGCATAGCAATGAAATTATTATTATCATTATTATACGCATTCCCGCGGCAGCGTCAACCAAGCAGTTATGCTTGATCCACATGTTCGCTTATGCTGGACATAGAAACAAAGGCAGATGTAGACAGCTCCTAGAGAATGGGGCTCTACAAAACCAATGATCGAAGTTAGTACTTCAGTAACATGGAGCGTCATAAAATTGGTCTCATTGGGAAAAATGTCATCATTGTTGTCTCCTCATGTAGCATCATGGTCAATGGGTGGCCAGATAATTAATTAATTAATAACAATGAAAACCAAAAAAACATCATGTGCAGCATGACCGAGTGCGTGCAGGCCCTGCATGCGAGAACCAAAATTAGAATTCAGGATTCTGATTTCGGACCAATGCTGCTATGCAGCTGCACTGCACTGATGCAAAGCTTGAGACTGATGAGACAGATCAGAGCACACTGACTGTCTGTCAGTCCTCACTAGCACTGTCAGGCCCTGAGCTGCAATGGTGTAGTACCGTATTTTACCCGTTACAAGTCGACCTGTTAACTAAAGACCTAAAACCCGACCTAAAAAGGGGAAGTCGACTTACAACCGGGGTATAACTGCCCCCCTTAAACTGGCAAATCGAGGCCCCAAGTCTGGAGGTCGACTTACAACCGGTAAAATTCGGTACCTGGCTCCTCGGGGGGGGGGGGGTAGCACGGCCCCCAGGTCGGTTACAGGGGCAAACCGTGAATGAATCATTACCCTGCCCTACAGTGCCCAGTTGCAGTATGCATCTCTAGCTACAGTGCTGGCAACTGAAATCCGACCCCCTAGCGGTGCGTCCACATTCTAGCGGTCTCTGTATCGTTGTTTTACCATCCCGCGTTGGGTCTTTGCGATGTGAGCGCACGGCTCGGGGGTCGGATTTCAGTTGCCATCACTGTACATGTACATGATTGTACTATGATGTAACCTAACACTGGTTAAAAACCAGTACTAGATAAACCTTGTTATAGTTCACGCAATTGTTAGATTGACAGCATGAAACAAGGTGGAGGACACTGTGTTCGGAAGGTTGTAGTAAGGTCACTGTTTCCGAACACAGTGTCCTCCACCTTGTTTCATGCTGTCAATCTAACAGTTGCATGTACATACTAGCACCTCATCAGTGCCTGGTTATTTTTAGCTACACTTTCAGTTGACAACAGTACAGACTTGCTGCTAGCATGGTCAGGGCTGTAGCACCCCCCCCCCCCCCCCCCCCACTGCTTTGAGATAGGCCAAATGGGGGGGGGGGGGGATACTTCACCGGGATCGGGAATGAGCATGGTTGACGAAAAACGACCCAGTTTATTACTGTGGGTCCTTTTTGAAAAAAAAGAAGAAAAAAGGTCCGTCCGCCCGGACCAGGTGCTACGACCCTCGTAATACTAGGCACCACTGATCAGGAAGAGCTAGCAAACCAGCACGCTTTAGTAGAATATTTCTTGAAAGAGGGGCATGAGTGCACAAATAGTCAAATAGGTTGTAATTGTTGAATCCCAGTCCAAACAAGAAAGCAACGTAGCGAGAGTCGAGAATGGAATCGAGAATCAACGAATCTAGAGTCAAGTGAGAGAGCGACAACGCAATATAAAGGGCCTGGGTAGCTATGGCAAACATGGGCGCGCAAGTAGCTACCCAGGCCAAATGAATAATGCATGAACTAATGAATTATATGAATTAATATAATTGTGGGCCTAACATAATTATAACTCTCGTGAGTAAGTACTAGTGGTTGTAATCCGTTTTTCCCGTTTTCTTTTTGTTGCTACATTGTACATGTACATGTATTGCTACTGCTAAATCTGATTTTCACAACCATGCCTGCAAACTTATCGCTGGCACGTACACACACGCACACACACACGCATGCATGCACACACACACACACACACACACCACACACACACACACACACACACACACACACACACACACACACACACACACACACACACACACACACACACACACACACACACACACACACAATGTGACATGCCTATGATTACAGTGACAGCAGCGGCATCTTCCCAGCTGAACGTGCCGCACAGTCTCGGCGATGGCCCAGTCAGTGTGCGGTTGCGCAATGCAGCCATGCCAGGTGTGATGATGCCGGTTGCTGGTCTGGGTACAGGCAACTACGGCCCACCAGGTGAGTACTCAATGAGACTGTTCTGAGCATGCACAGTACAGTGTATTTACCTACGCTGTGCATGCATGCAAGAGTGCCTTGACATTAGTATACTTCTGATTGGATGAGTACAAAGTGAGCATGCACAATCTTACACAATGCTTGTTCTGAGTGCAACCTACATGTAGCTACGTCCACCAGGCCTGTAGACACAACCAGGCGTAGTAAACAGTACGGTACTTTAGGAATTGCTATGACAGTGGTACTACTCCTGGTTGGAAGTACCGGTATATTGTATATTGTACGAGAACTCTTAGAAGTCTCAGAGGAAACTGTTTACTCTTAGAAGTACTTGCCATTTGTATAGACCTTGTAAGAGAAAGATGTGATTTAGAAGTAAGCATTATTGCTGCTTATGTGAGACTGAGAGGGGCTAGAACTGAGCGGCAGAATAGGACGGATAGAGCTGTTCTGTTGGGCATACAGTGAGACCTGTGTGTTTGCCGGACCCCGTACCAAGCGGAATCCTGTAGCGAGCGGACACATTTTCAATTTTTCATGCGCCAAAGTGCTGTGGATCAAATGTGCATCCCTGGATCTAGCGGAATCCTGTCAAATCAGGACAGTTTCCGCTGCACCCAGGGCAGGGCGTCCAGTTAGGGCAGGTTTTACTGCATACTAGTACTGTATTTCCCCGAATATAACGGTCGCACCTTTTTACACTAAAATTCAAGGGTAAAAATGGGGGGGGGGTGCGACTGACAATCGCGTATGACTTACTATTGAATTCAATATATCAAGTCAATATGGCTCAAACCTGAAAATGGCAGTGTGACTTATAATCGAGTGCGACTTATAATCGGGGAAATACGGTATGTACGAGTTTAAACTACCTTTTTTGGCACTGTGCGCAGGTGAGCTATGGGACGTGGCAACGTGCGAGGAAGCCGTGCTGAACTTTCTGAAGAGTGGCGGACGACGCATTGACGGCGCTCTCACCTATAACGGGCAGGTGAGCTACTGTGTTGCCATGGAGACTGACACCGCCGTCGGAGTCCTGCGACCAGTGGTGCGACCGCGGTTGTACCACTGGTCGTCCAGGATGGTACACCCGGCTGGCCAGAGCGCCTGTAGAGTGCTGAAGCGTGCCCTGTTGGCCGAAAGAGCCGATATTTTCCGCTGCGGGACACTCCCGTAACCCACGGCCGTACCACTCCCCACTGCCCTGTGACGCCCATGTAGTGTAGTAGCCTCTAGTAGGTCATGTATTTGTGCCGTCAATCTGCTGATCGCTTTCTTAGCCTAGTATTTGATCCCACTGATTTTGAGTCCCTGATACGTAAGCGACCGAACATATTGCAAATGGACTGCTTATATTTCACTCCCGTTCCCACTCCCTCAACCTATGAATATGTTTACAGAAACGCCATAAATAGATTACAGACCTCCTAATCAAAATAGAAGAAATCACATGGAAACGAGTTATGAAGCAACTATCCACGACTGTAACAAGATAATAATCAGCCAGCAACTTGATCGCACTTTCTGACTGCTTATCAATATAATTATTATCTTGTTACAGCCGTGGATAGTTGCTTCATAACTCGTTTCCATGTGATTTCTTCTATTTTGATTATATTTACTGGCTCAGTATACGAGTTAAATTTGTAGACCTCCTAATTGGTCAATAGGCTATACATGAGTGTAAACATCCTCGCATTGATCACCATAGTACATATGATATGTGTTCAAACTCTGTCCATCTTGTGTGCTGTCTTGATCTCAGCTTGGCGTCGCTTCAGCCATCAAAGCCAGCGGCATTCCGCGCTCCGAGATCTTCATCACATCCAAAACACCACTGGCCGGCTTCAACGAGACAATGAGGAACTTTGAGCAGGTTCTGAGCGACCTCAATACCACCTATGTCGACCTGCTGCTCATTCACGAGCCATGCTCTAAGACGCGCTCCACCGACCCCAACTGTCCTCCAAACCCGACAAGTCACAAATCATGTAGACTCTCTCAGTGGAGAGCCATGCAGGAGATATTCAAGTCCGGGCGTGCCAAGTCGATCGGAGTGTCCAACTACGTTGCGCGGCATGTTCAGGAGATCATAGATACTCCAGGTAAGGTTGTATATTTCTGTGTGTGTGAGCGTGTATCTGTAGGTTAAGTTAGTACGGAGGGATCCTGGCGCAAAGTTGAACCCACTTGAACTTTCAATACAAGTGCCTGGCACTTGAAAGTTCAAGCTGGTGGGTTCAACATTGTGCCAAGATTCCCTCTACAAAAACTATGTCATGTTTTGTGTGTGTGCGTACATGCGTGAGTGTGTGCATTTGTGGTGTGCAATTTGCTATGGCTTTGCTATCATCGCCTCCAGCTATAGGTTTCTAGGGTCTGATGCCTGATGGGTATGGGTATGTGTTTCCGTTTGTCCATACATGTGTGTGTACACGTCTATGTGTGCGGGTTCCTTTCAGGAATGCTGCTGCCCACGGTGGTCCAGAACGAGTTTCAGCCGTATTGCCACGACAACGAGCTGGTGACATTCTGCTGGCAGCACAATATCACGTTCAACAGCTACGCACCGCTCACCACGCCCGACTATGGACCCGTGGTGCACAACTGGCCGCTGAAACGCGGCGTGCTGGACGAGCCCACTATGCTAGCTATCGGTAAGAAGTACGGCAAGACGTCGGCACAGGTCACGCTACGCTGGCACTGGGAGCAGAGCATCGTCGTCAACCCGCGTTCAATGAACGCGTCGCACATCGCCGAGAACCTCGGCATGTTCGACTTCAAGCTGAACGCCGCCGACATGGAGGCCATAGCCGCTATAGTGCCGCCGAGCGTTAACGGTGGACGCGTGTGCGGAAACCCGTACAAGTGTACATAACCGTCCCTGCACATTACCTAGACTGTATTGCCAAGTCAGCCATCGGGTGTGCGGAAACCCGTACAAGTGTACCAAACTTTCTTACTTATTACCCAGACTGCATTGCCCAGTCAGCCATCATGCAATAGGCATTTTAACTTCAATTTCACACCAAACCAGGGAGTAGTAAAATACCATATGTTTACATTTCTTTTCTTTTCACCAGCCCTACATTCGTCAATTCACGCTATTTTTAATTAAAGGACAGCATGTCCCTCATACCAGGCACCGATGTTAGCCACTGACACTTCTGACACCAAGAAGCCATGCGGACCCTCCCCCAATGCGTTGGATCGACACTGGCCGAAAAGATCTCAAGAGTGTCAAACTTAGGCGGGCCATCCGTAAATACCGATATTAATTTTATTTAGAAACGAAAACTAGTCGTTTCTCTTCAACCCCCTTACCTCCCCCCCCCCCCCTCCCTCAGAAACGAACACATACAAACGATGCATAGTGTCGATATTTTTCTTTTCTTTTCTGAACGTGCCCACACATACAAAACTGTGCATCGATATTTTTCGAGAAACGAACGGGCGCTCAACCTCCTCCCCCCTAAACGACTAGTTTTCGTTTCTAAATAAATATCTATATTTACGGATGGCCCCTTACCATCAGCAACGCCCAGACCCAAGCTCATGACCTTAAACAATGGCGAGAAACTGTCAACAGAATGCGTTAGTTCATGCTTTGAGTAGGGACCGGCGGATTCTGCCCGAAAAGGTGGCAGATTCTGCTCGAAAAGCAGTGAAATTGGCAGAACCACACAAACCTTATGGCGGGCAATTCCTCGAATTCTGCTCCATTTCTTTATCCACATACCAAACATGCATGAAACTTACCAGAAAAAGTACCGAATTCTGCCATTTTTTCTGCCGGCAGAATCCGCCGGACCCTAGCTTTGAGCTGTCCCCCGTGAATTCCGTGGATTGCAGAATTTCCGCAGAATCCAGTAGTGTCCGCAGAATTCAGAAAATCCCGCGGAATATTGCAGAAAAGAGAGAAAAACTGCTTTTTCTGGAGACTTTCAATGTATTTTCAAAGCCAAACCAACCTGCTTGTGCCTTTCAAAATCAGCTGGCAGTATATTTTACAGCTTTCAATTTTTTCGACCAGGATTTCGCATAATTTTTGTTCAGAATTTGTAGGGACAACAAACTTAGGTGGGATTGCGGAAAGTCGACCTGTTTTTACGCTCATTTTCCTTGCAGAATTGCTGCAGAATAGAGACGGATTTGCAGAATTTACTGTTTTTAGCCGCAGAATTCTGCACGGAATTTCTGATATTTTGCCGCGGAATTCACGGGGGACAGTTTGAGTGACATGCGAAACCGTATACAGTAAAACCTGTGTCTAACGACCACCCCTAGGCCCTTGGACCCTTGGGGTCAGAGAAAGTGGTTTTTAGTGGCAGGTGGTCCTTAGAGGTTTGCATCGCACAACCACATATACGAGTATGAATGCGAGACCGTCCGTGCCTGGCGAAGTGGTACACTGTACAGTCAGACGTCGCTTATCCGGTCCTCGTTTATCCGGATCCCTCGCCATCCGGAAGAAAAAAGCTGGTTACATATTTACAGCATACGTGATGCATCCAACATAAACGGTGTTCGGTTATCCGGTTCCCCCGCCTATCCGGATATTTTTTGGAAAACGGATGTGTGCGGTTAAGCGAGGTCTGACTGTAGTACCAGGCTGTTCGCTAGTCGCGCTGGTCTTTAATATAATTATCATCATTATGTATGCCCTTTGATGCAATTCCCAAGTGTAACTTTCAAAGGTTTTCGACCACAATTGTTGTTGGGCTTCTCGGATGTGCGCAATCTCTTCACATCCATTCTACCATAGTCCACCATATAAGCAGAGTCCCGCACAGAACCAAGGCTGCTCAACACCGTGAGCTGGAGTGGCGGTACACACACGCTGCGGAGAGGCAATCGGTTACGTGACGATTGCCCAGAGCGTGAAACCGACACACGCCAGGTGCCACTAGCACTCCCGTCGCGAAAATCCCTCCACAGCCTGATCACTGGGTACTGAAAGAGATGAGAAAACAAGACAGTACCCACACTGAGTAGGGTAACAATGATGGTGAAGCAAACCCATACCGTTCGCTTACAAGTACCCAACACCTGGGGTGAAGAAGATATTCAGAAAACTACTTGAAAATTAATTAATAACAATAAAGCCACGATCAGAAGTGCTGAACCAGCAGCAGCAGCATAAACGGATAAAAACGCACACAAGCTAGGCACACAGATGCCGGAATGTAACGTGCAAAGTACAAAGCAAAGAAGCCGGATATCTCTGGGAGTAAGGTCTGGAGCTGGGGGAGTAAGGGTAGCAGTGAGGAAAGGACAGCACATAGGTCACCACTGCAATCTCACTGGAAAGAAGCAGTGCCAACCCGGGAGTAGTAAAATACCGGTACTTTACTACTCGCTGTCGTCAACACGCACACACAGGCACGCACACGTGCACATGTGCACACACACACACACACACACACACACACACACACACACACACGGCAGCCTTGATGTGCTGATGCCGGCGGGCTACGTGCCCAGTTTCTTCAGTGGCTCCTCCAGATGCGCCGCCATCTTGTCAGCCTAAACACAGATACACACAGTCATGGGGACCACACGACACGCAACGTCTACGTTTGTAACTTGATACAAAGCACAGTTTATGGTTGATAAATATGGTGGTAAAGATACACCTGGCAATATGGCAGCTGGTACAGCTGCAGTGGTGTCTTCAACTTCATTCTCCCAAAGCACAGTTTACTAGCGATAAGTCTACACCTTTCGCTCACGCACTCTCGAAATCATCTGTACTTGCGTAATGCGGACACTGTGGTCTTTCACATAGCTATACAGTCAGACCTTGCTTATCCGGTCCTCTTTTATCCGGATCCCTCGACATCCGGTAGAAAATCGTTGGCTACCAATTTACAGCATATGTCATGCACACATACAGTATGTGCGTTCGATAATCCGGTTCCCTCGCCTATCCGAATATTTTTTGTGGAAAACAGATGTGTGCGGTTAAGTGAGGTCTGACTGTAGTACAATATACTGATGCTGTACGTTAGCCACGCATGTTGATACCTCGAGAGCAGGATTCATCGACAATAGACTGTACAGCAACTGGAGAGAGAAGAGCGCCGCACTAAACGACAAAGAGGATCGGCTTGCATTTACTGGATTGAACAGAGTTACACTGATGATGCTGACCGGAACAAACAAATACCTCCTTGCTACACCGGTGTAATGCCCAGTCAGCAACAGCAGCAGCAGCAGTAGTGGGGGCAGCAGCAGCAGCAGCAGTGGGGGCAGCAGCAGCAGCAGCAGCAGTGGGCAGCAGCAGCAGCAGTGATAGCAGCAGCAGCAGTGACAGCAGCAGTGACAGCAGCAGCAGCAGCAGCAGTGGGGCAGCAGCAGTGGCGAAAGGAACAACCCCAGCAGCAGCAGCAGTGGCGAAAGGAACAACCCCAGCAGCAGCAGCAGTGGGGCAGCAGCAGTGGCGAAAGGAACAACCCCAGCAGTAGCAGCAGCAGTGACAGCAGCAGCAGCAGAGCAGCAACAGCAACAGCAGCAGCAGAGCAGCAACAGCAACAGCAGCAGCAGCGGCAACTCGAACTAACCTTGAGTCGTAGCATGCCCAGCCCGACACCCTTGCCAGCAAAAAGGCACAGTAGGCCACCGGGAACTCTGTTGATCACAACGGAACCGTCCTGAAGGTGTGAAAATAAAAACAAATCATCGCAATGAATTACACGCTCTGCACATTCACCATAACAGTCATATATGTACAGCCCACTTATCCAAAACCGGCACCCGAAGTTTTTGCAAGTCTTGCACGAATAGTGGTAGAATAGTGGAAGAAGTAGTGAAAGTTTTTGGGAACACAGCCTCATGCTGTGTGATCAGTTGTGTTGAGTGGAGAGCAGATCTAGTGAAAGTGCACAGCCTGCATTGTGTGACCATGTACTGTAATACGGGAAACGCTTGCATTGGTTTTAGTTCATGATGGACGAGCACAGACCGATTTTGCACCTCGGAATGTTTGCGATTCGAGTCAGTTTCAGTAGTTGTTTTAACTACAGTTCTACGTTGCGAGCCGGCTTACTTTGGTGACTTCACACCCATTGCGAAAATTGCGAAGGATTCCAGGTCGCAGAGGTTTCCCGGTTTACAGGACATGCAATAATACTGTAGTATTCATGCTTGCCGTAGACCTACAGAGCCTGTGAACAGTAACATGACGAATGCGCCGCAGTACTCACCACACATGGCAATATCATCTGTATTCACCATATGTGGCAGTATCATCTGTACCAACCATACATGGCAGTATCATCTGTACTACTCACCATACATAGCAATAATCATCTGTACCCACCATACATGGCAGTATCATCTGTACTACTCCCCATACATAGCAATATCATCTGTACTCCCCATACATGGCAATATTATCTGTACTCACCATACATGGCAGTATCATCTGGGTCATGTGGCCTGGCGGTGCAAACTGCTTGCCGGCCTTCTCGTAGGACAGCCAGATGCTGGAGGAGATAGCGGCACGCACCTTGGCATCGCGGTCGTCCTCACCGGCAAACGCCAGCAATGAGCCTTCACTGTTTAGAAGACTGTGGAAGCACGCGTGCACACACACATACACACACAGGTCCAAGCAGAAACATGCACACACGCACACACATGCATACATGTACACACACACATGCACACACACCTCAGACCTGCCCATCGCGGAAGCGATGATAGCGGACAGCTATGTTAGGCATAGCAACTTGTGCTGGGATTACACCATTCAACAGCTTGCAAGGCTGATGAATTGACCGCCACTAATTTTAGCCTGATATCCACCACACAGCTGATTGAAGTGGCTTTTTCTGGCCAGTGAATCCCTATTTCACACACACAGACACACACACACACACACACACACGCACACACACACACACACATACACACACGTTTCAATTTTCATTATATCAAGCACCGTCCAAAAACCCATCCGAGAGCCGGAGGGGCCGTATGAACCTTGCCGCTGCTGTCGGCACGCGGGTCGGATTCTGTCCCTGCGGAAAATCGCGGAGAAAATCTTTGACAATTGCGCAAATCTTGCGGTGCATATTGGGCTGAATCTGCAGCAAAATATGCAGTAAGGAGCTGAATTCGCGGTAGAATATGACGGAACTTGCTCGCAAGGCTGCATGCATGTTGTGCGCGCCAGAGTCAGTCGATCGTAAGAACAGCGCTTTCACCTACACTGAAAAACACCATGACTTTTCGAATTCTGATATTTTTTCCTCGCATTTCGCGAGAGACGCCGAAATTCCGCGGATGTGGTTGCGGCCGTAAGATCGTGATTTCCTGTGGGGACAGCGGATTTCTTTGGACACGACTGTAGAAGGGGAAGCGTGACAGAATCTTCATACTACCGTTCGCATAATGTATACGGTATTGTGTGTGTGTGTATGTGTGCGCGCGTTTGTGTGGTGTATGTATGTGTGTGCACATCTGTGTTTGAGTGGGCGTGTGTGTGTGTGTGTGTGTGTGTGTGTGTGTGTGTGTGTGTATGTGTGTGTGCGGTCAATTCATCACCCTTGCAAGCTGTTGAATGGTGTAATCCCAGCACAAGTTGCTATGTCTAACATAGCTGTTCGCTATCATCGCTTCCGCGATGGGCATGTCTGAGGTGTGTGTGTGTGTGTGTGTGTGTGGTGTGTGTGTGGTGTGTGTGTGCTATGGACCCAAGCGTCGTTGGAGAGATGTGGCAGCTTCAGACCTGCGTGCGACCGGTATCCCGGAGGCGCAATGGTACCACCTTGCTCAGGACCGGAGGGACTGGCGCGAGCGTAGCCGTCGGAAGCCACCAAGCCAGCCCCAACCAAGAGTGTTCGTCTGTGTCCGCGACTTTCGCCGTCCGAATGATTTATCCCGACACAAGAACTACTGCCTCGCCCAATAGCTATCATCGCCTTTGGCGATGGGCTTTCCAAAAGTCCAAAGGTGTGTGTGTGTGTGTGTGTGTGTGTGTGTGTGTGTGTGTGTGTGGTGTGGTGTGTGTGTATGCGTGCGTGTACCTGTACGTAGTGTGTGCGTGTGTGTGCGTGTGTACTGCACACACGCGTCACTTTATGGATGGTACATTTACCGTACGAACTTTCGGATCGTGAGATGTATCCCGGAATTATTTTCACTCCTGGTTTTCATTTACCAGCACATAGCCATAGGGGGAATGTGAACTGCCATGGGACTTACACTGTGTTTCGAACTCCATTAGTATTTGTCTGTTCCAACACTTTCGCCAGCGCCTTGGGCTTGAGCATGGCGAAGGTTCTAAAACACTTCAAATCCGGCTGAGGAGATCTGACACAAAGGCGAAGAAGTTGAGCGGAATGCGACTCCAACAACGCTCTAAACCCTATGTCGGGAGCAGAGGACCATGGAGGACAGCTACTACAGAGAACTACTAATAATACTAGTACAAGCTGCTCACCAAACAGCTGAGTGTAACTGTACTACAGTGTACTCAGATTCAGGATAGATGATAGATCTTCAGTCAGACTTCACTATCCAAAAACACTTTGAAAAGTTTGAACGTGCCAAAAAAATATTTCCGAAATCAGTCTTTTGCGCATGTGGACGTGGGGTCTTTTGTGCATATAATAATATTATTATCAAGATTGAGTATATCAAGAGTTCATAAGACATAACCCCCACTCCCCCAGGTCATGAGGTTATGAACTCTTGATGCATAATTTAATAGCATGCAGAAATGACATCATGAATGATCACTACAACATAATTGTGTCATACATAATGTACATATGCCAAGGGCCAAGAGTCAATAACCATGCCATTGCCTGTATACTCTTGTCTATTGTACTTGTAGGCTTGAGTATTTCACATACAGTAATCTTGTCTGCATTTAGTCTTGCTCATGCGTATATCATGTACCAGATTTTGTACAGGTCTGGATAAGAAGTGGTTGCATTATTTTGCAACATGTCCCCTCCCCAGATTGAAGAGTTCAAAACATACGCTGTCTTTGAGCAGCAGTCGAATCCAGCAATACGGCACATCATTCACTCAGGCGGAGGACTTTACAGACTTTACAGGCGTGAGCAAGAGTACATAACCCAAGGAAAAGGAACACTGAAACACACACCAGTACGTACATGCAGAGTTTGCAAGCAATACTGGATGTCCAAATGACATAATTAATGCACAGCAGCAGAAGCATGGAACTAACTTGGAAGAGAACATGTTAGCTTCTGATGTGCATTAATTTGGACATCCCGTATTGCAAACTCTGCATGCACTGGTGTGTTTCAGTATTCCTTTTCACCTTGCACACCCACACACACACAATACATGCAAGCACATGCGCAAACCCACACGAACACACACACACGAACACACACACACACACACACACACACACACCCATGCACAAAAACACACACACGTACACACAGAACCAGCTTTTTTCTCAGTCGAGTAATTCTTTCCAAAAAGTCATAATTATTGTGCACTCGAAGTCAGAATTATTTACTGCTCTAAATGTACGTTTTAAAACAGGACGTAAAGTTGGCGAGGAGATAGATTCATCGGTATTGAAAACCTTGGGGAGGGGGCCAAAACTCTGTTGATGGATGGGTTGAGGTGATACTGCGCTCGAGACTCTTCGACTTCGGTGAAAAAATTGATTGAAAGCTAAACAATATTTGGAGGGGCACGGGCTCCAGTCTAGGATGTCCCATCATTTCCATCAAGATCACTAGGAAAGCAAAATAACATAGCAGTAACAAGCGAGTCAGTACAAAAAATTAATAAAGTGGACCAGGGACGGGGGACAGCAGGATGGACTCTGACACAACAACAACAACAACAACAACAACAAAAACAACAACAAAAAACAAACAAACAAAGGGGGACTGCTATATTCTCAAACTATGCTTCCTCCACAAGACACAAAGCCAAAGAATGCATTGCTTAAGACCTACTGGACGCATCCAACAGGACCACAGCAAAAAAACTCTCTCTCTCATCCAAGCATAACATATGTGTCACTGGCGCGTGCACAGACGTAGGTGGGGGTGACATTGAGGAGGGTGAAGGGTATTTGTATAGCTGGATTGCAAGCCTCACGCGCACACGATCATCAGTGGACGGAACGAGACACGACTGTGGCTGTGCCGAATCAGTTCCCTGCGGGCCACGAGTGCAGTTGAGGTGGCGCTGCAGATGCTTGGACGCTGGGTCAGGTCACTAGAGTTACTAAAACCAGTAAAAGTATTGGCAAGTGCAGCCGGACTGTCAACACACAACTCCTAGTTGCCACTGTCAACGCAGCTGGTACAACGACACAGCCACGGCCGCAGGGCACTGGACTGGACGTACACATCCACAACTGCACAACCGATCGGAACATACTAGTATGTGAAACTATGATGATGTTGCCTGGCTGGCAGCAGCATTTCTACTTCATGTCGACGGGGCGCACTCGTCCAGTCTCGTTGCTAGTTACCCAGGCACGCTGATCCGCCGTGGCATCACACTTGTCCTGCATGCGCTCCTGGCTTAGTGTTGTCTACACACACATGAACAGAGAGAGAGAGAGAGAGAGAGAGAGAGAAAAAAAAAGAAAAGAGAGAGAGAGAGAGAGAGAGAGAGAGAGAGAGAGAGAGAGAGAGAGAGAGAGAGAGAGAGAGAGAGAGAGACACACACACACACACAACAAAGGAAAGCATAGAAATGTCAGGTTTGTATTGTATTTTATTATTTTACTTGGGCATTCCCACCAGACCCTAAGGTCTTCTTACAGGGTGCCCAAGATGAATGAATTGTGAAGTTCCTGGCAAAATGAATTGGGGTCAGGTGGCGGTAAGCAAACCGAGGAACAGCAACAGCTCACAGCTAGATAGCCACACCTTTGCCTAGTGCTCTGCTCAATCCTAGTTACAATTGTAGACTGTTCTACAGTACCGGTACTGCTCAATGAACTCTGATTAAGAGTGAGCCAAGTACGCACTGGACGTTGCACAGACCTAGACCTAGGGAAACGTGGCGGCAAAACGGTGCAGGGCGTAAACGTGATTCATGTGATCGGACTTAATCGAGTAGCACTGGAGAAGGTATGAGGGCAACAGCAGCATGCATGGGGACACTAGCATGCACAGTGAAACTAGTCTTCAAGCCACACAGTCACACCGACGTGATTGCACATACACACAGCAGTCAGCAGGCACTCGGACGAGATTAGAATGGAAATCAACTGAACGTGAATGCATGCGCGCATGGTGTGTCTGTGAGCCTACGCGTCTGTGCGCGCGCGCGCGCGCGTGTGTGTGTGTTACACCGTACAGGAGCATGGATAGATCTGCTAGCCGTGTCAGTCAGCAGAAGCAATGCTGCATACACACACACACTCACCGTTTCGTGTTCACTGATCAAGACTCTCAACATCTTGGTGTAGTCGGTGACCATGTCCCGTACAAACTTGTGACGCTCATTCTCATATTGCTCCATGTCCTGTGTGTATACACAGAGACAGAAAGGCACGGAGACGTAAGAGATAATCGACGAGCAGATAACAGTTTAAAATAGCAATAAAAAGAACAAAAAATTGTCCTTTTTATTAAGATATAGAGATGGAGATATAAAAGTTAATGGTAGGATAGGGGTTCCAAACACTGGGAAAACAGCCAGAAACAAGCGCTGTCAACAGTAGACACGGAAATATGATGAGAACTCGTGGTCTTCCTTTTCAATGCCAAGTAGCCTATGAACAGGTTTCATCATTTGCGGAGGAAATTTTGACAAGAAAAACTGCCTTCATCCGAATCGGCAAACTTATTCATCAACTAAACACTCTGCATATACAGCAATTGAAGGCGTAAACATTCCTATTCGTTATCTTTCCCGAAATTTGAGGGAAAACGTTGTACAGGAAACCGGATGTGTCAGTTCTTCGGCCATGTCACTATCATTATGTGTGAGAATACACAGACAACCACAGACACCCACACACAAAGAGCCTTCACTACTTACTCCGGCGACGGCAATCATGTCTTCGACCCACTTGTACTGGCTGCTGTTGTAACGATCAATCTGCTGCTTGAGATCCTCGACAGCTGCCTGGTAGCGACGACGATCCTTACGCGCGTCGACTTTGTCATACGCCATTCGACTCTGAGTACCCACAGAGAAAGTAAACAAGATACAACTTGGATCAATAGATGTAGAGGGACACCAGCAGCAGCAGTACCATGCGCAAAGCAAAGAAAAGCAAGAGGATTATACCGTATGTCTGCACCGTTCAAGCCATGGCGGCATATTCGATTACTGTAAATATACAAAATTTCGGCGCTGCAAAATTTCGGCACTTCACGATTTTTGACATTTCGGCGGCGATTTATTTTCGGCGTGGGGTAGAGGGCATGGTATTGCGACAAATGCTGTGAAAAATTTCATCGGCGTTTTAATTTAGGCGTTTTGGGTCGGTGCCGAATATAGCCGAAATTAAATAGCTGCCGAAAATTTGTATATTTACAGTATAAAGCCACGGCTTTATCGACGCACACATACAGTAAGCGGAATTCCACGGCAGCACTTAACGCAATCACAGCCAACAGGGCTGTCTATATCACCAACAGCAGCATCAACAGCAGCGTCAGCAGCATCAGTAGCAGATTGTAGTACAATCACTGTTAACCAAGATCACCCCAGTGGGCCGAAAAATAACCACCACGTGCACAAACAAATAACAGTTAGCAGAAGCTACAATCGCAGGAGCACCAGCACTCGCAGCAACTGCACACTACACATGAATAGCTACTGGAAACAGGCGTGACAATCACCACAGCTACTAGCTACAACACACACCCATCACCACTCCCACTACACAGTCACAACAAAAACATCAGCAGTAGGGTCACATACCCGCTCGACTTGTTCGAACTCTTTCCGTACGGCCTTTCTGTCGTCGGTGATCTTCTGTTCGTGCTGCATGGGCAAATGATACATGAAGAGGAGAGAGCAGAGACAGTAAACACGACACATCTATTCAAACATCAGCACGGAATAGTGGTCCCTCGTTACTCCAGCACTTGTAAATACAAATCAGCAGCCTTGACGTGATAGGCTTCTACTCAGATCAGGCAAGTCAGGTATTTCTCACTTCCATGTGCCGGCGTCGTATAAGCACAAAACCAGGCTTACGAGACCTTGGCCCATCAGGCTCGTATTCAAAACAGGCTTTCAGACAGGACAGCAGAGTATACAGTGGAGATAGATAGATACACACATAGGCAGGCACTGTTGCTGCGATAATGCTGGCTTGCGCACCATACACAGTATCCAGACACATACATGGACAAGAAGGAAGAGGAACAGAAAGGAGAGAGAGAAAGACAGAGAGAAAGTGAGAGAGAGAGAGTGCAAGAGAGAAGGGGGCAGCAGAAGGCAGCACAGACAGGGCAGAGTGCAATGTCGCCCACACAAACATGAACGAAGCACACACCTTTTTCGTGTTCTTCTTATTCGTTTCAAGGTACTGTGACATGGGCCGCTCCACATCATTGAGCAGCTGCAAACAGAACATGTTGTGCAGAAAAGAAAACAAGATTCAGAATCAAGAGATGTAAAGTTTGGACGCAGCACTGGTGGATGCCGAAGAACAAGGGGGGGGGGGGGGCAGAGTCGTAGGCTAGACCGTTCATACAGTCATGGCCAAAGAAATCCGCCCCGGTGCCGAAAGCAGCGCCAAGCCTCACGCGGCTCCTGCTGCACTCAGGCGGGCTTTTCAAACGTGCAGGATATAATTGAAAAGGAAACGCGGCGCTACTTTCGACTCGCGGGTCGGATTTCTTTGGCCACGACTGTATTTTCATTTCATGCCCTTTTAAAGACAATGTGCAGCTGAATCACAGCACACACACACACACATACTGGTACACAGAAGAGATCCCATTCAAACTAGTACAAAGTGGAATGTGACAGATGGAGACGTGTAGCTCCGACACTGGAAAGTATACACTAATTTCAGAAATTTTCGGTGCTCAATATTTTCGGTATGAGGGCAAAAGGCCAGGTTAGGTGAACAGAAATTTTCGGTACAGAGAAGCAGTTCCCTATTGAATTATGTGTGTTAGTGTTCGTTCGGTGTATTGAAATTTTAGGTATGAAACAGATGCACCGAAAGTACCGAAAATAGAAGTACACCGAAAATTTGTGAAATTACAGTACTAGAATATTTCGCTTCAATAAAGTGGCCTGTGTTGGCGCCGCTAAATCTAGTGCCAAGATAGGATAAAGAGTGTGGAAGGGAACAATGAGTGGTAGAAACGAGTTAGCTAGTACAACAGATAAATGCGACACTCATGCAGGCTGGTCAAAGTATCCGATACGCACTGGGGTCAACAAAAACACGCACACATACCTTGGTAGCGAGAGATGCATGGGAGGCTGACGTCGCTTGGACTCCACTGCGGATCTCTCTCCAGGTTTCACGCAATGTACTGCAAGTTGACAGGAACGGAGAAAGCACGCGCACATAGACACACACCACACACACACACATAAAGGCACGTGCAGAGTATTACAATTAGGAATGGCAACATCAATCAGCGAAAGGGAACACATGAATTTTGAGTTATAATCCACGTGTACAGCAGGTAAAGAGTCAAGAAACCTCTGGTGTTCACCTGTACAGGATAAACTGTGGTACAGTCAGACTTGGCTTATCCGGTCCTCTTTTATCCGCATCCAACATAGCCGGTGTTCGGTTATCCGGTTCCCTCACCTATCTGGATATTTGTGTGGGAAACGGATGTGTGCGGTTAAGCGAGGTCTGACTGTAGTTGGAATGCGACACAAAGACTATCAGGTCGCACCTGGTTGGTATGATCCAGAAGGCTAGAACAGTACTGAGCAGCTGGTGGACATGAAACGACCTCTTCGTACAGTGCAACAAGTGCATGTCAGATGCAAAAGTGTGTGCACGTGATCATGTTGGATAAAGTAAGCGATGTTCCTGTCAGGTTTCAGTGTGAAAACATAAAACTGCTCCGGCTGATCTCAAACAGGTGCAGTACCAATCAAATGCGCTGTACTGGTGGACGCTGTTCTAGATTGTACCAGGCAAACACGCACTCAGATTACAACGACTACAGTCACGTACATCAGTAACATGTATAAACAGAGGAGTGCATCAGCCGCGAGACATGCCATAGTACTACTTACCCCTCTTCACAGTCTCCATACTGTGTCCTTGCTAGCTTGGCCAGTGCTTTGGAGTACTGGTCTTCGATTGCGGCACTGAGCGTGTTAAACACACACAACACACACACAATATAATTATTAACAACATCTCTTTTTGGCCACTGGCTATCGTGCGATTAAAGATTTGAAACAACAACAACCCACAACTGTGTTTTTGCAGGCATGTCAACAGCACGGCGCGGCGTGACGGGGCCCAGTCACCAAAGACAACAGCAAAAAAACTTCAATGTCCCGCAAACGAACTGCAAAGGCCCGCCGGGCCATCAACTACACAAGCTGAAATCCTATACACATTACGGGTGGCTTGGGTGAGCTGAAGAGTATTCTTATAACACACCATGCAGTAGAGACATGAGGCCAGGCACACACAAACACACACACACACACACACATACACACACAAAGGAGCAACATTACCCGACACAAATTCTTAGTAGTAGAACTGACAAGGAGGACCACATCTCTTTTGTCTCGCTGGGACAACGTAAGCCAACCCCGGTTGCTAACCTGTCATGCTCAGCAAGCAGCCAAGGACATAAGCATTGTTAGACTCGGTGGCAGTCCCGGACTCAGGCACACTCAGTGGTGGGCAGCTTTTTTTTTTTTACTAGCAAACACAGCTCTACTAATAATCAGGGGAAGAAGCTACTAGCGTTCTTACCGTTCACGCATGAACTCTGACATCTCCTTGATGGCCGTCTTGCCGCGTGTGTTCTTGCCCACCATGACGTCGAGACCGCTCTGCTCACCCTTGTCACTCTAGTAGCACAACAGACAGACACAACATAAGGCTAAGTAAAGGCAAGTGAGAAAAGGGCAGTCAGGACGAATTGCAAACACACCTCACCACCGTCAGATAACGGTGAGAAGTGAAGGCCCAATATAACCAAGAGTACATAACCCCCCCAGAGTGTGCAACGCCTGATCCAGCTCTGCATAGGGTGTTGGTCGAGCGGAATCGGATCTTTGCGTCATAATTAAATACCGTACACATCTGAGGGAAACCCGGGGAATCGCGGGTATTCTCGGATCAAAAACAACGGTGCCCTGCCTCGAGACCGGCCTTGCGGTGGTGTGGAGTGTACGCATGACATCAGAAGGTCTGATTACGCTCGACCAAGACCCTATGCAGAGCTGGATCAGGCGTTGCACACTCTGGGGGTTATGTACTCTAGATATAACTGAACACGAATACATCTCTTTCTAATCAAGCATACTATATACAGTTGTGCTCGATGAAATCCGACCCAAAGTGCAAAGCCGGCGCCCTGGACACGTTCCAATGGGACGTATGCATCAATTTCCCGCCATTAGGTTTTGCGGGGCAAGTCCACTACAATCGTACACACTGTGATACCAGCTCTGCATAAACTGTGTAAGGTCATATTCATAATTGTACTATAACGGGTGGTATCTGCCAAATATGGGGTAACTTGCCCCGCAAAAAGGTGACGGCCATCTTAGATGCATACCTCCCACTACATCATTGTATTTGTACATGTGTACGTCAAGTTGTATTCGTGCCACTTGCAGGGCGTCAAGGGCCGTACAAGTCGAGGGCGCCAAATATGCAAGCTGGGTCGGATTTCACCAAGCGCAACTGTATGAAGCAGAGGATGCGCCACACACAGATAGCGGTGCAGCAGTACGGGGGGATACGGATACGAGAGCAAGAGAAAGAGAAGCTCACCCAGAAATGGTCGACATAGCTGTACGAGGAACCCGCTAGACTCTGTTGATCAGCAATTTCTGCTTCGGTGTCCGGATATGTCAGGCAGCTGATCTGCATTCATACCACATTCACAACACACAACGTGCCATGGGTTCAATGAGCAAGCACAAGAACACAAACGAATGGCAGAATTTAGGGTGCAACTTATCGAACACGTGAAGACCTCAAAAGAAAAGAACTTGATTAGCCAGAATGAATATTTTCAGAGGCAATGTATCAATACTCCTCAACTGCATTCAAAGCAAGAGTTACTGGCAGACGACCAATACAACTGACCGATTGTGTTCCCTTGCTGGCTTTGCCACCACCTCCACTACCACCGAGGAGATTTCCCTGTGAAGAGAGAGAGAGAGAGAGAGAGAGAGAGAGAGAGAGAGAGAAAAGAGAGAAAGGAGAGAGCACACCCACAATGTCAAAGAGCAACTCCAGCGAATACCCGTTGCCAATGAATAAAAAAGCACATAACACAAAACAAGAGGATGAGCAATCACGTGTGCCCTGCACACAGCTGCCAGGTACCTTTGATGTGCCGGTTTGTGTTAGCGTTCCGCGGCGAGATCCCGCACCCGCACTGATGGCAGAGTCACGGCGAGGACCATCTGAAGAAACACACACCATGTACCATGTTACGATGATGTATACATCCCCGGGCACACACACACACAAGCGTGCAGTGAAACGTCACCAATGGCCAGAGTGGAGTAAGGTTTAGTAACCCAGCAGGAGCCAGGGGGGGGGGGGGGGGGGAGGGATGTAGGGCAACTAACTTGGGATAAAAAGTGGGGGAGGGGAGCATGCATGTGTGTGCACACGTGCGCGTGAGAGAGAGGGAGATAGATGCGAAAAATAGGAAGTTAGCTCCATGAAGATGACCTGTGCTAGGGTATAACATGACCAAATGCAACATACGGTACTGTCGGGCGCCGAAGAACGGAGAGCGGAAGACCAGGCTAGAATTTCACCAAACACAGCCAGGGTTCGCACCAAGTCATGAAAATATTATTCAAGGGTTTTCAAGGGCCCCAAACCCCATTTTTTCAAGGACATTCAAGGACATTAGTTGGTGGGCTAACCGTTGGTTGGAACATCGCCGCCATTATCACTCAGAGAGAAGACATCGCGCTCAGAAGAAGAGGTGTTCACGCTGCGTCCAAGAGTGAACTATTGTGCTCTTTGACCCTCCATAGTTCCTCTGAGAGAGTGCCTGGGAGATAGGTAGCTTGGAAATGGCCGTAGAACGTGCTTTCCTGGACGCAATATTCAGCCATTTCTACCGTCTTCTTCAACTTGATTTATTTCGAAAAAAATGTTATTTTTCAGGGTTTCTGCACTGGACGCGTTTGGGATCGAAAATCTCACCTGCGCATACAGGCTGCGCAGCTCACGCGCTGAGATCCCTATGATGGCCTATCAGTACTACCAAGAGTGGATCCACTCTTGGTACTAGATCTACGGACTACGGTACCGGTTACGGGTACCCAGCAGTGCGCGTAGACCTACTGCATGAACGTGAGTAGATCTACCGCATTCAAACCCAAAATCAAGGAAAAACACACTTTTTTCAAAAATTCAAGCACCCACACGAAAATTCAAGGATATTCAAGCACTTTCAAATCCGGCTTTGACATTCAAGGACTTTCAAGGAATTCAAGGAGTGGTGCGGACCCTGACAGCATACCAATGCATACACGGTGACTCAACTGTGCATAGACTGTAAATGCAATAAAAAAAAAAGAGCGGTCTAGACTAGGAGTCTGACCCCCCCCCCCCCAGTTCTCGGCGACCAACAGTACTGTACTAGCAGACATTAGAGAGGTTCCGGGGTACGATTTTCCGTGCCAAAATCCGTATGGGCGCTACGGATTTTTTCCAGGCATGCTCCATACGATTTTTCGGCACGGAGAATCCGTGTGGACTGGCTTTCACACGAACCATGTTTCGTATGGAGATTTTGCGTCATCGGGTGCAGAAAGATTTTTCGCGTACAAATTTGGTACGAGAAACATCGATTTTCCGCGGGACGTTTTGATTTCGGTACAAATTTTCAAAATAAAAAGGCATAGCGCGGGAATGTGACGTGTTTGCGATCGTAACCTAGGCAATGACGGCAAACACATAAGTTCCGTACTCCGGAACATTTCACTGCTCGAAAACGACGTATAAAAAATCCGTAGCGCCTCTACGGATTTTGGCACTAAAAGTCGTACTCCGGAACCTCCCTATTGTAGACTACGGTAATAGTATCCGGTTACTACTGCTTGTTACCTGGCACTGTCATGCTGTCATTGGATGTGACGGAGACGGAGCTGGAGACGGGTACGAAGCCACCTTCAGGTATCGTCCAGTACGATGCTGCAAGGAAGACGTGTGAGCAGGCGCGCACACACACACACACAGTCGTTCGTCACAAGAGAAGCATGCAGATCTTGAAGTACACTGGATAACCACACCCCAACTATCGATTTTCTCAAAAAACCTTATAGCAACAATAACTAACAAACTAACAAAATCTGAATGAAACAGATCAGCACTTTCCCCAGGTAACGATCCATCCATCCCACATAAGTGGCGGGGCTCTCACGTGAATCAATACCCAATGTATAACTGGTCTATACCATACCGGAGGGAATCGGAAGAATACAGCCAAGACAGTCACCTACGCACACCCAACAGTTGTTGGGGTAACCAGTATAGACAGCATCAGGCTGTTTTAATACTACTGGAAGCAGAAACACACACATGCGCACACAGGAGAGAGAGAGAGAGAGAGAGAGAGAGAGAGAGAGAGAGAGAGAGAACACAAGGAGCAATACACAACAAAGTTAAATTCTTACTTCCCACTGGTGATTGGTAATAGACGCGACCCTCTTCGGTAATGAACGCCACCCAGCCATTTGTCTAGACACAAAACACAACAGAAGAGCAACAGGGAAGAATCAGAAGTGTGCGACACCAAAAAAACAAGAGAACAATTTGGCCTATCCAGCTAGGCATGGTGGTGGCCTGGCACGAGCGAAACTTCCTCAGCTCATTGTGTTTCTCAACACAATTGCATGTATAGCCGGCGGTAACGCGGACGTGCAAGCTTCACTTTACTATACCGGTGGCAACTGAAAATATCCAGTACACACTCCATCTATTTACGGACTTATCTAACCTCATGTGCTATCCCCCCATTGCAGGCTAGCTACATACTGTTGAAGTCTGATCAAGACCCCTTCTTACATGCAACACGCGTGTTATTTCCTGCCAATATCTTCTGTTTTGTTACTTGCTTTTGTTCCTGCACACGCTGTGTGTAGACTGTGTATGTCCACTCATGGTACAGTAACAAGGAAACCATTCTCACCCCAGGATAGGCCCCAGGGAATTCCCTGTGCTTTCCCATGCAGCAAAAACACATGGCCCCTGCCTGGTGTCAGTGGTGAGGAGACACCACTACTACAGCCAGTACAGGACTGGTGTCACTTGCACCAATACTACATGCAGTCTAGTAGTACTGCATAGGTACACTGTAGTGCCACACAGAATACAGATGTCAGCTACCCAATCAGCCAATGTCGGGCAATGAGCGTGTCCCATGCAGCCAGCAAAAAATTGTTAGCAGACAACAGACACAAGCAGTACTGGTACAAGCCCTGTGCCATGGCTGATTGAATCAGGCAGCCACTGACCATACTCCACAGTCAATGCACCACACCTTTTCAAAGTGATTGTGATTTTCAAAGTGATTCTATACTGCCTATTACTGGTACATGCAACTAAACTAACTAAGTAACATTAGTTACTGATACTCCAACGAAACTGGAAAACTCAAACGGACAAGGCTGTGTGCGGAGTTTTAGCTATCCAAGTAGCTCCTCTAGCAATCATACAACGTCCAGAATGACTACATATCTCTCTACCAGAAGTGGCTGCAATTAGGTAATCATTTATCATGATCAGTTTGCAGTGCTTCGAACGCCTCATAACAATCAATTATTATTTTTGTTGTTGAGATGGTATGCAGTGCATGCAAGGCATCTGGGCAGGATTCCAGAGTGAGTACGCTATTCACAGCGTGGCAATGCCAATGGCACAACTGCTCTACGCAACAATGGTCGACTCAGTCTAGTCTCTGTTTCAATGTTTGGACAGAGCGATGTGGTGAATATTCTTTGACTACAGTAATGACTAATGAGTGTACCATTTAATTAATGCCATCGACGCTCGGTCTAAAAACGGTCACGATGAACTCATTCGAACGCTGAACTACTTCAAATCACCACTGACACTGTGAGTCTGTGAGCAGCAGCATGTACGCAAAGGATCTACGGTTTCCACTCAGACTTCCTTCCCGACCCACGCAGAACCTCCGTGTATGCTTGTAGACGTGGGTGATGTTGGAGAGCGACATCAAGCTAGCCAAAGGCGAAGAGGCTGCCTCTCTCTCTCTCTCTCTCTCTCTCTCTCTCTCTCTCTCTCTCTCTCTCTCTCTCTCTCTCTCTCTCTCTCTCTCTCTCTCTCTCTCTCTCTCTCTCTCTCTCTCTCTCTCTCTCACTCACTCACTCTCGCTCACTCTGTCTCTCTCTCTTCGCCTGAGTGAACAAAACAAGCATAATACTAGCGAACCAGACACCCCTACAAGTACAAGGCGCAAATAGGCTGCGAAACAAACGAGCCGAGCAAAACCACGCCATGGCCTAAAATAATTTGTAACGTGAATAACATTACTGAGACTCACCTGCGCCGGCTGGACATAGCTGGCTGGAAACCAGCCCTGGCGACTGTTGTACTCGCCACGACACCATCCAGCATCCAGTCTCTCCAACACTACTACAATGCAGCCGGCAGCCAGTGGAAGGCCTTGGGCCTGATCCGCACCCGAATAATCATACAGAGCAGTGACCAGCTCTGCTTGTCGTACAGACATGGTTCTCTTTGCTTCTGTTCTCCTCACAAACAAGTGGTTCTAGAGAGCTGGTTGCCTCGCCGTCCAGCAGCAGCTTCCCTTCTCTGCGATTTTCAAATCCTACTGTGCCACAAACGCAAGAAACTCTAGCTTCACGTGAGGCAATCAGAATCTGCCAGGGTGCACAGCAAGCTCTGTGGAGTGCAGACTGCTTGTGCAGTGCAGCAAACACGGAATCAGAAAGGCACGCAAAAGCCTCGCTAGTCGCACGGTGGGTGTTGTCCCAGACTTCACAAGCGTCTCCAACACTCGCCGGCTGCTGTGTACAACGAGCGGCTTCAAAACCTGCTAGCTTCGGCTGTACTCTCCGAGCATCAAACAAGCCACTTGGGAATGATTGAAGTATGGCCACTTGGGGGTGAACTCCGACCAGCGTAATCTCCCAAGAGATCAACCCGAGCACGGTAGGGGAGGCAAAAACCAAAGAAACGTCACACACGACTGCATGGGGCTGTAGCTATACCCGACCAGACAGTATAGGTGGGCTAAAACCGTGAAAGACAACTAACGGAGCGCGGAGGAAACAAGTAAGGAAAGCAGAGGGGAAATCCTGCGACAAACTGAAACCTACGAAATAAAAAGAAAGACGCGAAGTGCGAAGCTACGCTAGCTTTTTGATGCGTTCAGTTCGAACTCGTACCAAAATCGCGTAGACCTACGTAGCTACTGCAGTATCTAGTATGCCGCACTGTATGCGTATGCGCGAGGCCAAGACGGCAAGAGTCACGACCCCGACCGATCTACACTGTGCGCATGTAGTAGTCTGTAGCTGTACTAGTATATACTAGAGTAGCTTCTGCACAGAACAACTGCCCGCACGTGCGCGCATGGCATGCGCACCACAGAACTAGAAATGTGTAGCTTAGCTTGCATGCATGCATGCATGCACTGGCCGTGCACATGGTGCATGCAGTGTCCCATATATGGCCATGGCCATGTGCAGTGTGCACATTTTTGCACCATCTACCGTACCACCTCATCTTCATGATCTTTTTTAATTTTACAGTCGTTCCTTTGAAAATTAATTTTGTTGTTGTTTCAAACGAGTTCAAACGAGAGCTTTACTTGTACTTTTAGTTGTAGATATCAAGTTTTCTAAATAAATTACATGTATAAGCAAAGTCACCTACTGCATGATCCACGAATGGTGTCTTTCGTAGACGTAGCGATTTTGTTTTATTGCTCCTCGCTGCTAGCTGTGGTGGTCATTGTTAGTTAGAACTGGGACTTGTCCCTGTCTCTTGTTCGTTCAATTCCAAACATTTTTTCTGGTCAGTCAACTAGATTTCACTCGAACTCTGAGATGTTCGACGAATCGTGAATAAGCAGTAAGTTTACTTTCATGATCATGTGGATGAAAAGCATATCTCCAAGCAATTAGCTGCCTGTGGCAGTAGAATTCGAACAATCTATAGAGATTGTGCGAATGCCACCATTGAGTGTGCTACGGGTAGAGTGGCAGTGTGGTGAGCCAGTGCTTGCGATGCCATTCCACACAGAAATGATGATGCAATCGCACCTCCAAAGAAATGCACATTTTAAAATAATATTATCTTGTGTCACATGCACGCGCACATGCCAATAACAATAGACCGGATTTTTGGCGGTAGGGGTCGTCGTGCGCGGGACAGTACCGCTTTTTAGGTTTGTTTGTAAACTTGTGGTTTCGTTGAACCGCTCTAGCCGAGTGGTTTTTACATTTCGGTTTATGTTAGTTTTGGATTTTGACACACACTAGTCTCCAGGCCCCGTCGACATTCCACCTGCAGGGCAACTCCATGTAGTCTTGGCTAATCCAAAGTACAGCAAGTTACAGTGGTCTCTTTATAATCCGGCAGCATTGTGCTACGGAAATTCTGCTGGATTTGGGAGGGTGCTGGATTAAAAATCTGATTTACTGCTGCACTGTGCATGAAGAGGACATGTTGGCTGCTGAAAATTGTGCTGGTTTATACTTATATTATAAAGGGTGCTGGTTCATACAGTACGGTTGGATTAAGAGGGACGACTAGTTGATTTCCAGCCACACCCAAGCATTCATGCATAGCTCACTGCAACAGGAGCCAGGACGTGGTGGAGGTGGAGCAGAGTTGTGTTTCCATGGCAATGATAACACACAGCAACCACTGGACAGTCACATGATCTATATGGTACAAGTGTGTGTGTGTGGGGGGGGGGGGGGGGAGTGTGTGCTAACGACTACGACAATGTGGGAATGAACTGTGTATGCGCGCCTTTGTGCGTGCTGCGTGTCTGTGTGTGTGGTGTGTGTACGTGTATATTCGTGCAGCATTGCAACACAGCATTATTGCACCGTGCCAATGTGACAGTCTTGTCATTGCTGCTGCTGCTGCTGTATGGAGGCCAAGAGTGATCGTCTGAATGATGACAGTAAAGATGCCTGGTCCAAGGTACTATACAAACGCCAGCCGTTTCCAGATAATTATGTCCACACCGGAAAGTTCCTTGAGGAGATGCGCAAGAATGGTGAGCAACTGAGCGAAAACGGGTGGAAGGTGATTTCTTGGCTATGATTCAAATTAGATTTGACTGGTGTTTGTCGGTGGAGCACTCTTTGTGTCTGTCAGTTTCGTATCTCTCTCTCTCTGTATCTCGTCATATTCTTGTGTAGCCTGTCTTTTTTACTGTGGTATTGTGGGTGGGTTCACGTGCATGTGTGTGTGTGTGTGTGTGTGCGTGTGCGTGTGCGTGTGTGTGTGTGTGTGTGCGTGTGTGTGTGTCACTGTGTGTGTGCGTGCATATGTCACAGTCAACACAAAGATCTATACATTTGGGCAGATCAGCAGTGCAGCATGCATGGTGTCACATCAACTCAGCAGGTCAGTGTCAACCCCATGACGTGTGCTGTACATCTTATCTAGCCTTGTCATCACCCCTATCTCTGATTCCCTATTGAATACATATCATGGAGTGATGGTATGGTACACCCTGCCCTAACCGGACGCCCTTGGTGCAACGGAAACTGTCCTGATACGACAGGGTTAAAATGAACAATCTCCGGATCTTTGTTGGCTTGCGAGGTGGAATGTTATCGAATTCTGGTTGTCAAGTCCAGCAAACGACCGTACATACTAAATATATGACGTATATGTACTCGTTAGTGGTGAAACGAATATTCGAACATTCATTCGGTTTGTCACATTCGAGTGTTCGTTACGTCACTTCGAATGCAGTGCCTGTACATACATGCACGCGTACAGTGCAGTGCGTACAGCCTGCCTGTGATTTGTACTGTATGCATGCACATGTATGTCCATACTGGACTGCCAATGGTGCACATAACATGACTGAACTTCGAAGTAGCCTTATGTGGCAGTTCATTTTATGTGGCACTACCATTTGTCATACCTAAATAATAATGACAGCATCCATCAAATGACTGGGAAGAGGGCATGTGATGTCATCTCTGTTACCAAAAGAATATTCGTTCGTTAAGCCGAAGAATATTCGGCTAGTAGGTTTGACATTCGTTTCACCACTAGTACTCGTATATCGTGTTTGTGCATAACGTCCTCTGTATGCTGTTGGGATTCACATGATGTGCTTGTGTGTGAATGCATGTGGGCTTGCATGTGTGTGTGTGTGTGTGTGCGTGCGTGCTGTCCTGTGTCGCGTTCACTGCACTCCAGTGTGATGGTGTTTGTGATAGCGTTCTGCTACATGTCGTATGGCTGGCTGCAGCCCAGCATGCTGCTGCTGCTGATACTACCGCTGGTCGTGATTGGCTACGTAGCCTTCCGATACCTGGACTGCTCAAACTCCTGGGAGCACTGTAAGGACTACTATTACGTGTGTGTGTGTGTGTGTGTGTGTGTGTGTGTGTGTTTGTGGACACGTGCACACACACGCACACACATGCGCTCACTCTTGACTCTCCCACCTAGAGACATCAGTGCTGGTTGTTTTATATCACAGTGTCTGAGTCTGATCTCCCTGTATAGTAGGCGTTACTTTATGTGTGTGTGGGTGTGTCTGTGTGTCTCTCAGTCCAAATTTGCTTTTTCTCTGTTTCTTCTAGATCGATCCGACATGAAGCTGTCTGGTCTAGTTGTGTGTTACTCGTATGGGCTATCACCAGTACTCATGACTCTTACACAGTCTGTCAGCACAGACACCATCTACTCTATGACGGTATGCTTGGCTACTGGACATACACACACACACCCTGCCGTACTGCTTGCTCAGGGGATTTCCCGTAAAAAAATCAATGTTTTTACACCATCTACTCCATGACGGTATGACTGTAAGGATACTGAACATACACACACACACACGCGCGCACACACGCGCGCGCGCGCACACACACACACACGCCCTGATGTACGACTTGCTTAGAGGATTCCCCGTAAAAAGCAGTGTTTGTACACCATCTGCTCTGTGACACTGTGTATGGTTACTGGACACACACCCTGCTGTGTTGCTTGCTAGGGGGATTCCCTGTAAGAATCAGTCTTGTTCATGAATCGAAATTGTTTTAGTTTTTCAGCCCAGGGTAGGGTGTATTGGAATGTGCTTCATTTTTGAAACTTTTTGTGATTGTCGTCCGTTCTGATGGGTGTGCTGTTCCCACTGCTGTAGTTATTGCTGCTGCTGCTGCTGCTGTTGCTGCTGTCGCTGGTACTGCTTTGGCTACTGCCTCTGTTACTGCTTTGGCTACTGCCTCTGTTACTGCTTTGGCTACTGCCTCTGTTACTGCTTGTTGGTGATGTTGTGTGTGTTGTGACTGCATACTCTCGTCTTCCTCGTTGTACAGTGTGTTATGTTGCTGGCTCATCTTCTTGTCCATGACTACGGTACAGGTGCCAGTGCTCCCATGTGAGTAGTAGTTAATCTACCGATAGCCTTGTGCGTGTGTGCGCGCGCATGTGTGCGTGTGTGTGTGCATGCATATGTCACAGTTGGCAGGGCTCAGACTTGTGTTGCATGGCTTTTGGTCCTGGCTGGCTGGCATCAGTGTGTGTACGGGACAGGGGGGCTGTGAAAATTGTGGCTAGCATCGCCGTATCTTTGTCACTACATCAGCTCTCTGTTGCCTATGGTTAATTCTTATACTACTTGGAGTACTGGCATTGTAATCGTTTCAGTGTTGTGCATGCTCCTGGTGGTCGTGGTGGTTGTGTTGCTGCTGCTGCTGCTTCTGATGGTTGTGCTGTTGCTGGTTGTGCTGCTGTTGCTGCTGCTGCTGCTGCTTCTGATGGTTGTGCTGTTGCTGCTGCTGCTGCTGCTTCTGATGGTTGTGCTGTTGCTGGTTGTGCTGCTGTTGCTGCTGCTGCTTCTGATGGTTGTGCTGTTGCTGGTTGTGCTGCTGTTGCTGCTGCTGCTTCTGATGGTTGTGCTGCTGCCGCTGCTTCTGATGGTTGCCGCTGCTCCTGTTGCTCTCATCACCATTGTTGTTATTGTTGTTGTTATTGCTGCTACCAATACTCAGGGTATCACCGGCGATATCAATGAATGCTGCCGTGTTCGCCGGTGTTTGCCTGGCGTCGCGTCTTTCATCGTCCTGGCACACCTTCGTCACGCTGACCTGTGGCATTGCACTGCTGGTGTTTCTGCCGTTGCTCAGGCAGCAATTGGCGGTAAGCAAGCAATGATCGATTCTGGATACAAACACACTTAAAACCTCTAACAGCGTGTCATGTTGCGTGGTGATGCCTGCGGCATATCTGTGCCTCTGGAGACATGAATCTGGCTCTATACATTCAGACTCCGCTCACAGCAATCTTCAACCTGTGTGTGTGTGTGTGTGTGTGTGTGTGTGTGTGTGTGTGTGTGTGTGTGTGTGTGTGTGTGTGTGCGTGCGTGTGCGTGCGTGTGTGTGTGTGGTGTGTGTGTAATCCCTGTGTTCTTTACGATCTACCCTGCAGGATGCCTTTTGTGCTGGTCATATCTTCCTTGCTGTTCCATTCTTCATCATCTCAACCATCCTTCTCTGGACAGTATCTGCTGTTGCTGTCACACTGTTTGTTCTCCTACAAGTCACTGTTGTGCTGATATGCCCGTATCTCTACTGTCGTATGCAATGCTACAAGAAGTAAGACAGCTGGCAGTTGGAGCACTGCATGATGATTTGGTCACTGTGTGTGTGTGTGTGTGTCGGTGTGTGTATGTGTATCGGTGTGTGTGTGTGGGGGGGGGGGGGTGCCTGCGTGTGTATGTGTATCGGTGTGTCGGTCTCTCTCTCTCTCTCTCTCTCTCTCTCTCTCTCTCTCTCTCTCTCCTTTTTTTATCATTCATATTCATAGCTCCATTGATGATTGCGGCTAATTCTTCTATTGATCTCTGTCTCTCTTCCTTCTGCACGCACAGCAATATCCATGGTCCCTGGGATGAAGCACTGCCAGACACCAGGGCAGCACCACAGACACCTGACGAGGTCTTGTTTGATCATCATGCCAGTAGCCACCACAGCACTGCACACATGAGCAAGACTAAGTAAGCATGACGTCACCACTGACTGGCCAAGGTTTACCGCGCACACGCGAACCTGTTTCCGACTAAATCCAGTATAGTCCAAAGAAGTCATCCAGTTGTTTCTGGAACTATGGGACGTGCGGCAGATAATGTTCCAGTTGTGTGTGTCGCTTGCTCTCCGGTCCAGACACAAGTGATCCTTTGGTACGGGCAAGGTCTGTTTGGAACAGAGTGTACCTAGTAAACGTCGCATTCGGAATGCGGTTTCTTATCGCAGCGCACAGCTCGAGGAGATGTTCTCCTAACAGCGGTCCCCTAGCTGAGACGTGTAAGGAGTTTACACACATTGGCCCTGAATTGAGCGTGCTGACACGTGCGTTCCCCTTAGTCAAGTTACTGGAACTGTGCTTTGTCATCAATGGCCGTCGCAACAGTGTCGACATTTTGGTTCAAAGCACTGGTACCCTCGTCGAGGGTCGTTTGGACATAGCGCACTGGTCCTGAATTTAGTGCCTCGACATATGCAGTCCAGTCCCCGTGGTGAACATGATACTGAACATGATATCAGAACGTACTGAACATGATGCAGAAACACATCATTGGACGTGGCACCGAACAGTGAGAACACGCTGGTTGGTTTCGATGGACGACTCTGCCCGCGTGTCCTCATCACAACGGCCCACCTCATCGTAACTGTATGGGTCTAGCGCATGTGCAGGAATACCCGAATGGACTGTGCCATGCTTGTCATATGAATCCATATGTGTCCCTACGATTTCCTGGCTGAAATCCTAGTCTATTCCACTTTTACATTATTTCCATAAACATTTCCTGACTGGTCTACTGCTGGACAGTAGCTCTATAGACGAAAAAATATACGTTTTGTAACTTGTACAAGTAGATTTGTATCACTATCTTTGATGATTACCGGAGTACTAGTTATTTTTTCTGTTGATGCGTCAAGAGGAGTGCTTTGCCATACATTTTGTATGCATGTTCATTTGGCGTGCTCCTGGTAGTGTAAACCTAGAGCAGAGTGCATGCTGAGTGTGCAACTGTGAATCACTTTCTGCAATGAGATCTGTCGCGGTGGAACCCAAACTTCTTATGATGATGCCAGTGATCGTGGCGGTACCAAGTGCATGCAACTATTGCCTTTTTTCCATCGGCCAGCTGTGTGCCATTAGATCACACAGCTACAACTGTGTACTGCGGAGGAACACGGACGCCGCGCCAGACGTGGCGTTCGCTTGGTTGATCGGATTGCATTGAGCGGCACTGTACAATGTTGGATTTCGCTATCCGATGCATAATAGTAATTAATGCTTGGCACTTGCACACTCTGGGGGTGTTATGGAGTAGTGGGGACATCGACTGTGCAGTGATATAATAATTATCGAATCATGCAATCTGTGCGGAGGTTGTGCTTCACAGGCATTATTTGCAGCTGGTGCACACCCCATCAGAAGAGGAGCGTCGAGAAGATCATGAGAACATTTGACTGGAATGCTGTAAAAGCATAATCAGCAGATAGTCAAGTGATAGAAATACACAGACACTACAACAGTGGAACAAGGCTAGTCTGTTCCTCCAGGAAATCGCGATTCCATGTGCACGGATGCAACAAATTTCGCAATTTTCGCCCAAACCCGCGTTTTTCTGCATAATCCGCGATTTCCCGCGCTTTTTGTTGTTTTCTGCACTTTTTCAAACATTCTCCTGTACTTTTCCCGCAGTGCTTTCCATGATCATGTTGGGTTTTTTGCATAGACTCGACTCTTACTAATCCCGAGAGAGTGGAGGTGATCAGGGAGTCGGACTCCCTGGTATTTGACGACTTCCTGGATCCATGGAGTAGATCTACTGCCCAAAATTTAATAGCGATTCTACAGATGCAACAAATTTTGTGATTTGGCCCAAATCCGCAGTTTTCTGCAAATAATTCCGCGAATTCCTGGCAAGTTCCGCACTTTTCGCCGCATTTTTCGTTGTTTTCTGCCGCACTTTCTTGCGCAAGTTTTCGAGACTTTTTTTCCGCATATCCCCGCAGGGACAGGCTAGTAGACCAAAACAGCAAATCTCAAGTCCAAAACATTCTCTAGAACCAAAAGGAAAAACCCCGCATCATAACAGAGCGAGCCAACGAAAGGATACGCATGCATGTGTGCCTGTGAGTGTGTATGAATGACGTATGCATACGTGTCATGAAGTAGAGTCACATTCATAGCTATAATTAAGAGTGGAAATATTACTACGCCAAACGGAACATGTGCAACATGTTAGTAGTAGTAGTGCATTGCAACTCTGAGCTTCATGCTCATCACAGTGCGATCAGCAGGCAAGGTGATAGAAATACATGTAAAACAAAAGGCGAAGCTCAGTAAGCTGACATGTACAGACCAAGTCTTGATAAAAAAATGTGAAGACCACTCAGGGTAAATTTTCTGGCCCAAGAAGTATTTTTATACTAACTATAGCGATGAGAAGATGAGTCATAACTAGAAAAGTACGAATTTCAGAATGGAATGCGGCATATCAATAGTGTGATAGGGCTGGAAAACCTCGTGCCGCCCTGTCACTTCCAGTATGACCTATATGTCATGAGCCGTGTGTGTGTGTATGTGTGTGTCGCATACCCACAGCAGTGTCACTGCCAGCACCGGTAAGCACCGTCTCGTAGATCAATGCAAGCCATGCAGCGGGGTGTCCTGATGCATGCGTACTATTATTGCGTAGCGTTCAACGAAAACACGTTCTAAAGGAAATGTTTGACTGTGTCTACGGTGCACCCATCAGCACTTCACCCTCCAGACAAACACTTAGAACCTGCATAGACAGCAGCCGTAGCTACTCATCTCTTATTGGCGCGAGTCACCATCGTGAAGATAAAGAATACTACTCCCAGCGTTTCACATCCTAGCCACAACTGCAGAGTGCACTACACCAAGCTGTGGCAACACATTTGATGTCTATATCCGTATGGGCACTACTTCTTGCGGCGCTTGGCTGCTGGCTCCGTACTCGTTGCTGCTGCTGCTGCCGCACTGTCCTTGCTACCAGCAGTACTGTCATCATCCCCTGCGATTTCCAGCTCAACTCCGAGAGTCTTTGCGAGAGAGTCCGTCCAGAGGGCCAGCTCCACATCGTGCGCCGTCCAGCGATGCGATTTATCTGCACAACAGACACATGATGGTGAAAAGGCAACAACACGAACAAGAACAGCAGGGACTAAGTTTCCCATACCACACATAGTCACTGTCTCATGGAAGCAAACAGCAGTACCAATGCCACAACCATGACCACCCACTGCATGTACACAGTATCGCCACAACAGCAGGACTACACACCACAGCAGTATTAGCATCAGCGGTCCAGCCACCCAGTCACCCAGCCACCCAGTCACCCAGCCAGCCACCCACCAGCACCACTGGCAGCACCAGCACCGACTGTAAAACCGGAAAGTTTAACGACCAAAAAAATAAGGTTTTGTAATTTTGGCATGACAACGTGCAGAAAGTTTAACGATGGCTACCTGGCCACCCATCTGTATGCACATCTTTACACAGACATCTCAAACCGGGTTCGCGATAACGTTTCTTCAAATAACGTAAAAAATAGGTCGTTAACACGTTACACTTTGTGACTCGTTAGACTTTCTGGTTTTACAGTAGCGCCAGCACCAGCACTCACCCACCGGCACAAGCACCATAATACTAGTACAGACATGAGTGGCAGCTTAGCTAGAGCATGCAGAGTACTCACCCTGCGCACGCAGCCTCCGTGCCTTGGTTGTCACCTTGCTTGCATATGCCATGTAACCCTTGTGTGTATACTGTATAGCTATGCCGGGCATGGCACCTGTCACACTCTCATCTGCCATGAACGGACATGACTCCGGAAAACGACAGGCCATCACGGCTATAAGCAGCGAGAGAGAGAGAGAGAGAGAGAGAGAGAGAGAGAGAGAGAGAGAGAGAGAGAGAGAGAGAGAGAGAGAGAGAGAGAGAGAGAGAGAGAGAGAGAGAGAGATAAAGAGAGGGAGAGAGAGAGAGAGAGAGAGAGAGAGAGAGAGAGAGAAAGAGAGAGAGAGAGAGAGAGAGATAAAGAGAGAGAGAGAGAGAGAGAGAGAGAGAGAAAGAGAGAGAGAGAGACAAAGACACCAGTTTAACAGAAGGGCGCACACACAGAAGTGTCAGTTCTGATACGGGAAAGCTGATGCATATCCAGGGCCGACCTTGGACACCAATAACTTAGTCAACGACTTAGGGAGTTTTCACACAATGAATCTTCCTCCACCCAGCTACGTACACTGTATGTCCTTGCCACACTACCTACCCGAGGCAGTTGCAGGCCCGACAGCCTTGAGGCTGGACAGCTTCTGGATAGCAGCAGCCAGGTCCTTATCCTTGTCGTAAGCAGTGAACGCATCGCGTGTACACGTCTCAATGCTCTCAGACGTATTCTCCTGTATGAGTTGCGCAAGGCGAGGTCGGAACTTGCCACGCTGTGACACAAACAAGAACAAGCAGACGGCACATATACATGTAGAGTCATTGTACTGTACTACCAGATGCAAAGTACTCCCTACTTGGCATGCTGACACGGTAAGAACAAGCGAAGGGCACATATACAGTAGAGTCGGTGTTGGTTTTCTGGTAGCATTTAGGATACATATGATCCAGTACGAATTGTTTCTAGGAACGTGCTATATAAGAACGCAACCAGATTGCTGAAAATAAAAACTGCCCAGGATAATCCATTGGAAACAATGTTCTTGGGCGCGTGACTCTACTGTAGAGTCATTGTACTAACCGATGCGAAGCACTTCCTAGCCCCCCCCCCCCCCCCATCTCCTCTATTTGAAGATTCATTCGGTCCAGACTACCGACCGCCAACAAAAGGCCGTCTGACAAACTGGCAAATACTGTAGTGCATTTGCATATGGCTACTAGTACATGTATGCCAGTGACAACGCTTCAGCGCATATTATCTCGTCGTTGCTTGATTTTAGTGCCATGTCTTTGCAAATCCAGGGAGGGAGCCCAGAGATTCGGCAAATCAGTCTCAATCCCGGCCACATGCCGGCCACGGTAGTAGACTTACGGTTAGTTTCCACTGCATGAGTTTCGCCATCTCAGCATGGGTGACATGCGCTGGGGATCGTGAACACACTGCACCGGGCAAATCATTCTGATACCTATACACAGCGAACGGTAAGAGGAACAAACAAACACAACAGTGCAGTCCAGACCCATGTTAGAAATCTGACTATTCCGGTTATATCACACGGACTTGTCTACAACTTCCCCAACCATGGCAATACCTGCGAACAGACAGTAAGCACTGAAAAGGTCATCTTCATAATTATACTAGCATAATGTCGTGTGTAACATGATATTGGCGATACGAGGGCTATAGTGCGTTTCAAAAGTATAGACCTCAAGACTTCTTCAAATGATTCAAATTTGGTTTGTGCTTTTTGAGAAAATTATTCGGGATTATACTGCTCAGGCAGTTTCAACGATTTTTCTCATAATAGATTTCCAAGCGATTGAATAACAAAAGCCCAGTTTCAGAAAAATTATGCACAAAGTGATCACAGATTGCTTTCGAACCCACGATAGGCTTTTTTTCAAAACAGGTACTGTACGTGGTAACCCCGTATTTCGAGGCACGCACATGTCAACACGAATACCAGGATTACGAAGTGTGTATGCTGAACATCGATCTTGAACGCAGGCTGCTGGTATTCAAACAAAGCATATCTGCGACGGCATGGCATACAATGTAACTTAGTACGCGCACACCAGGAAGTCACACGATTATTTTCGTCCCCAAGAACCCAGAGCACAACTTGCCCACTCCATCGCACACGGGCAGCTCCCAGCACGCAATCACACAAGATTAAAATCCACTTCAACGCACACAGGGAGCTCCCAGCACGCCATCGCGCAAACACACGTTACGAAAGAGCCTCACAGCCATTATCAGTTTTCAACATAAAAAACTTATACAGACCCAACTCAAAAAATACTTGATTCAAACAAGCAGTCATATCAAGAATATACATAATGAAAAGCAACAGCACAGGCATGACATATAGCTTCAATTGTATTTTGTGGCCGAATAGGACAAGGACAGTGCGGCAGAAAATTTCGAACGTTAATTTAAAAGATTATATGACGCAGGCAAAGCTACACGTATATTTCATGGCGCGGAGGTATGTTGGAGCAGAAACAGCCACTAGAGCATGCAGTATGACAAGACGTGAGCTGTACAAACAATCACAAACTGGGGGCATCAAGGTTATTTTCAGATATGGTCACGTAGCGCACTATGTACAGCCGGGCGAAAATGCTGCCGGAGCATATTTACAAGACAAGAGAGTAAGAGAGAGAGAGAGAGAGTAAGAGAGAGAGAGTAAGAGAGAGAGAGAGAGAGAGAGAGAGAGAGAGAGAGAGAGAGAGAGAGAGAGAGAGAGAGAGAGAGATAGGCACTTGGCCACAGCGGGTGTTCTGTGAGGGATGTTCCCTGCCAGCAGATGGCACCGCAGCCACAATGGTACGTTAGGTTGCCGCACAGCAACCGGGTGCAAACAAGGCTACCGTGGGCACGTCAACAGGGTGGCCAGTTTTGCACGCACGACGCAACACTCCGCCATAAACAACCTCTACCACAGTCTGCACTCCCTAGGCTCCCTAGCAACAGTGAACCGTGGGTTGCTATGGATACAAATCAAGTTCCACTGTGTCCAGTATCTACAGCAAAGCAACTCAATCAGTGCAGCTCGCCCAGGAAGATCTTCTTGTCGCTACTGCACGAGCAGATAACGGGCTCCTTCGGATGGAACTGTACATCGTTCACCGAGCCATCATGGCCAGGGAGTTTGTACAGGACTCGCCTAGACGTTGTCTCCCACACGTACACGCTGCGGTCCGCCGACCCAGCCGCGATACGCTTTCCGTCCGGCGACCACGAGCAGCGGAGCAGGTTCTTCTCGAAGCTGTGCTGCGCGCCCATGAAGATCTTGATCTGGCGCTGGCCCTGGACAAACGGCCGCACGTCCCAGAGTCGCACTGTGTTGTCCATACCGTTCGATAGTATGTGAGTGCCGTCCGGGCTCAGGCTCAGCGCCGTTACCGTATCGCCGTGGCCCTTCAGCCGTGTCATGATGTCACCGGTACGGATATCCCATACCTTGACGTCATTGTCCAGGCCACCGGAGATCACCTGGTCGCTGGTATCGTTGAAGCTTACAGCCATCACCTGGTAGGTGTTATTCAACGATAGGGCTGGTCTGCGTTGCCGGGCATCCCACACGTTTATCATACCGTCGTCCGAACCCGTCACGTACTGCTGCGGGCCACGCCGGTTTGTGGCGCACGAGTTGACAAACGAGGTATGGCCTCGCAAACGTCTGCGCCTGATGCCTGTCTCCACATCCCATACTGCACCGGTTTTATCAGTCGAAGCGGACAACAGCAAATCGCCATCAGTACTAAACTGAAGCTCCATAACCGGACCCTGGTGGCCCCGGAGCACGGCAAAGTTCTCACACTCGCCATAGACATTCCAGAAGTAGATCTGACGATCAAAGCCTCCAGAGACCAACAAATCACCATTTGGGTGAAATTTCGCAGAAAATATATCTGCTTCATGGCCAGTCAGCAGCATGGTGGGCGCCAGCAGCGACGACGATCGAGCCGGGCCGGCTTGTACGACATCCTTCCTAACATTCGTCAAGAAAGCTACCTCTCTGCTTTTCTTCGCCGCAGGAACGACGGCACCTCCTTCATAGCCTCCATGAGGCCTCTTCATTGTTGAAGCCATTTTTCTCAACGAATTTTCGCAACGAAAACGCGAGCGCATGCGCTTGAATATAAACGCGGGCCCGTGGAGAAGCGGCAAAAAGCGGATTACGCGAGGGCGCGAGCCGAAACCTAACCAAAACCATCCCGTTTTGGACGGAAAATCCAAATCACTCGCGGAAAAGTCGTGGAAATGGGTGTTACCTGCCAGTGTTGGCACTATGTACTAAAACGACTGAACTGAGAAGTGAATGCTTGGCGGCCCACACGCATTTCCTTCCCTGCGCTGTCCCTCATATCAGAGGGATACCTGCTACAGTTTTTTATCTGGGTGGAAGGAAGATATTAATAGTAGTAGAAGAATTTATTATTTTACTAGGGAACTCCCAACAGGCGTTGCCTTTTTACTGGGAAAAAATTGGCGTTGTGTTGATCTTGCGACACATGCAGAGTACCAGTGCTCAAAATGGCGCGCCAAAACAGGAAAGAGCCGAAATGTGTTTTCGGAAAACTATTCACTTTCGCCACCATACTTCCGAATGTTCGACTACGTTTTCGACTCCTGCCACCAGATTCCGATAACAATTCCGAAATTCGGAATGCAAAATCTCTCTAGCTAGTGACTAGAGAGGTTCCGCGCTACGTAATTGCGTCTGTAAAAATCGTAACGTATTAAATTTCGTTAAAATTTGAAGTCGTTATGTGCGAAGCGGTATGTACATGTACAGTCATTTTCCGGCTTTGACTGACAGAATTCGTTAGCAATTCACCTCGCTAACCAACAAGAATCTTGGGATCGTTATCTTTAGTTGACGTTGAAATACCTGGTCCTACAGTACACTGCATGCGGATCTGTGTTCCGTCGTGAGGAGTTTTCAAACCACCTAGCTGCCCTTGGCAACTCTGAACGCAACAGTAACAGTGTACGGCCTAGGGAGAAAGTCATGCATTTATAGTTCTACCCCAATCCACTTACGGAGCACGTTTGTTAGTAGAGCCCTACATACGTACCCTACGTAGACAACTTTCCGCAAGTGGAGCGCAAACTCGTGAATTCACGGGTTTTTCCCGTCCACTTTATGTAATGGTGAGCAACTTTACGTAGCAACGTAACGTAGCACGGAACCTCTCTACTAAGACTCATACTGCAGATTGAGTACTGTAAAAGTAGAAATTTTCGGTGGTGTTTTATTTTCGGTTACTTCGGTGACGACAATTTTTACCCAAAATAAAACGCACCGAAAATGTTGGTACTGGTACTCGTACTACTGTAGCGGACATGGCAATCCAGTCGATTGACCGGGGCCGGCGCCCTCAGCGCGTACAGAGAAGCTGCGAGCAGTGCACAGTCATGTTGATCCGATGCGACCAGCGCGCTGCAGCGCATAAATGCATGTGTGTACCGCTTATCCACGGCTGCATGGCCAGCGCTCTGGGGCGGCTAGACGTGCGACCGGATTTCCATGTCCACGGCAGTAGAACACTAACATGGAAAACGGGTTTACCGAAAAATGTCCCTCCACCGAACCGCCGATTTTGGAGAATACCGAAAAAAAATTACACCACCGTAAAGTTCTCCTTTTACAGTAGGTAGTTGTTGGAGTCTACAGCCCAAATGGATAGCCGGGGTATACTAGTACCCAAGTTTCAACTCGGAATGGATAAGCCACAGAATTAAAATAAGAAAGTTGTCCCGATATGAATTACATGTTCATCTTTTGTGTGGAACAACTACAGCGGCAGCGGCAGAAGTTTCTGTTCGGCCCAGCCATAGCACAGCCATAGCACAGCCATACCACAGCCATTCAGCCATACCCCACTCTTTCCTGTCATGTATGACAGGTCTAAACATTTACAGGACACCGGCGGAAGCAGTTTTTGATTGGTTCGGCCATACCACAGTCAACTGGGAACTTGTGACCAGGCACAAGGGGTGCATGGATGCGGCTAATGCCGTAATGGGGTCGTTCTCGGCACTTCGTGACTTGTGCCAGTGGTTGTGAGACTTATCCACTCACCCCCACCGTTAGGCGCCGCATCTGCCGCTAGGGTTTACCGGATGTTAGCGGCCGTCGTGAATTCCCTTCGGGAACGGACACGATAATTTACTTTTTTTTTGTTACCACAGCCGTTCATGCCTGGTGTATGATATGGTGGGTAGTCACCGTACACGTGACATGACCCCTCAGCAGTTGGTGGCCATCGAGTTGGTCTGGCCATTACCATGATAACCTGACCAACCGGGCCGGTTCTGCCGCCCACGCACAGTATTGGAGCCTATCGTTGATATAGACACTGATACCCGTTTAGTTGTTATCCGTATATTCATGATAACATACCTTAAAACAACGCGGCCAAATGTTGATCAGGCCATGGCTTGGCCAAGCAAAGGGGCGGGGCGTAGGCCGTCGGGTTCATGGCACCCCGAAAACCAGCTAAATTCAGCCAACGTTGGTAAAAACCACACCGTGTTTCTAGTGACTTTCTACTGTGGCCAGCTGATACCAATGATTCATGTACTCAAAGTAGAGCCTATAGGGCTTGAAAGTGATGACGTCAAAAACGGCCAGGGAGTACTAAGTTGACATCAGATTTCTATTTTGGATCCACTAAGGTGTGACTTTGCTATTGCCTCAGTATGTGGGTGCATAGCAATCCACTCATGTCGTATGCAGGGGTGACTTTTACTTCGCCACCAGTTGTAACCCCGCCCCCAGTAGCCAAATCAGTCAGTTTCACTGGTAACATCACCTTGCTGAGAGTAAGACGGCTTGAAATGTGCTTGGATCCATACAAAAACTGGATCCAAGTGGATCCAATTTTTGAATTTTTGAAATTGTTGCTATGCTGTGACGTAGCACTTTCAAGCCCTATAGGAGCCAGTCCGAATGCCACCAAAGTTATGCCCCCCCCCCCCCCTGCAATCGGACCGCTTCCGCCGGGACTGATGCATAAACGTCAGGCCCGCCGGAACCGGTCCGGTTGGTCGGGTTATCACCGGACAAACTTCTTGGCCACCAACGTGTCCTTACTACCGTGGAGGTCATGTATACCCGCCGATGATATCGCTAACAAAATATGAAAGGCCACGTGACTGTAACAGACTGCTTCCGGCGGTCCTGAATGCACTTGTGGTCGTATGTGTACACAGGAACTTGAACTCTGTTAGTACACTGTGTAGGCCAAGTTTTAGACCCCCCCCTCCCCCAGCCCCTCCCCCTCCCCCCCCCCCTCCCCCTGACTTCTGCGTTGAACTTGTCACGATATGGATCCCGGAACATCGTGAAGTTGTGTGTTCAGCACGGAGGACAATAGATAATAGGGCAATATCAAGCCCTGTGCACTAATGCCAATGGCACACACAGCAGCATTCTCACCAGTTATCCAGCTGCAGCAAGGTTGGATTCGGTTTGGGCTTCTTGGCTTTGGCAGCTGACTCGATCTTCTTGTCGCTCAGCGCCTTGATTACAGAGCCATAGCTCTTCAAGCACTGCTTCCAGCGATCCGTCGCCTCACAGCTGAACAAAGTGGTCATCGCCAAAGCCGCCGATCACACACAGGGCCTAGGGAGTGATACCACTGGATACAGATCAGAGAAATAGTTCGACTCGAACTCTAAAAAGTAAACAATCACAAACGACTTGGATTGTTGGATTGTTTAGAAGATGACGACGTCGTTTCAAACTCTGAAGCGCGGGAATGATAATGACGTCATGTCGGCAAGTAAGATCTTCGTTGCCATGGTACATGACGTCGCGCAGTGCAGCCTTCGAGGCGCATCGTGCGGGAGATTTGAATAGGAAAGGACAGGTTCTCGTGGAGTCAAGGTTTGTGAAGAAAAGTTCAGAAAACAACAACTCAACAGGGCGAGGAGAGGAAGCTGTTGTTCTCGTACTATACCGTAACACCCCCTCGCCTTGTGTACAGTTTAGACTTCATAAAAAGAACGCGAGTACTGGAAGGGAGCTCCTTCAATGTCAGCTTATGCTGTATGTAGTGTGTTTGCCTGTATCAACCCCAACCTGGACTTTGCTGGACTGGCATTCTGATTATTTGAGTTCTAATGGCGAGTGACACTGTCGTGACACTCGCAAACAAGCTACTTCAGCGCCTTGAGTTGCCGTATCGTGTGAGTAATGCAGAGCAGTGTGATTCCAGTGTCTTTATCGAGACGTTCTCAAGGATTGCGCCTCGTATCGGTGGGGAATGGCCCGAAGATGGTGAGTACAAGTATTCAGTGTGTGCGTTTGACAGTCCTACCGGGCTGCTATACGTATGTGCGTCTGTGTGTGTGTGTCCGTGGGCTCTCGCGGCAGTTTTTGCCCACGCATTCTCGCAGAAAAGCAGAAGACCTGAGAACGAATCGAGCCACAGCTTGTAAGCAAGACATGTCCACATGTCTTGCTTCTCAGCTAAATAATTTGTTCTCAACTTTTCAGATTGTTCCGGCTCTGGCGTGGAATGATTATGTATGTTGCATTGTCTTGGGCACTGAGCACCGCTATACAGTGGACATGTAAAACAGAGAGGTTCCAGGCTGTCCAAGAGAGTGCTCAATACCGAGAAGCAGAACTAGCTCACTTGAACAATAAGAGGACGGAAAAAGTGTTTTAACTCTGAATTTCACGCACTAAGGGATCATCAGAAAGCAGTTAGTGTTACTGTTTTCTGATGATCGCTCAGTGCGTGAAACTCAGAGTTAATAATGGAAATTATCTACGAGATGAAACTACACAGTCTCGAATGATCCGAGAAAAGCAGCACTCTTCTGAAACATCTCTCTCGCCAGTGCCATTATCAGAGTGTGATGGTATTAGCCTGCGCTGGCTTCGGGAGTGTGATGTATTGGCCTGCACTGGTTGAAGCGCGATGAATTTGCCTGCGCTGGCTGCTGGGGTGTGATGTATTGGCCTACAATGGCCGTACGTCCTGCCTGAGATTGATAACTACACACACACGCACGCACACACACACACACACACACACACACACACACACACACACACACACACACACACACACACACACACACACACACACACACTACACGCCAAATGATAGTGACGGCGAGAGAATGAAGTGCTGTCTTCTAACCTGGGTGACAGTTACAGCCCGAGGGCTGAGTCTGTACACAGACCGGTCTGCCATTACCTCTCATGTCTGCATTTAACTCAGAAGTAGCGACAAACTCGGCCATTTGCACATACCCAAGAACGAACTTCCTCGCTATGGAGTGGTGTTGTGAATGTGGGCTAAGAGCACAGTGTGGAGAGGTGGACAGTTCAGATTATGTCTGCATTAATAGTTTATAAAAAAAACCCCTTTTGAACACCATTTCTCCAATGTCTATACTAGTGCTCAGTATTGAGGAGGGGTCACCACTGTACGCTAATGACTACAGTCCATTCAGAAAGGTTGAGCGCTGGCTCTGGAGAGCTCCCGTGTTTGGCGATTTTGTGGTACACTGTGCAGTGCCGCGCGATTCGAAACTTGAAAAAGGGTCCAAAAGGCACCTCAACTGGGGTTCGAACCGCAAATGTACTGTTATGCAAGTGGAGTGAACGGCCTGGATTTTCATGGTTTTTACCCAATTCAGTGCTTTGGGGGCAAAACCTGGCCGAAATCCTATTCTTGTTATGGCTTGCTTTTTGGAGAAATAGACTTCAAAAACACAATTGGAAGAGCATTCCATGGGGGATTGCGAAAATAAAGGAGACGAAAACTCAAAATTTGACCCGTTTATGGCCAAAAGCTAGGATATCAACCTTTTCTGAATGGACTGTACATTGTGGAGTGAAACCTGACAAGACGATGACTTGGATAAGGCGACCCCCTGTCCCAGAAGACCACTGCAACCAGGACCCTGTGGTGCTATGTACAGTCGAATGACCCTGGATAAGGCGATCACCTGTACACAGCGACCACGTCCCTTGAGCGGTCGCCCTAGACATGTTTCACTGTAACGTTATGTAGATGTATATAGTGGTGCAGTGAGTCGGACGATATGCAGGTCTGTTCAGTGCGCGTGCGCAGGAGTGCCTGTGGATTTGCCTGTTTGAAAGCCCTTTTCTTTGTGGAGCTGAAACCTGCACCCCCCCCCCCCCCCCCCCGAGGTGGTTTACCCTTACCATGCGCTGGACAGTATTGTGTCAACGAACTCCAGGGTAAAACCTGTCAAGGCGGGCACCCTGATAAGGCAGCCACCTGCCCCGGAGGACCACTGCAACTAGGACCAAAGAATGTTACCCACCCTGGTTAAGGAGACCACCTGTACACAGCGACCAGACTTTGAGAGCCTCGAGCGGTTGGCTTAGCGACAGGTGTTGCTGTATGTTTCGGGTAGCATGTGTGCTTACTGGATACTGCTGGATTCACATACTAGTATACCGGTAACTGGTCTCTTCTCGTAACTCGAGCTCGCGTACTACGAGGTGCTTGGCCGAACACGACAATGGGTCTTTAAGCATGTGGTCGCCTTACCAGGTTTCACTTTACATGTATGTGAGTGCTCTTTGATGTGTTTTCCGCTGCAGCATCGGCATCCAAGGAGACCATGCGTCGTCGGTCGCGCGGCGAGTCGCAGGCTCGCATTCAGCTGATCCTGGACACGTTGCTGGCAATGCTGTCGACCGACCTGTCGCACATCAGCGCGCAGGCCGTGGTCAACGGCGACCGCATTGCAAGGACGTATCTGCTCGAGATCTTCCTGTGGGTGCTGGACTATCTCGACGAGGTCAGCCACAAGCTGGCACAGGCCAAGAGGACCGCCAGTGCCGGCGCCAGTGCAGCCCTGCCACCACCGAGCACTGCTGCTGCTGCTCGTCGTGTAGCGGGTCGGGCAAGCGGTGAGTTACTCCAATGTGTCTCGCTGGCGCATGTCCTCATCAAATGTACAGTGTACATGTACATGGTTTTTAGCATTACACACAACGAATAGACAGCAACTTATGCTGTACAACTATGCTTGACTAACAAACCGGTATCTCTGTTTGTGTGTCGTAGCACTCAGCCTAAGTCAAAGGGGTCTACGTGAATTTTTATTGTTGTGTGTGTGTGTGTGTGTGTGTGTGTGTGTGTGTGTGTGTGTGTGCGCCTGCGTGTGTTATTTTCGTTGTGCTATGCTCGGCTTGCAGGCACTGATGGCACTGACTCGCTGCTGTCAACTCCTTCACTGTCCTTCTCCTCACTGTCATCGGACTCCTCCGTTTCAATAGAAGCAAGCTCACGCACCAGAGAGCGGCCCAGAAGCGGAAGGCGTACCCGTAAGCGCCGGCCAACTGCAACTGCTTCAATCCCGCAAGCCATCGAACGGCAGGAAAGGCCCCGGGTGGCATTTGCCAGTGCGGAATCAAGTGGGTTAGTGGCTACTCTCAATGCCCATGCGCGTCCATCTCTTACCTTCTCTCTGTTGTCTCTCTCTAGAGTTTACCGGCTGTTATGTGCCGCTAGGGTTTACCGGGTGTTAGCGGCCGTCGTGAGCTCCCTTCGAGAACGGACACGATAATTTGTTTTCTCTCTCTCTCGGAAAATGTTTGGTATGATTTTTTTATGATTACGCATGTTTGTATATGCATTCCCTGTGGGTATGTATGTTGTCTCCCTGCAGGTCACTGTGCTCTGTGAGCGACTTGGCAGATGCAGACATCAGCAGTGCGGAGAGTCACGAAGGCAGAGCGCACGGCCCGCATCACGTCATGGCCGCCGACGACATCAGCATATCCTCCATTGCCAGCGACTCTTCAAAGACGGGCAGTCTTCTTGCGGCATCCTCTACCGCTACCGCTGCTGCCACGACATCGGGAAATTTAGGTAGGGGTACTCTGTTTGTCACAACAGGCCGACTCCATCTTGAGATGTTTCATGCATGCTCCGGGTGGAATGCCTGAATTTTTTTTGTAGTTGATACCAGAGGCGTAGAAGCGATCCGTTTGTGAGTAACCCTCTTTTCTATTGAGCATGCTAGCTGGTACCCTTCTCAGGTACACCCATGCATATTATAATTCAGTGGGAATTTCACGTTCCGCAATTGTATCGTGCTGTATGCATAGCACTTGTTGTCATGTACTTTAAAACCTGTTTTTTTACGGCAGAACTGCGGTGGTGGCAACTGAAATCCGATCCCAGGTTTTCGTGCTGGAGTGCAGCACCGACTCTACATTCTAGCGGTCTCCATTTGGTAGTGTATTCTAGCGGTCTCTATTTGGTAGTGTACAAGCACGTGCTGGGTTTTTGCTATGCGAGCGCACCGAGCATGGGTCGGATTTCAGTTGCCACCGCTGCACCTCCAGGAACCGTCATTACGAGTCTACGCATCCAACTTCACTGCACTGCTCTCCTCTTTGTCTTTACTGGTGTAGTGCTCTTGTTTGGAAATGCAACGATTGTTGTAAAGGTCGACCACTATTACAATGCTGGAATTCAGTTTCTAATCTTTTTATATCACGACAGCCTGTGGCCAATGAGAGATAAAGCTGAACATGACATTGTGTTGTGTGTGGCTACATTGTATTGTGTGTGTCGCTACATTGTATTGTGTGTTATGATGTTGTTGGTGTGTGCAGACAGCACGTCTGCTGGTCACCGTCGCTCCAAGCGTCGTCGTCACCACTGGGACGGAGATGTTGTGGCCAGTGCACCAGTTGGTCACCGTCCTCACGACAAATCTGGTAAGGGGTCGTTCATAAATATTATAAGTAAAAAAATGAAATGATTTCGTTATGGGGTGGGAGGGTGCTGACCACTTTCGTTTCAGAAAACATTGATACAAGGTACTAGTACATGCCCATAGGAGCAGTGACACACTTGCGACATTTGTTGTGTAATTTGCACAAATACATGTCAACATTTTTTTACTGTCTGAGGGGGAGGGAGGGAGGGGTTCAAATTCGTTTGAAAAAAAAACGTTCTCCCCTCTGGTGCAGCGAACCAGGGGTGATGACGAGCTCGTGCTTTTCGTCTCGTAACCCAAGCTCAGCGAAGGTGAAAAGTCAGGATGGGCCTGATATTTTGACGAACGTCCAGTGACGAAATGTTTCGAACACACACGGTCGTGACACGAAGGTGTCCAAAGAGAACCATCCGTGTTCTTGCGACGCACAGCAACAATCCACTTATTCCTTCGGTCCATGTCTGCCGGAAATCGGGAAAAAAACCCAACGCCACATCCCAACGACTGCCTGTTGGTGAAGAAGAAGGAATGGCCGAGTGGAGGACAAAATCAGCTCGTTTGGGGACCTTCCATTCACTTTTCAACGCGTTTTTCTCTAAAGATGTTATGTCTGCATCGCCCCTGCTTAGACTCTGGTGTCACATTGTTGTGGGGAAAAAGTCGGAACGAAACTTTTTCAGGCCCTTTTCAGCCCTGGCCCCCTGCAATTACTTGTTTGTTTACAGTTAACACTGCCTCTCTTCGCTTTCATAGTCTGTAATCGCCCCTCTCCCCTTTTGCGCTCACAGTCTGTAATCGTCCCGCTCCCCTTTTGCACTCTGTACACTGTGTGTCACACTCGGTAACAGGCCTCATTGGGCCCGGCTCAGCCTGTGACTCTGAGCTCCGCTGTTGAGATGAAAAGAGGTCGAAACAGCTAGCTATCCGGAGATTGAGTAGCCATTACTGTATCTACAGTGTTGCTCCTTGAAATCCAGTCACGTCACTCAAGTTCAAGCCTTGCACCATTCCCCAGCTCAGTGTTCACAGGTCTAGGGCTGCGCAACGCCCGGCGTGTACTTAAGGGACGTGACTGGATTTCATTGAGCAACGCTGTATATGCTGTAATTGTGTTCAAATCAACCGATAGAAGTCCAACTCGGCCAACACTCCGCCGGTCACAGGCCAGTGCTGGTTACGTGACAAGAACTAGAGTTGTGGATAAATAAAGGAGAAGGACAAAATGTTACGAGTTGTGACCACCTGTCCACCAAGGTAACCAGAAAATATACAGTCAGCAAGTGGGATTTGTCCATGTTTCAGTTTACATTGGCTAAACATCCGGGAGTTGTACATGTTATACTTCAAACTAATTCAAAGTAATAATTATTCTGCTGTGCTGCTGTTTGTGTCTGTGTTTGCTCATTGGTGGTGGTTGATTGAAGGTGACCCAGCATTACCCACTGAAAGTCCAGTAAGACAGCCGGCAACCACAACTGAGTAAGTATATACATTCTCGACAGTTTGTGATCTACTGACGTGGACATGGAAATCCAGTCGCACGTCTAGCGGCCCCAGGGTGCTGGCCATGTAGCCTTGAGTACACGTGTGGTAGATCTACACACCTAGCGCTAGTCACATCGGATCAACACGTGCACTGCATTTAACGTTCTGTGCGCACTGATGGCGCCAGCCCCGGTCATTCGACTGGATTTCCTTGTCCACGACAGTACATACCGATAACCCGAGTGAATGTGTGTGTGTTTCAAGTGAAAACAACTGGGTCTGATCTGTTGAGCATGCTCAATACTCCTGGGTGCAATGTAGTGTCTTCTTTGACGCTCTCTGCTGTACAAGCAATAGCTGTCTGATTAGGAGTTGTGACGGTCGCTTTGGGCTAAGTACGTTGGTTGGTATAGTCTGTTTATTTGTGACCTGTACCGATAAAATTTTCTAGGTGGGTAGCTCTCTGTGCCTTCCTCACCCACCGCTGTTTTTGGTCTGTCTGTCCACATCTCTCTATCTGTTTGTCTGTCCGTCTGTCTGTATGCCTATCTGTCTGTCTGTCTGTCTCTGTTTTCCTATGTGCCTTTCTGTCTGTCCGTCCGTTTGTCTTACCACAGACCTGTGTCCAGCACGCCAAAGAAACCGTCAATTGCTCGACGCATTGACTACTCCTCGCAGTCACACTCGACATCGACAGGTAGCTCATCACGCTTCTCCAGCACCCTGGGCCAACCTGGAACACATGTGCCAGCAACATCCACTGCACTGACTGCGGGTATGGCGTCGTCTGAGCTCACTAGGGACTTTCCCCGCGCAACCAGCGCGAGCCATCCCACTACATCATCCGCTCCTACCGCTGCGTCACCTGCCCAGCTGAGCGCCGCTGCTGCGTCGACCTCAGCTCAAGTGCCGTCTAATGCCGCACATACCGGTGCTGCTGTGAGCACGGGCTTACACTATTCTCACATTGACCACCACCATCACCATCAACACTGCCATCAACATGGCCATACTGGTATCGAGCACAGTGTAGGTCTCAGCACCATTGTCACTGCTGGTCTTACTACTGGTGTCACTGCCGAGCAGCACCGCACGCATTACTCTACTGCACTGCCGTCACACTCGCATGCATCGTTACGCCAGCCAGCCATGCCACAGGGCACAGCCGGGGTTACTACCGACATGCAGATGCACATACCCTCTCAGGCTGCTCAGTCGCCGTTGGCCGCAACGGCTGCTGAGCAGCGCCATGCGACTACCATCACCAGTTCACGGCACCATGCTACTGCAACTAGTGCATCATCGCACGGTCACACCACATCAGCGGCTGTTCGTGAAACCGTCCGGGCTTCATCTCGTCATCCTGTTCCGCCGCCGCCCGTAATGCAACCGCTCGATCCGGAACTATGGCAACCGGCGTCCACTCAGCAGCATCGTCCTGTGTCGTCGCGGCCGACTGCAGTCTCCTCGCAGCATGTCCGCTCCGCACCGGGCACTCATTCCTCGGCTTCGTCTTCGACAGAAAACACATCTGAGTTGCTGCGTGGCCTTCCGTCGACGGGTCTCTCCGGCTCGACCAGCCTGAACACCACGGATCTTCTGGCCAGCGAGGAGGGCGTCGAGCATGTACGTAACGTTACTGAATAAACACAGGCATTTCAGTTTTGACCCGCGCAAGCCGAAAAAAAAGTCGGGTCATGCCTACGTCACCTGATTGTTTTTCGGCTCAAGTCGGTCAAGTGTTTCTTCAAGTCGGTCAAGTGTTTCTTCAAGTCGGTCAAGTGTTTCTTCAAGTCGGTCAAGTGTTTCTTCAAGATGAGTTTTCAACAAAAATCTTACCGTACATCTCCCCACTGAGCTTTCCGGGAATTCTGTCACGGTCACAATAACTTGAATAAGCAAAAAAAACAACTGTTGGTCTAACAGTGCATGTTACGTGTTGTGTTTGGATCAGCGTATGCTCTGGTGTTAGAAGTTAGAACGCATTCAAGCTAATGTACCTCAAGGTACAGATGAGCCTGTACTGTTTTCTGTGTGGCGTCGCGTTGTGTGCTTTTTGCCATGCGTTCAGCTGGGCAGTAGAAGATCAACGGCCGCACCACGGTCATCGTCCGGAGCAACAGCAGCAGGAACCAGTCTACTACCAACACAACAGCCAATGGTGGAAGCTGTGCCAATACTGCCGGCGTCGGTTTCTCACCGTACGACAGTAGCCGCTTCGATGGCGTCCGTGCAGGCTGCTCAGGAAACTGGCTACGGTTTGGGAAGTGATGTTGCTATGTCTGCTGTAGCGACATCTGCAGCGCGACCACCGCCATCGGCCACTGCCCTCGTACAGCAGCACTCGTATTCTCAGCATGCCATGGCATCATCCTCGTCCGCTGTGTCAGCTGCACCGCCAGCCCGCAGTGCAGTGTCAAGGACTACGATCGCGTCCGCATGTGATGCAGCGCCGCCGTCCGCTACTACTCAACACGGTGCTGCGTATCCGCACGTTGCCACGAGTTCGTTCACTGCTTCCACGCGGTCTGCTCCTTCTGATGGTAGCCTATCCCTGTCTGTGAGACATCCAGCAGCTGGCATTGACCTGCTGTCGGATCCAACCACCACTGCCGCCACCGCCGCCGTGCCACAGGTTGTCAGCTCCTTCGACTCCGTGCGCCCGCACGCCACGGACTCCGCACCATCCGGCGAGAGTCGTAATATCACCGCCGACACCAATCGCCGTCCGCACACCCGATCGTTGGTCGCGGAACCACGTGAGGACACCAGCACAAGAGCACATGGAGCGTCGCAGCACGCACAGGTTACATCCACGTCGTCAGTGACGTCCACCGTGCGTAAGCGTCCATCCGCCGTCAGTACCCAGCGTGTACCGTCATCCAGCAGACAACCTGACGATCAGCGTAGTGCACGCTCCCACCACTCTCGCCATGCCACCCAGTACAGCAGCGGCACCGGTGGTACCTCTCGTCATCGCTCTCAATGCAGTGTGTCACCATCATCACATTGTACATCACACCGTACATCACACCGCTCCGCTAAACCATCACATGACGTGCTGACTAGGTCACCACTGCATCCCGTCGCTAAGAGTCGCCTGCCTCCCCCGAAACAGGTTGTGGAAGATGAGGGTAGCGACGTGGACCTTGGCGATTTCTCTGATGAATTTTCCGGTGAGTTTTTTTTAGTAAGAAGTGTGACTGTGCACATGGGGTGTGTGAGTGTGAGCGTGTGGCTGCATGTGTGCATGCACGCACGCGTATGGATGTGTGGTTGGGTGAGTGAGTGGGTGGGTACTTTAAGCTTGCAGCGAGCAGACCAATGTGATCTGTACTCGCGGCGACTGCATACATTCTAGATGTGTCCTCGAGACAAGACTAACTTGGTGGTTCTCTAATTTCATTTTCAGATAACGAACATCCGCCGTCGCCCACCGCTCCTGCACCACAGCGACACGGCCAGCAGGCGCCAGTTTCTTCACCGCCGCCGACGATGCTGAAGTTCTCCGAGGCACGGCAGAGGATCAAGAAGCTAGACACTGGCTACCGCGGCGAGCTGAGTCGCTTCCGCCGTCGCACTCGCAGCATGACAGCAGGTGTGTCAGCAGCTGCAAAGGCCGGAAGAGCGGTGGCTAGTGGTGGTGAGGGTAATAGAACAGTGTCTGCACGACGAGCTACCAAAGCTAGTGTGCAGTACGGACTGGACGGACGACGGGTCAGCAAACGCTCGACAAGGACGGCGACGGTGAGTATGCGTGTGTGTGTGTGTTTGTGCAAGTTGCTATGGCTTCTGCTGTAGCATCGCTATCATCGCCTCTGGCGATGGGCGTCAAATGGTCAGTGGTGTGTTTGTGTGGTGTGCACGCATTGTTATGTATTCCACTGCCAGTGTCATGTGACCATTACTTCCGATCAGGTAGTGGATTCCAACAGTGTATGATGTAAGAGTGGAAAGTGACCAGCAGCGAGGGAAGAGGCTTCACTTCAAGATTTCCTATGCATTAGATGAGTGATTTCAGCAGGATGTGCAGTCAGAATATCAGGCTGAATGTTTTGTTGCAAAGCTGTACTGCTGCCCTCTCCTTTGTTCACCCTCGTCATCAGGGCAGCTTAGAGAGTTGACAGCAGCTGTATGCCAAGATCAAGCGTGTGTGTGTGTGTGTGTGTGTGTGTGTGTGTGTGTGTGTGTGTGTGTGTGAGAGAGAGAGAGAGTGTGTGTGCGTGTGTGTGTGTGTGCGTGTGCACGCGCGTGCATGTTTCTTCTCTTCAGGCTGTCTCCAATGGTCGCCATGGTGGGCCGGCATCCTCAGCTGCTGGAGGTCATTCACTACGTACGTCCAGTACTGGAGGAGCAGTGACAACATCAGCTACAGCAGAGCAAGGTTGGTTACCATGGTTACATACACTAGTCTACTGATGCATCTCAGTGATCACCGCCATCACCAGTCTTGCATAACATCTTGGTCATGTGACCAGTCTTGTATGGCATCATTGTCATGTGACCAGTCTTACATAACATCTTGGTCCTGTGATCAGTCTTGTATGGCATCATTGTCATGTGACCAGTCTTGCATAACATATTGGTCATGTGATCAGTCTTGTATGGCTGCCTGCACTATGGCATCATTGTCATGTGACCAGTCTTGCATAACATATTGGTCATGTGACCCAGTTTGTGTTGCTGCTGTTGCTTTCTGTTGTCGCTCACAGGCAAATCCCGCATTGCGGCGTCAGCAACCAGACGATCGCCCCGCACTCTGTCCCATCATCGCAATCGCCCAGCAAAAGCAGCAGCTGCATCAGCAGGAGCAGCAGTACAGATGGGTACTGGTACATCACACCAACATGCCTCTGATGCTGATGATATTGGTGATGACTTTGAAGAGTCTGCGGACCAATTAGCTTCAGCGGGTAAGAATGAGTGGTGTGTACGTGTGTGTGTGGGGGGGGGGGGGGGGATGATCGAGTGTAGGTGACTCCGTGTTTGCATACACTCTCTGTGGAACATTCGGATAACCCATTGACCAATAGCCACCTAGTCTTATACAATTTGGGGAAACATTCAATCTGCTTGTTTGGTCTCATCTGTGCAATTTAGGAAAGCATAGCTGCTGGTTTTCCCACGATTCTTTTCTTTCATTGCCTGTTCTCCCATGCTACCGTAGATGAAGAAAACCAGCCGAGAGGTCCTGTCCCGCTATCAGCTGGGCTACTGCCTGCCATGGTTGACCGTTTCCCTCACATTCAAGTGACACGTCAGACAGCACAGAAGATGCTACAGCAACAGACTAAGCAAATGAAGTCAATCATCAATCAGAAACTGCAGGACAAACAGGCGCCAGACCAGCCAGCGAAACTGGTAAGCAGCGCCGTCGGAAGCAGTTTTTGATTGGTCCGCTAGTACCATGGCCTTTTATAGTACTTTGTGTATGATATGGCGGGTGCATACACGCACATGTACACGTATGCCCTCAATAATAGTAAACAAGTGTCGATGGCCAAAACGTTGGTCCGGTAATAACCTGACCAACCGGACCGGGTCAGGCGGGCCTGGTACGGGAGAGAGAGAAATAGAGAAACCTATGTGTGTGTGTGGGGGGGGGGGGGGTGTACGTGTGGCAAGGTGTGTAATCATGGTAATAAAGTGCCGAAACAGAAGGTGAGTACGGGAGGCTATGTACGGGGTGCAGGCCAGCGAGGGAAGGATGCTCATGGAGGCAATGTAGCAGAAAGGGTACCTGACACATGGCTGAGTGCTGTGCACTTGTTTACGGCCATTTTGTTTAGTGTTTGGTACATCACCCTCACCCTTACCATCTCCGTTCTGTGTTTGCTTGTAGATTGCTGAAGCAGAGCGTCGCCAGGCCAAGGTGGTCAGTTTGCTGAGGAAGGAGATAGCACATAATCAGCGCATGGTAAGAATACAGTGTAGCAGAGTGCAGCACCTTCTGGGAGTATTGTGCCTGTGAATATGAATGTCAATGTCAATGTCAATGTGAATATGAATGTCAATGTGAATGTCAATGTGAATATAAATGTCAATGTGAATGTGAATATGAATGTCAATGTCAATGTCAATGTGGCTCACACTCTCCTTTGCCTTACTATGTGTAGTCTTGAAGGTGTGTTGTGTCATGTATTGTACAGGTCGATTGTGCAGTCTCTGTCTCACTCTCTCTCTCTCTCTCTTACACACGCACTCTCTCTATCTCTCTGTGTATGTGTGTGTGTGTGTGTTTGTGTGTGTGTGTGTGTGTGTGTGTGCGCTCGTGTGTGTGCGCGCTCGTGTGTGTGCATGCTCGTGTGTGTGCATGTGTTTGTGTGCAAGCGTGCATGCATACGTACATGCGTGCGTACTTGTGCGTGCATGCTTGCGTGCGTATACGTGTACGTGTACTGTGGTCTCACTGCTACACACTGCAGCAAGACCAACGTGAAGCAGCAACCAGGCAGCGTGAGGTGACCACACAGCTGCGTGAGCGACGACACGCTTCAGCACGTGCCCACCGCTACTACAACGACTTTGAACTGAAGATGAAGTCGAAGTTAGCCAAGCAACGCAATGCTGAAGAGCAGGTCAGACTTTGGAAAGGAATCGACGATGAATTTCATTGTGCCATGCATGATAATTGCCTGATTGGTGTTGATCTGTTCATGTGTCTGGGCTCTGTGGATCTTAGCCATATTGTCCCCAGCGTTGTGTATTACTGCGTGTGGTATCTTCGAAGCTGGTAGCCTGATGTAAACTTTCCTTATTCTTTTTCTCCCGCTCTCACTCTGTCTTTCTCTCACTCTCACTCTGTCTCTCTCTTTCTGTCTCTCTCTCTCTCTCTCTGTCTGTCTCTCTGTTTCTGTCTCTCTGTCTCTCTCTCTCTCTCTCTCTCTCTCTCTCTCTCTCTCTCTCTCTCTCTCTCTCTCTCTCTCCGGCCACTTTCTTTCCCACAGATATTCCGTAAGCTGTTCGAGGATGGCCTGTCATTGCAGCGCAGTCGTATCCGAGAGCTGCGTAGCTACGCCAAGGAGAAAGGCAAGGAGTACGCTGCCAAACTACAGGACGACATTGACTCCATGGAGAATTAGTATCCTCCTCCTCACTCAGCCTCAAGCAGTGTACTGTTATACAGTCAGACCTCGCATAACCGCACACATCCGTTTTCCAGAAAAATATCCGGATTGGCGAGGGAACCGGATAATCGAACACACACACTGTATGTATGCATGGCATAAGCTGTAAATCGGTAACCAACGATTTTCTTCCGGATGGCGAGGGATCCGGATAAGAGGACCGGATAAACGAGGTCTGACTGTACTCTATAGATACTCTACTGACTACAGCCTTGCTGGTTCCCACATGTTGCTGCTGTTGCTGTTCTTTTTCTTGTTGTTTAGCAATGTTAGGAATTCACATGCACATTTGTGTCCGGGAGGCAGTACATGTGACAACTTCTTTAGCCGAGGAATGGATACTCCATGGGAGTAGATAGCATGGTATCAAGAGTACATAACCCCAAGAGTGTGCAACTCCAGCTATGGGGTCTGCGACGGCAGAACTTCACATCACGTGATGAACCCGTGCACTCTAGTGCATGATAGATACTGGGTTGTACGCAGCCCAGCTTTGGGTACAACTCTCTTGTGGTCACTTTGCACTGTTTGCCAGCATAACCTTTTGAACCATGTCACGTGATGTGAAGTTCTGCCGTCGCAGCACAGCATAGAGGTTGTGCAGGCAGTTGCACACTCTTGGGGTTATGTACTCTTGGTGGTATATATAGGAGTTAGAGAGCATAGGTGATAAGTAACACAATGCAAGTGTAGATGATGTAAGTGTGGGAATAAGGTGTGAATGGAAGTGTGAGTGTAAGCGCTAACTCAATACTGGTGGGATATGTCACAGTACAGGCATGTACATGTAGTGCTGGTACCTAGGTACTTCAAGTAGGACTAAGCTTCCTGAATTCTTAGTTGTTGACTTTCCCTAACTGCAAGTGCCCTCCTGTATCAGCTACCGTGATCAGTTCTCCATGCTCGCTGAGGTCATGGAAAAGGAGCGGAATGATGAAGCTGTACGCCAAGCCGAACAGAACAAGGTAAGTTTAAAAATATACCGACACTCCACTAGCTTTGTTACTGTTGCTGATGCTGGTGTTGGTAATGTTGCTGGTGTTGGTAATGTTGCTGGTGTTGGTAATGTTGCTGGTGTTGGTAATGTTGTGGTGTTGGTAATGCTGCTGGTGTTGGTAATGCTGCTGGTGTTGGTGTTGGTAATGCTGCTGGTGTTGGTGTTGGTAATGCTGCTGGTGTTGGCGATGCTGTGGTTGCTGTTGCTGCTGAGCTATGACCATTGTAGTTCTTTGTTCAGTTGGGTTCTTTCATGGGAAATGGCAGCGGCCACTTTAATGTCTTCATGGTAGTTTTGTAGTGTGGAGAAGTCACCTGGATTCTATTTCCTCGGCTTCGTTGTTGACCTTTAATCTTTACATTTGTATTACATGTGCTAGTGTGTGTGTGTGTGTATGTGTGTGTATGTATGTGTGTCGGTGGCTGTCTGGCTGTCTCCTCTCTCTCTCTCTCTCTCTCTCTCTCTCTCTCTCTCTCTCTCTCTCTCTCTCTCTCTCTCTCTCTCTCTCTCTCTCTCTCTCTCTCTCTCTCTCTCTCTCTCTCTCTCTCTCTCTCGCCCTCTCAGGCCGTGGACCGTCTGAAGCGTGAGTTGCGCAAGAAGATGGAGGACGACATCACACGCCTGCAGGAGGCATTAGACCATGGCGAGGAGCAGGATGCAGCGTATGTGCGGCAGCTTGAGGCCGATCGTCTACGCCATGAAATGCAGATGATGCACGGGCCAGTTCCACTGTGATGAGCAAAATGTCAAGACTGCTATCACTGCCCTCAACCAACCTGATCCAACAGCTAGCTGTGTTGCTGTCTGAAAGAAGGGGGAACTCCCTTCTTCGCTTCTTCCCTGCCGCACTGGCTTTCAGCGAGTGGAGAGTGTCGTATCCTGAATCTTGTAAAGATCGTGTCAAGTGACCACCCCATCCCCCCATCAGTACTGCAGCAGTTGCTGCTACTGGGAGCCGAGTGAATGTTGTTTGTTTGAATCTGTACTGCCTGGTGCAAATGTGCAACACCTCATTTGTGACACTGACAAGGCAGCAGCCAAGTCATGACCAGGGGGACCATCATCAATACCAGCAGTAACAACAGCAGCACCACCACCACCAACAGCAGCAGTAGCGCAGCAACAACAGCACAAGCAGGAGCAGCAGTGGCAACATCACCACCACCACCACCAGCAGCAGTAGTAGCAGCAGTGATGGCACACAGTGAGAAGCAACACACCCGGGTATACCTTATCCTGCATATCTTCATAGTGGATGACAGTACACTGCTAACTGATCCAGAGACATGTTGAAGTTGAGTGAGCTATGAACAGGGAACGGGGTGGGTTTGAGTGGTGGGTGTATCGGGTTCTTTCTCTATCATCAAAAACAGTATTCACTATTTTACTCCTATTCTCACAATTTATCAGTCTACGAGTACAATGGATTCAATAATAGTAATGTGCAAGACTTCCTGCAGCCTCCATTCTCACTGTTTATTTTCTGCCGCCCCTCTATATCAACAGTTACCGACGTAGACATTGTTACGTATCAGGGTATTATTTTAGTTACTCCTGCAACGCCTAGCTTTCTTGTACCACCGCCCCTTTATATGGTGCCCAACATGTTTGTTATGTGCTCCGGGTGCATGGAGTGCCGGAGCTCCCCGTGCTGCACCGTCCTCCGTGGCATACGTGTACATGTTGTATGCATGTGGCTGGTCATTGGGAAAAGGGCCACAGACGATGAGTGGTAGGTCGTGGGGTAACTAGACAGGGCTATGGCTAGGTAAATGGGGAGTGCAGATACCGGTAAGAAAGGAAGTGGTAGCAAGGCCCCGGAGGGGGTAGCTAGGTGCAGGAAAGGGGATGGCTAGGTCCAGGCAGGGGGGGGGGGAGCTGAGGGTAGCTACATGTAGGCGTGCGAGAAGGGGGGGGGGGGAGCTAGGGGATGAACCAGGTACAGGGAAGGGGGTCGGTCAGCTAAGTCCAGGAAGGGGGGGGGGTAGCTACGTGCAGGTGCAAGGGGGTGGTGACTACCATGTGGGCGAAGGAAGGGGGAGAGGGTGTGTGGCCAGGTGCAGGGACAGGAGGGGGTAGCTACGTGCAGGTGCACGGACAGGTGTAGCTACATGTACATGTAGGTGCAGGAAGGAAGTGGGGTGCGGAAGGGTGATTTTGTTGGAGTGACTTGGGTCAGCTAGGTCGGGGGGGGGGGTAGGGGTAGCTGGGTGCAGGGATGGGGTGGTAGCTACATTGTAGGTCCAGGATGGTTCTGAGAATTCAAATAAAACCTACCTACCAGGAAAATCTAGGGGTACAGGGGAAGGTGAAGGGCAGCTACATGTACGTGCAAGGAAGGTAGCAAGAGCAAGTAACCATGGTAACCACTGCATGGCTATGTAATGGTACTAAGGCGAGACCAAAATAAAAATCGAGATTCCCGGCCAGGACCCATGTGAAATTGGTGCGGGCGGGCGAATTTTATTTTTTTTCCCATGTACAGGTACATGTACATGACTTTATGTGTGCATGCCATGTTGAACTTTTTTTACAGCATTTTCCGGTAATTTTTATTCATTTTTTCAGACAACAGGTACGCAGTTTACCCGTTCGATTTTTCTGTATTTCGGCCAACGATGGCCCTGATCTGCTGTCTGTACATCAGGGAGTCGTACAAGCTCGGGTTTGTATGACTCCACGTCACAGATCTACTCACACGATCAGTACTGTACATGTATGAACTGTTCAAAAAAAAAAAAAGGTTGGCTTTGGCTCGATTTTGGTGCGGGAGGGCCCGGGAATCTCTATTTTTTTTGGTCTCGCCTAATCTCCAGGCCAAACTACAGTACCTGTTTATTTTGGCTGGGAGGGGAGGGCAGGCGCTCCGCAAATTACAATCTGTACCTGAAAGAGCTGGACAGGGGCACTAATAATAGCTGATCATAGGGACAGAGTGTCTGGACCTGCAAGTCGGGCAGCCCTCGACTCCTTCGCCGTCATGTGACCCGCAGCTACGTTTACACATCCGTCATGTGACCCTGTAACCGTGGGCACAGTCAGATTCCACACAGCACAGGCTGGAGTTGACCAGGGAGTAGTACAATACCATTATTATTGTGCTACTCCCTGGTGTTGACCGTTAGAAAACCTAGCGGCACTGGAGCAGCAGCAGGTGTAAGTTGAACCGTGCAACAACAGCAATCCAGGGCATTGCGCAACAGCAGCAATCCACGACATTGCGAAACAACAGCAATCCCATGACACTGCGCAGCAGCGATCGGGGACAACGCCGCCAGAATAAATCCAGAAATAAATAAATCATAAAGTAGTAGAGATGTAGCATGACTGAGGGAGAACCCCAGTGTAAATTGTCTCTAGTAAAAAGCAATGTTCCAGAAAGTACCATCACTAAGCTACAGGTTGTACTATGGCGGCTCATACAAGCCACATTACATGAGTGCAATATTTGTTTCACTAGTAAGATATATACATGCATACCGGTATGCGTGTACAGGAGAGACGGGAGTTATTCGAACAGCGATAGTTACTGCACACTAGTGACGGCACTCTGACAACTGAGTTTCATACTGTATGCTATATGTACCGCAGCAGCAGCAGCAATGTTTTCGACTGGTTCCTAGAATATGGCGGAGACACAGCAGGTGTCTAGTCGTGTACCTGTCGTAGCATCAGCTCGTCACTCCTGACAATGACTGGTGGTAGCTGACACAGTCATCTTCACCTATACTACGGCATTGTCCTGGCCTGGCATTGTCCTGGCCTGTTTGTATACCGCAGGCATGCCAACAACCTGTAGAGCAGATGACCAAAGAAACTCAAGCGGACGCTTTCTCGTGCAAGGGGGTCTCTCTCTCTCACACACACACACACACACAAAAGCAATGTGGGCGCTTCCTCGCGCCGCTAACGCTACGTCAGAGTCGGGGGACGAGGTGCTCGTGCACCACCACCTCCACCACTGCGTTTGCTCTTGGACGAGTTGCGCAGGAGCTGATTGCGTGCCGCTCGGCACACGATCTGCTGGAGCCACTCGGCCCGCTCTCCTTCGCGGTCTTCCGTCACCAGGTCAGCCTCGTCTACGGTGGCCACACCCCAGCCGAGCTCCTCCAGCGCGGCCACTTTCTGGTGGTAGGGCCCAGAGAGACGCAACCAGGGGTGCATGCGCTCGCAGGGCAGCACCACCACTGGGATGCCCGGCAGCGTGTCGGCGTTCGCTGAGGTCACCTGGTGCGGACGCACACCACCGTCACTGCGTGGCCAGCGTAGAAACGACGCGCTGCCAGTTATGTTGGTTTTCACCAGCGCTGCCATGGCAACCCTAACGCCGGCAATCTCGGCGTCAACTTCAAAGCCGCATTCCAAGTAGAAGAGCACCTGCTTTTCGGACCAAAAGTTCCATGAGTGCGAGTCGAGCCTGGCAGAGTCCGTCGCGGTAGAGGGACCGTGCAGTACGGCGCGGACGTGATTCACACACGTGGCCAGCATGTCGTGGCTAATGCCAAAGCACTCGTCCGACTTCCGCGCCGGGTAGAGGGACAGGAGCTTGAGGCACTCGCCGGGCAGCGTCTGCTTCTGCTCCAGGTACGCCCAGGCCAGCAAGTAGGGCACGGCCGTACCGCTTGCCATGACGTGCTGCCTCAGCGTAGCGTCCGTGACCAGCGTTGAGAGCACCGGACGCAGTTTGTTGAAGAACGGCTTGGCGCTCACGCGCAGCACGCTCAGAAAGAACGCCATGAACGCACAGTCCAGCAGCGACAGTGTTGTCGGCTGTGACTCCAGACACTTCTCAAAGCAGCGTGCCAGTTTATGGAGACAGGACGTGTGGTCGAAGCGGCAGAACAGCAGCTGAGAGCAGAACGTCCGCACGGTCGGCGCCAGGCTGAACGAGTGCGCGTCGCCGCTATTCAGGTGTTCCTTGAGTACATGTGACAGCTGGTCCAGCACCGCACTGGCTAACAGCCTATCCGACTGCGGTACGTTATGCCAGGAGCCGTGCAGTGTATGCGTGAGCAATGTGAACAGCACCATCAGCATGCTAGGGTTGCGCACCAGCGGGAGCTGCGTGGCCAGCTCGTGGCGTCGCAGAGAGACGGCGCGCACCAGGTCCATGGTGAGCGGAGCCGAGCGACACACGTTCATCAGCTTAGACAGCGCCTCCATCTCCCCGCCTGTCAAGCTGTAGGAGGTTGGGAGGTGAATGAGAGCTTTCAACACTATCTGCTGCAGTAACATTGGCTTGTGCCGGTCAAGTTCCTGTGCCAGGGGCAGATACGACGATGAGAATGCTATCAAGGATTCCTTACTCCACTGACCGGGCTGCACGAGCGATCTTGCCAGACATTCGCTGATGAAGGCCAGATTCCTGCCCTGGACAACGTTCGTCTGGGGTGGTTGGAGGGACAGGCGCTGGCGAGGTGGCAGGGCGATAGCTCGCTGCACATACTCCAGAGCATCCCTGCTAATATTGCGCACCATCGCCGTTTCATCCACCCACTGTTTGCCGAAAGTGTCCAGATACTCTTGCTGCTCTTGCCGGTCTGTCGGAATTGCAGCTGTCGATGTCACTGTCCTTGTAAAACTGCCCCAAAAAATCCATGCCCGCCTCGGCCCAGTCGCCAAGTTCAGGCGACATAGGGGAAGCGACATGAAGAATATCACTGTGCCTTCACACTACTCAAACAATTGCAGGCCCTGAGGAGAATATCACGAACAACAGTAGTAATCGTATTCAATACTGCCCATTTTCAACCTCTTTTCATTGAAATAATTATCGAAATGAGAATTTTTTTAGATGGTTCCTGGGGTGTGCTTAAAAGCGCTTGTGGACAGCTCCCGCAAGACGCCATCGCACGTGACCCCATCTTGACGGTAAAATACCATGAATACTATACGACTCTGAGTCTGATCTGAGTGAGACTCGAGACCAAAACATGTTCTTGTTCATTCGTTTACTGCATGCACTGGTGGTTTTATTTCAGCTGTGTTCAGTTATTCAAGAGTTCATAACCAGGATAACCCCCAATTCAAGAGATGTGTTGAAGCTAGCTGTCAGGTCGAATGTACATAATTATGTCTCAGTACTCTGTCAGTTTTGTGCCTAGTTGTCGCACTTTCTGACTTTATTATTGGCTCAACATACGAGTTTCTTATTTTTTAACCCTCACTAATTTCTGCACATATGGTATTGTTTCTCTCTGACTCGACTACCGTGTATAATGACGTTTACAATCTTCATTTCAATACAAAATTACAGTATATAGTCTGGTAATTGTTATAAAGAGACTTCAAGGAGACGATTTTAACAAGCTGTAGAATCGACCGTGATTATAATTATGTACATGGCCCAGTTAGGAAACTTTATTTGTGCAATATCAAAAAGTGGAAACTAAATGCAATAACAAAATATTAATGATTAACAACGATGAACAATTTATTTCAGCCAAGTCACAAGTGGTATCTATTGGTATCCTTTATTTCAGCCTATTAAATATAACCGTTGTTTATTGCCAGTATCGCATGATGCATGATGACCCAGGCAAAAAAGTATAGCGCCGGAGGGCCCGGCCTGAGCTTTCAAGCTCTCTCGTTAGGAGTACCGTTCCAAGTTATTTTTCCCCGTCACGGACGACGCGGTCAGGCCAAACCGGGGAGTAGGGACCACTCTATCTGGTTGGCTCGGGAGAAGGGGGCATGGACCAGGTTGACGTGCAGACCTTTAAAGCGCTACAGTTTTAACCTGACAGAGGCCGGCAGACGGTTTCGAGATGGCCTATGCCTTCGCTACAGGTGTGTACCGCCAAGATTTCCAGCCTCGTGTAAACTGCTTCCAGCGGTCCCGCTGCGCATACAGTAAGACGTCGGCCAGTACAGTAGGGAGGTTCTGCTCTACGTTTCGGGAACGCGACGCAAAGAATCACGCGAACTCTCTTCGCGTTCCCGTCCCGTAAAGAAAACCTGTTGTGCTCTACGTTTCGGGAACGCGACGCAAAAGAATCACGCGAACTCTTTTCGCGTTCCCGTACCGTAAAGAAATCCTGTTCTGCTCTACGTTTCACGTAGAGAAGTCACGTGGAATGTGTACTGGGAGTTTCCCCTTCCATATTCGGCAGTTTTCTGCCTACACTCGATTGATACCCAGCAGACTGATCCGTACGCATTTTCTTTGCGTGTGGCACAACGTAGAGAACCTCGTCTTCGCGTAGAAATCTGGACCCAAAGCACGCGAAGCCGTAGACTCAAACCCAGACACCTGCTCTCTATGTGATTTCTCTACGTTTCACGTATAGCAGAACCTCTCTACACTAGCTGTATAGTATGTCTACTCATGATCATCAGGGTGCAGCGTAGCCCTTCATCAGGGCCTAGGGGTGCAGCGTAGCCCTTCATCGATGCATCAGGGGTGTAGCGTAGCCCTTCTCACAGTGTTCAGTCTGCTTCGGAAGGTCAAAGGCCGCTTCTAGGCACCAGGCGTTTCAGCTCGCTTGACTCGACTCTCATACCTGCCAACCTTTGCAAACCTGAGACCGGGACAATGGCCTTCCTAGGTATTCCTAGGTATTCCCAGGTATTCCTAGGTATTCCCAGGTATTCCCAGGTATTCCCAGGTATTCCTAGGTATTCCCAGGTATTCCTAGGTATTCCCAGGTATTCCCAGGTATTCCCAGGTATTCCTAGGTATTCCTAGGTATTCCTAGGTATTCCTAGGTATTCCCAGGTATTCCTAGGTATTCCTAGGTATTCCCAGGTATTCCCAGGTATTCCCAGGTATTCCTAGGTATTCCTAGGTATTCCCAGGTATTCCCAGGTATTCCTAGGTATTCCTAGGTATTCCCAGGTATTCCCAGGTATTCCCAGGTATTCCTAGGTATTCCTAGGTATTCCCAGGTATTCCCAGGTATTCCTAGGTATTCCTAGGTATTCCTAGGTATTCCTAGGTATTCCTAGGTATTCCCAGGTATTCCTAGGTATTCCTAGGTATTCCCAGGTATTCCCAGGTATTCCCAGGTATTCCTAGGTATTCCTAGGTATTCCTAGGTATTCCTAGGTATTCCCAGGTATTCCTAGGTATTCCTAGGTATTCCCAGGTATTCCCAGGTATTCCCAGGTATTCCTAGGTATTCCTAGGTATTCCTAGGTATTCCCAGGTATTCCTAGGTATTCCCAGGTATTCCTAGGTATTCCTAGGTATTCCCAGGTATTCCCAGGTATTCCTAGGTATTCCTAGGTATTCCTAGGTATTCCCAGGTATGAACATGTATGCAAATGTAGCCGTGAGGCATGCGACAAATGCGCCGTGTTTGGGTGCCTATTACCACCCTCGATATCAGGACAGTCCCACAGCCAAATCAGGATAGTTGGCAGGCAAGAAGAACCCAACTGAGTGAAGAGGACCCTCACCGGCTTGATGTGCCGGTGAGCTTTGTCCGATGAGGATTTTGCAGTCAATTGTGCGACAGCGGGCGGGCGGGCGTCGAAACCGCGACCTCTCGGTTCGCAGCCAAGTGGCAGTACACAGTAAACCTACACTGTGCATGGGAATCCCTGCAATGTGCAGTCACAGTGCTGGCCCGCATGCAGAGAAATCCAACCTCATGAATAAAGTAGCGCCGTGCCGAGTTCGAGTTCACAGACCAGTGTATGTGTAGTGCTAGGGCTGCGTAGCGCCCGGCAACGCTATTTTACCCATGAGGCTGGACTTCTTTGGCCGGCACTGAACTACCGAGAAGCCCGCGTACAACAGGGCTTGAAAGTGATGACGTCAGAAGTCAAAATCTAACGACAAAATTAATAACGACCTTTGGATCCACTTGGGTCCAGTTTTTGTATGGGGCTGGTCCATACAAAAACTGGACCCAAGTCGATCCAAAGGTCGTTATTAATTTTGTCTTTAGATTTTGACTTCTGACGTCATCACTTTCAAGCTCTGTGACTATGGTTTCAAGAACTACACCACTGTCCTTACCTTTGTGTCGAGTATCCAATTCCTTCTTCCTTCCGCGAAGCTTCGAAGCTAGTTCCTGCCCCTCTTTCCAGCCTCTTCGCGAGACATACACCGTCTTCTATTCAGTAGATCCGTGGTGTGGAAACGTTCCGTAGATCGTGGAACTGCAAGGAGTTGACACCATAATCAGAAGGTCCACTAGCCACAGCCCAGTTTTCAACACACCATCGACTGGCAGCATCGCCATCATCAGGCATCCCGCTTTCGAGAAGCTACGCCATGCACTGTAGTAACCCTGTCCAAATGCTTAGTCCTGGTACCGGTATTGGTACATCCTGGTCAGGCTGAACTGAAGGCTCGATATCCTGCTACGGCGCAATGCCATGACGTCTTGCGTTGGTAAAGAAGTAACGGGAATGGCTAGAAGGAGCGAGCTCCGCGCGTGTGCCATGAACGGTGTAAAGCTATTTCCAAGAGCCCATCCTGTTGTTCGGACGGGCCGTTCCGCCGGGCACCACTAGAAAACGGTCTTCCTGAGGCATAGAAAACCAGTGCCTGTGCACGTCTTTCACGACAGGGACAAGTAGAGGAACGCACTGCTCTTCCTGCTTTCGTCAAAGCATAATCACCGACTGAAGTCGCATGCCTGTCTTTCGTGTGTATGCCGTTTAGCACTGTCAGCTTCGTATATGTGATGTGTTGCACGCTGCGCAAGAAAATTACTGGTAGCTGAGCCTGAGGCAGCATAAAGTCATAACCATGTCCATGATACCGGTAACCTTCTCACCACGAAGCTGCTCTCACAACACTTCAGTCTGCAGCACAGGATTTGGCATATATGCAGTACACTGCATGGCTGTACTTGAAGTTGAAGTAGGGACATCAGTGCAACACTGCACTCTGCAGACTAGATTCTCGGAAGACAGAGCATATGACATTGTACTTGTATGTTGTGTGAGGTCGCAGTCGAGGCGCTACGAAAAGCAGTTCTCCAGCGAAGTGTTTTATACGCGTCAAGAGGATGACATCGATCAGTGCAGTCACTGAGTGTAGACCATGGACTGAGCATGAGGCCGAGTGAGTCAGTCGTACCCAAACCATTCTTTTTGGGGGTAGATCTACGACTTTCTGGTGTAGATTCTACACTGAGTCTGTAGATGCAGCACCCCCCCCCCCCCCACCACACACACAGACACAGACACAGACACATATACGGTAAAACCTGTCAAGGCGACTCAAGGGCCCTTCAAAACGTGGTCTCTGTAACCAGGTGGTCTCCTTACCCAGGGTCATTTGACTGGAATCATACTGAGCATCCCTCGGTCCTAGTTGCAGTGGTCTTCTAGAACAGGTGGTCGCCTTTAAGGCTTATCCAAGTGTGGTCGCCTTGACAAGTTTTTACTGTACATTTTACCAAGAGTCCATAACCCAAGACTCAAGGCAAGAGTATGCAACTGTGATTATGGGTGCATGCGTGGCGCGCTGCCTTCATTACGTAACTTGCCTTCATCACGCTCTGAAAGCATGCATTCAAACTCTCAATTTCTCGCACGAGCCCATCCGTTTTTGCTCGATTCGTTCCAGTACCTACACAATCTCTGAATTCTGGCGCGTGAACTCCAGTTCCGTACGAAAGTTCATTTCAAACTAGAGGGAAAGTGCGGTGTTTGATTTTCCGCAGTGCGCGGACTGCAGCTGAATGATGTAATGAAGGCAGCGCGCCGCGCGGTTGGCCCATAGAAAAGAGATCACAGTTGCATACTCTTGGGTTATGGACTCTTGGATTTTACTCGTTAGACTTTTTTTTAAGGTCTAACGAGTAAAGGTTAGAAATTTAGACACGCATCACTCCGGCAATGTATGTAAAAGGACTACATTGGTCGAGTTCACGGCCCACTTGACGGGCCATGATAGAGATGCTACAGCAGAAGCCATAGCAACACACATGCACAGCTGCACAGACAGACACATACCCATACCCACTCACTAGCACAAGTGAATAAAGGTGTAAAAAATGGTTTTTTAGTCTCTAAGAATTTTTTTTAAAATGTAGAAATCACCATCAAAATACACCCATAAAGCCCACATCAGCACTTTGGAGGAAGCAGCTTCGTTTGACGTCACATGACGCCGCTTTTGACGACTTGACAACGCTAGAAATTCATGGCTAGGTCGGACAGAATCGATTTTCTCTTCACATAAACCGGCTATGCCAGCAACCTAATCGTAGGATATCGCCAGCAGAAATCTACAAACCCGGAGTTCTAACTTGAACAAGGAAGTGAAAAGCGTGTAACAAAGTTACGATTGCAGGCACATGCACCAGGGGCAAGTCGATATACTGAATCTCCGGACTAAGCTAGCAGTTTCCAGCGTCTTCGGTCTCGGCAGCTGCGTTGGGAGTGGCCAGCACACTATAATGGCGTTAGGTGTATAGTTCGCAGTAGCTGCACTAGTTGCACGGATTTAAGTCGGTGTTTGTCTTGGGGCCAGTGAGTGACCTAGCTCTTTGCCTTTGGTGGTGGTGGTGGTGGAAACGATGTGGGTATTTTCTCGACAAGGCGCTTGAGGTCCCGCAGGTCCTCTCTGGTATCGGCAGCCATGGTGTGCATCTCACGTTGCATCTCCATGCGCAGTGCTTTGTGCACGTTCTGTAGACCTGCGGATGTCTGTGAAACAGGGACGGGAAAGACGGCGTCACACATACGGACGTACACACATACGAACGGACACACATACGGACGGACACACACACACACACACACATAATTATGCATGAACACACAAAATACACACCAAAACAAAGAAATACTTCACTGATTGATAGCCAATAGTAACGAGGAAAATGCGGGGTGCTATCCCTTTTCAATGCGGGTAAAACAAGAGAGCTTCCTCCCAGGGTGCTCGCTATGGCGACCAGCTTTTGATTGGTCCGGTCATAACCAAGCCTTTCATACTTTGGTCCGTGATATGGAGGGTGTACATGCCCGACACAGCACTGAATACGAGCTGATGGCCAAACGCTGGTCCGGCGATTAGCGTACCAACTGTAAAATTCAAAGTGATGCAAATTACTTTCCAACGTTGCTTTACCCACAGCCGCACCCACAGCATCTCACCTTCTCATAAACTTATCTCTTATTGGCGATGGTGCCATCGTGAGAATAAAGAATTAAAAAGTTCCACCAGCACACTACCAGCACACTACATGCATTATGAACGTGATGTCCACCCCCCCCCCCCCCCACACACACACACAGGGCATACACTCTGTGACAGCAGCAGTGTACATGACTGTACTGTTGTGCACATGGAAATCCGCTCGCACGTCTAGCGGCCCCAGGGTGCTGGCCATGCAGCCGTGAGTATGTGTGTAGATCTAAGGTACAAACAATCATGTATGCGTTGCAGGGCGCTGGTCGCATCGGATCAACATGCAACGTTCTGTTCGCGCTGAGGGCGCAGGCCCTGGACATTCGACTAGACTTCCATGTCCACGACAGTAGCAGAGGAGGCAAGGCAAGCCGCTGATGCTGACACATCAACTACGCCTCTTGAGTCTTGGCTGCCGCTCACGTGGTCACTTGGCCACGTGACATGCGAACAATGCCAACACACACACGCACACGCACACACACACACACACACACACACACACACACACACACACACACACACACACACACACACACACACACACACACACACACACACACACACAGAGTGTATGTGTTACAACGTACCTCAGCAACAACCCGTCGTGTGCACTCCTCCACGGTTTGTTGAATGACTTGCTGCAGCTGTAGATTAGCTACAGGGATGTTGTCAGCAACCCGAGTGCCCACTGAGACACCAGCTTCTGATGCTTTCATGATGTTCATCTGCTGAGACCTGGGTTAGAGATGGAGAACAGCAAAAGTGGATATAAATAAGTTAAGCTGTGGTGTCATGCTCTCACACCCAGTAGTTGCAATACGATCCGTTCACGCTCTGCTGTATTGAGCAGTAGATATGCTACACAGCACTTTTTAAACTCTACAATTCGTTGGCGATACTTCGGCCTCGCAGGGCTAAAATCCTGAAATACATTTCGGCCGCATCAAACGTTCGGCCAAATATGCCCCGGCCGAAAATAGCCGCAAATAAATATGCTCCGAATATTTGTCGACTCACAGTACACACGTATGCATGTGTACGTGTGAGCGTGTACCATTGACAACTTTCCACACTCCCCTACAGCGAAACTAGCATCAAAAAAGTTTAGTTGAATGCAACGCTGCCCAACCAAATACCAGCCAGCAAAGACCAACACTTTCAGCACTTGACACTTGACAGAGCGTAGATCATTAAGTACAGTACTGGCGGTCGCCGAAGAACTCTGTGTGTGTGTGTGTGTGTGTGTGTGTGTGTGCGTGCGTGCGTGCGTGCGTGTGTGTGTGTGGTCAGCCTCGTAGCCTAGGCCGTTCTTATTGTCATGTACTACAGTCTATGCATAGTTGAGTCACTGTGTGTACATTGGTATGCTGTGCTTGGTGAAATTCTAGCCTGTTCCAAGTGTTTGTTCTTCAGCGCTCCGTTCTTCGGCGCCCGACAGTACCGTAGGACACTTCATGCATCCCTGGCCAGTAGCCATGGCATGGGAAGCAGCCAGCAGCCTTGCAGACATGGCTGCCATCACCACTGCTGCCGCTGTTCCCGTGGACTAACCTCATGGAGAAGAGCAGTTGCTCCAGCTTGTACAGCTGCTGCTCTACCAGCCTCCGCTGGTGTTCCTCATTTAGCTTGGCTTCAAAGTCAACAGGTTCCTCCCAGGTGAGCAGTAGTTCTATATGGAACAGAGCGTTGTTGGATGAGAGAGGGAGAGGGGGAGAGAGAGAGAGAGAGAGAGAGAGAGAGAGAGAGAGAGAGAGAGAGACAGAGAGGTGTCATGCAATCCTTGAGAATTTCCTTCATGCCACTGGCATGATGTCTTCGCATTAACATTCTCCGACCGCATACTTGACTATTCCAAAAACGAAGTCTATATTTCAGGCAGGTTTCAGAATTCTAAAGGACTTGATGATTTCGAGCTGTGTCGTGAATATGCATCACGAATCCGCGTTACGCTCATTATTATGTCTTTATTTGTTTATGTGTTACATCATGTTGACGTCATGCTGATGTCTTGCTGCACACATCGCGTGCACCGTTTTGCAGCTCTCAGCCCGGAGCATGCGCAGCGAGCCTGTGGCTCCTTTTTTGCTGCCTTTCCCCTTTTGCATGCTTTGACATGCTTCACCTTGTCTCAACTAACTAGAACTTGTCTCAAATAAGGTTTTCTGGTGACACTCCTTTTCAAGTCACCTAATCCTTTCAAGTAACAAGTGCAATGTCGTTCCGTGAACCGGAACCACTCCATATTTGAGTTACCAAGACGTATTTGTGCGTAGCTATACAAGCTCTCCTACTCAACAGTTCAAAGTTGCGCACAAGCTGGAAAATCAAGCGTGATGGTTCTTACGAAAACACAGAGAACGTTTTGAAGGCCAAGGTCAATTTTTTCATCATTTTTCACTCAACCCCCCCCCCCCCCCCACCGACACGACACTGCATCTCGAAAAAACAGGCTTGCATTCAAAACAGGCTTCTAAATGAGACAGGCTTTAATACAAGACACTACGATACACGTCTTAGCAGAGTACATACTGTTAAGTGTGTTCCACTGTACTCACTCTGTGGACACGCTACGATTGTCGTGGCATCATACACTTTCAGAACGCCCTGCATTGTTACATACGTGTACGCATGTGCGTAAGTGCGTGCGTAAGTGCACACACACACACACACACACACACACGTACACAAGCACACATACGCGCGTGCACACACATGCACACACACACACACGAGAAAACCACACTCATATGCAAAAACAGGTACACAAACGCACGCATGTACGTACATACAAACATGTACAAACATACACAAACATACACACACATACACACAAGCACACAAACATGCACAAACATGCACACACATACACACAAGCACGCACACACGTACACAAATGCACGCAGATGCAACACAATTTAAACGAGATGGAGAATATAATCGAAAATCCGCTTCTGCCAAAGCTACTAAAAAGTTTTGCCTTCACAACCCCTCGAAAATTATTCAAAGTGTGCATCTAGATGTACCTCATATGCCTTATTTGGGAAAGAGAATAACATTGCTTTGCAGGGCTTCTTCGCTGCTCTGTCCCCCTACCTTTTTATCCCAGAATCTCGTCTTCTCCGATTCCAGCAGCTGATTACACCAGTTACGCTCCAGATTTAACTGTGCATCCTGTTTGATTTCGGCGTAGGTATCGCTCAGCTGTGCAATCAGGATGTTCAACAGCACGATGAGAACCATGAAGAGATAGAGGATGCGCAGGAGAATCGTCGGCCAACTGTGCGCAGAAGAACATGCGTGGAAATGTCAGAGACGCGTGCACACACATATACACACGCGCGCATGCACGCACGAACACACACACAAGCACATACAGTCGTCGGTGGTGAAGTAGAGCACACAAGCACAGTGGACTGTAGTCTGTATGGGTGCTGATGTCCCATGGCACAACGGCAAGAAAGTAATGCATAAGTGATGACCAGCGCTCTTTAACTACAGGGCACACGTGTCGTAGAGTGGTTCTTTAAAGAGGCCGAACCTCCTACACACCTGGCAAGGCTGACCGGTTTCGTCTTGTTTTCACAGAATCATCAGAGAAGGTCCAGCATCTTTAAAGAGCAGTTCAGTTGTCTGAGGATTGCCATGATCTGGCAGGAAACCATTACCGTAATCTCGCGCAGTTAAGGACATGTTCTTATTCTCATGGAATATAAGAGCACTCTCGCTTATAAGAACATGCACTTATACGTGAAGTAAAATCACAAACCACACAATGTTCATCATGGTTCCATTGTACTGGCATTAACCAATAATATGATTGTGTATGCACAAAGTCATGTCGTGGGCATGGCCGGGACAGCTCCATCCCAGTCCTGGTTGACCCCGATGGCATGGAATGCACCAAAAGCCACGACAAGGCTAACGTCATCGGGAAGTACTTTGCCCAGAAGTGCAGCCTAGACGATGACTTTGCAGAACAGTTGGGGCCGTTCCCGCATGTCCGCCAGCGCACCGCAATATACGCTTGCAACAGTCCACTTCCGCCAAGCCACCGTACGCCGGACACTCCGAGCCCTGAATCCAAGTAAAGCCACAGGGCCTGATGCAGTACCCGCTAGAGTGCTGAGAAAATGTGCCGACTCTCTGGCTCTGCCCCTATCCAAGCTGTTTACCCTGTGCTTCTGCAGTGGTCATCAACCTGCCATGTGGAAAGTTGCCAACGTCGTACCGGTACACAAGAAAGGCCCCAAGTCGAACCCCAGAAACTACCGACCGATATCACTACTGCCCATAATGTCTAAGTGTATGGAGTCCATCGTGAACCGCAGCCTGTCCAACTTCCTGAAGAAGAATGACATCCTTTCTCACAGGCAGTTTGGCTTTCGCACTGGACTGGGAACCTCTGATCTGCTGATTGCTCTTCAGCATGAGTGGAGCCTTGCAGCTGCCGGTGGAGGCCTCGTCAGGGTACTCGCAGTAGATATTGCCGGGGCCTTCGACAAGGTCTCGCACAACGACGTCCTCTACAAGGCTGAGCAGTGCGGCATAAGTGGCCCCCTCCTTGCCTGGCTCCGGAGTTACCTGACAGACCGCCACACCCGTGTCGTCATAGGTGGCCAGTCTTCACCGACCCACCGAATCCAATCTGGCGTGCCGCAGGGCAGCATCCTCGGCCCCATCCTCTTCCTTCTGTACGTCAACGACGCAGAAGACCACCTGCCTGATGGGGCGAAGCTGGCTGTATACGCCGACGACACAACTCCCTACAAGTGCATCACCACCCGACTCAGACTGCCAGAAGAGACAGCAATCCTCCAGCAGACAGTAGACTCACAAGCAGCATGGGGAAGCAGGTGGAGGATCAAGTTCGAGCCCACAAAGTCGCAGGCATTGACCATCAGCCACCACCGCTCGCCAACCCCCCCCCCCCCCCCCCGAACGCAATACGCTTCCAAGGAGCAGTCGTGCCAGAAGTAGGGGAGTTCAAGCTTCTTGGCGTCACCTTCGACAGGCAGCTGGCATTCCGCAGCCATATCCGACAGCTTGCAGTACGCGGAGCCCAGCGGCTCGGCTTCCTCCGTAAGGCATCGGCTGTGCTAGACCCAAAGCACCGGGCAATCGTGTACCGTGGCTTTGTCCGCCCTGTGCTAGAGTATGGCATGCTGGTGTGGATGAGCGCAGCCCCCACCACCTTGGCCCGCCTCACTGCCATCCAGCGCCGTGCCCTGCACATAATTGGAGATGGATCATACCTCCTGAGCCTCGACATTCGCCGTACCGTAGCAGGGCTCTGCTTTCTGTACAAGCTGCACTTTGTGGAGGGTCCGGAAATGGTGAAAGCCATTCTGCCACCATCAGCAGCCGCACCGCAACACCGCATGCCTACTCGTGAGACAACCAGATCTGCAACACATCATCCATCGCAACTCACCAGTATCCTTCCTCCTCAGGCACGAAACAACACGCTCCGCTCATTTCCCCACTCCCTCATCGCAACGTGGAATCAGCTCCCACCTACCCTTCTGCAGTCTCCCCCTTCTCGCAGAGGCATGCACACGTTCAAGAAAAACGTCAACGACCACTTGCGGCGCAGCAAGTGGGAGTGGGCCACAGACAGGCTATGATCTCTGCCAAATTATACTGACCGCACTCCAGCTCCCTTCTACCCCTCTTTGATCCCCTTCGCTCAGCCTTAAAATCCGATTATCAGTTCACTCCATCTTCCTACGGTGCACTGCTTTTACTATTGTTTTGTCCTATCCCAATCTCAAATTCTCCCCATTATCGTTTGCAAAGCCGGTGCTCCCCTCTTGGATGCACATGTTTCTTTTCTCCTATGTATCGGCGCACAGGAGTAACGATGATTCCGAGACCTTTGGTCGGAGGAGTTACTTTTGCCCCGCCCCCACTTCCATCCAATATGCCACCGCCCCCGCTGTGCAGCATCTGATGGTACTGTGGTATTCAGTAAAAAAATATAAAAATATAATGTTGATGCGATGTTTGTCTCTCGCATATAAGACCATGGTCTTATAATCGAACGAAAATGCACTTGTGAAAGGACCGAAAACAGCGACTTTTCGATTATAAGACCATGGTCTTATATGCGCTACGTTACGGTAGCTACAATTTAACCAGACCCGTGCAGTGCTCTGTGACTCCCCTGTGGTATAGCTCTGCTCTTGTCAGCATTGAACACTCTATCGGACCGGAGGACTCTGCTCTCTGTCACCAGAGTGTACAAATATTTTGCGTCTCGACTGCATACAAAATTAGTAAGATGTGTATGAAACAGATGCACGTTTACAGAATGAGCACACGCTAGCACTTACAAATATCCCGTGCCGAAGTACGTTCCAACATTCTCGTTCTGAACCATGATACGAAGTAGAGTGACAACAATGTGTGGGTAATCCCTAATGAAAACACACATGCACATGCACAGACACACATACACATGCACAGACACACATACACATGCACAGACACACATACACATGTGAAGAAGGAGCATGAGACATGATTAATCGGCTGCAGTGGAGCCTCCGCATATTGAAGACGGTAGTACCATGGCCGTTCATACTTTGTGTATGATATGGCAGGTACTAGTACACATGCTCTCAACAGTAGGAAAAAGGATGGTCAGATGAGAACCTGACAAGCCGGATCGGTTCCAGCAACCCCGCGCACACATGATCCCAAAACACTCACGAGAGTTCGTCAGTGCGGTCTAGATCCGTGCCAGTCAGCCCGTTAGACTCCGGGTAATCAGATCCACCCAGCAGTAGGTAGGTGGAGCCGCTGAATGCCAGCAGGAAGATACAGTAGATGATGGAAAAGCGCACCATGTCCCTCACCATGATCTTGACTAGAATTTGTAGGTAGATACCGGTGATCCTGAGAGAGAGAGGGAGAGACAAGAGAGAGAGAGAGAGAGAGAGAGAGAGAGAGAGAGAGAGAGAGAGAGAGAGAGAGAGAGAGAGAGAGAGAGAGAGAGAGAGAGAGAGAGAGAGAGAGAGAGAGAGAGAGAGAGAGAGAGAGAGAGAGAGAGAGAGAGAGAGAGAGAGAGAGAGAGAGAGAGAGAGAGAGAGAGAGAGAGAGAGAGAGAGAGAGAGAGAGAGAGAGAGAGAGAGAGACGAGAAGAAGAGAGAGAGAGAGAGAGAGAGAGAGACGAGGGAGACAAGAGAGAGAGAGAGAGAGAGAGAGAGAGAGAGAGAGAGAGAGAGAGAGAGAGAAAGAGAGAGGGAAAGAGAGAGAGAGACGAGAGAGAGACAGAGAGAGACAGAGAGAGATGAGAGAGAGAGAGAGAGAGAGAGAGAGAGAGAAAGACGAGAGGGGTGATGATAAAATCAGTACATAGATGGGGAAGTAGCCTATAGTCTATACTGAAAGTCTACAAATTTCCGGCGCTTTTAATTTCGACTTGCCAGAGCTAAAAATACATTTCGGCCGCATTAAAATTTCGGCTTTTACTGCTGCTGCCTGTATACACTGTCACACCAAACCTTGCAAAACAAAATTTCGGCCAAAGAGGTTAAAAATAGCCGAAAATAATAATTATGTGCTGACTACTTGTTGACTTACAGAACAAGATGATATGCACGACGATGTCTATACTGAACTGCTTTATTGTATCGGTAATCAGTTCACAAATCATTCAAACACCTTCTGCACAGTCTCTCCTACTGTATTCTGAATAAGGAGAACACATTGCTTGGGTGAATATGGCCAGTGGCTCACACAGCCGTACTTGACCCAGTGCATCACACACCTGACCCAGTGCATCACACACCTGACCCAGTGCATCACACACCTGACCCAGTGCATCACACACCTGACCCAGTGCATCACACACCTGACCCAAGGACTCACTCAGTGATGCACACCATTTGACCATTTGACGCAGATCGCCGGAGGCGAAGATAGCGATGCTACAGCAGAAGCCATAGCAACTTGTGCTGGGATTGCACCATTCAACAGCTTGTAAGGCTGAAGAATTGACCGCCACTATTCAGCCTTGTCTATAGATCTACCACACAGCTATGACGTGGCTTTTTTATGGCCAGTGAAACCCTACTTTTTGGTCTTTTTCATTTTTCCCGCACACACACCACACCACATACTCCGGCATGCACTGGCTGTTGGTAACCACCCAGGAGAATGAAAGAAAAGCACACACATACACACATACACACACGCACACACACACACACCTACACTTACACACACGCACACACACACACACCTACACTTACACACACGCACACACACACACACACCTACACTTACACACACGCACACACACACACATCTACACTTACACACACGCACACACACACACACCTACACTTACACACACACACATAACCCAGTGACTCACAGGGTTATCATGAACCTGAACCAGTGGACCACACAGACACACACACACACACACACACACACACACACACACACACACACACACACACACACACACACACACACACACACACACACACACGGACATTACACACCCGACCCAGTGACTGACACACACACGCACGCACGCACACATGCACGCACGCACACACACACACACACACAGACAGACAGACAGACAGACACACCCACACACCCACACACCCACTCACCCACCCACACCCACACACACACCCACACACACACACCCACACACACACACAGCCCTACACATACCTGAGTATGGAGATAGACACGAGTATGCGCATGGTAACGAACATGTAAAGAACGGCCATGAACTCCCACTGGGCAAACGACTGGCTCACTCTCAGCGGGATCAACGCAAAGAACGACAGACTGGTGAACACTTGGTAGTAATTGGACGGCTCTCGGAGGTAATTGCGCACACCAGACCTGAGAGAGAAGGCAAAAAGGCAATCCACACACCGGCATGGCTATCAATAATATTGGCATGGCTAATCCACATTGGCATGGCTGTCAATAGTATTGGCTGTGCTGTCATCGTAACACACCCACATTCCAACGAAATCCAGTATGGGTCTACCGGAACGTTTCTTGTAACGATCATCAGTGCAACTGTTTGTTTCTATTCACTATCTAGACACAGTGGTGTTTCTGCCTTCTCATCCAACCATACGGCTAGGTCCTCAATAAAAGACGACGAATTGTCATCCGTTCCTTGTAAGGGTTGAGAGCTCATAATTACGGCTACTACGGATCGGTGAGTGTGTGCATTGTGCACTAGGGTAACATCTACTGGAAGTACACTGGATATCAAAAAAGTATTCTTTCTAGACCAAAGAGTGGTATATTTGATAAATAAAGATAGAAATATTTACGATACTTCTCCAGACGTTTCGTTGTTCTGAACAACATCGTCAGTGGATAAAATATACCACTCTTTGGTCTAGAAAGAATACTTTTTGGATATTACATTGAGAGTGGATAATCAACGGCTTGTCCACCAACTCTTTGTAAATTGGACAGTTCTTACTGTTTAAGTTCCAGGCCCTCAGCTAGGAGACTGGCGGCCGTGAGAATGAGCATGAGAATTTCGATGGCAAGTCGCGTGTAGTCCAGGAAACTGTCGTACTGTAGCGGGTTACCGTGAATGGCTTCACTGACATCTGTGTATGTGTGTACACGTGTACGTGTGTGTTTGAGAGAGAGAGAGAGAGAGAGAGAGAGAGAGTGTGTGTGTGTGTGTGTGTGTGTGTGTGTGTGTGTGTGTGTGTGTGTGTGTGTGTACGCACATGTAAAGTGTACACGGATACGTGATAAGCGAACAAGTCACAGCCATACAGTTCAGGCACAGGCAGGGGCGTCTGTGCGTGCCTGGACGCACAGCTTAAACCACCCCTGCCCTATTGGGGTGTGATACTTCTCAGATCGAAATATGCCAGCAAGTAAATCAGATCAGGCCGTGTCAGAAAATGATGAACTGCCAAAGAAATACCACGTCTGGTATGGTATGATATACAGTAAAACCTGTACTAAAGACCACTTTGCCAGGCACGGACGGTCTCACATTCACGTACGGTTGTGCGGTGTAAACCTCTAACTAAGGACCACCTGCCACTAAAGACCGCTTTCTCTGGCCCCAAGGGGCAGTCGTTAGTCACAGGTTTTACTGCATTTCAAAAGCATTGACCTCTCATCATCATCATCATCATCATCTGCGTTGCCGAAAAAATAATAAAAGTAAAATTTTAAAAATAATAATAAACGGCATTATGCAGCTGTGTAAGCAGTAGATGCACAGTGCGACTGCCAGGCATCTCTGTCAGATGCCAACTGGCAATTCTCATGCAGAGACATACCAGTCCACGAAACGATGTTGTCAGCAAAGGAAATCTTCGGACGACCACGCTTTCTCTTACCATCCACGACACCAAACATCACGTCACGTACAAGCTCGCAGCCAGATGGGCGGCATGTGTGCCCGAAATAGGTCAGTTTGCGTATCTTGACCCTGGCTAGCAGCTGTCTCTGTACTCCCAACTCCACCAGGATACTGTCATTTGTGCGCTTCTCCATCCAGGATACTCTGAGCAGACGTCGGTAGCACCACATTTCTGCTGCCTGTATTCGTCGTTCATCTGTCTTCCGCAGAGTCCAACTCTCAGCTCCATACAGCAGGACAGACCACACTAAGGCATGCATTATCCGGATTTTCAGCTGTCTGGAGATGTTGTGGTCTTTCCAGATGTCAATTAACTGCAGCATACGCTCTTTCGCCATGGCAATTCTTGACCGAATATCGAGGCTGCAATCACCGTTTGTTGTCTTCCAGGATCCCAGATACTTGAAACTGCTCACCTCTGCAATTCCCTCTAGACGTTTTCAAATAAGTTGAAATAACTCAAACTTGGTTTGAGCTTTTTGAGAAGAATCTTCGGGATATTGATCAGGCGGTTCTCACTGCTATAAACGCCCAATTTCGGAAATTTTATGCACAAAGTGATCACAGATTATGTGGTATGCTGGCCTAACAGCATCATCGAAACCAGAGGTCTATACTTTTGAAAGGCACCGTACTTCGAGTAGTAACAACAACAACAACAACAACAACAACAACAACAACAACAACAACAACAACAACAACAACAACAACAACAACAACAACAACAACAACAACAACAACAACAACAACAACAACAACAACAACAACAACAACTCACTGGTCGCAGCTTGAAAGGAGCTGGTTCTCTTGCCAACAGCCGTCATGAATGCAAAGGAGCAGAGAGTGACGTAGCACAGATATAGGAGAAGTGCTTTGCTGTATTCAAACACACACACACGCACACGCACACACACACACACACACACACACACACACACACACACACACACGCGCACACACATACATATACACACATAGACACATGCACACACGCAGACACGTACGCAGGCACGCGTACACAGACACTCACACATGCACACATCCGCACACACGCAGTCATGCACACGCACACACACACGCACACACACGCACGCACACACACACACACACACAGACACATGCACACATACACATGTACACACATAGACACGTGCACACACAGTACAAACCCAGATATCACAAACACTGTACTGTCAACGACAACGCAACAAGCACTAACTCTCCGCCATGGTCAGCTTTGAGCTGCAACAGCCTTGCTGTAAGTAACCTAGGTTTGTGTGACCCAACCCCTTCAGGATCTAGGACTCAGAGTAGGAGTCATCTGCAAAGCTAGTGGCCCGATGAACAGAGCGAGGAGCATATGATATCGCGAGCTGAAGAATGCTCTGGTTTTCTCTTCAACCCCCCCCCCCCCCCCCCCGCATTCCCCTACTAACGAATATTGATTATACCGCCGCTCTGTTTTAAAAGTCTACATCTTCTTAAGGATGATTTTGAGAGATCAGGGCTGGTACATCATCACGTTGATATTACTCAAGCTTTTGCCAAATGAGACAAACGGTTGTCATCAAACGCCAGGGAGTCACAGTATATTGTGAGACGACGTGGGCGACTTAAACGCTAAATCATGTGCATTCATGGGTTTCGACCCCGGGTGGCACATTACATTTGCCCTTGGGGCAAGGCTGATTGAAACACGCTGTAACTGGCTTATTGCATCGCTTCGCTGGACCACGCCAAGGCCGTCACAGCCGGGGCGGCCCCACTTTCTTTGGCGTTTTTCTTTTCTTTTTTCTTTTTGGAGCACACTGCAACAAAGCGCGATGATCGCAGCTCAGCGCAAACGTGGCAAATCCTTGTCCCCGATCGTGGTTTGCTGCAGAATGAAAAAGTCTTTTATTGCAGTTACACTGAAATGGCACCAAATGCCTGGAAATGCTTGCAATTGGCTTCAATTTTTGAATTTTTTTCCCGGAGGAGGGTCATGTTTGTCCCCGATCGTAGCGTTTTCTTGGTTTGTTGCAGAATCAAAAAGTCTTTCATTGTAGTTACACTGAAATGGCACCAAATGCCCAGAAATGTTTGCAATTACAGTCCCTTCAGAAAAAGATGGACTTCTTGCTTTTGGCCATAAATGGGTCAAACGTTGAGTTTTTTTAGAATTTTTTTCTGCAATCCCCTATGGAATCCTCTTCCAATTATGTTTCTAAAGTCTATTTCTCCAAAAAGCAAGCCGTAACAAGAATAGTATTTCGGCCAGGTTTTGCCCCAAGAGCACTGAATTGGGAAAGACCATCAAAATCCAGGCCGTTTGATCCTGCCTGCAACAGTGCATTGTATGGTTCGAACCCCAGTTCAGGTACCCTTTTTGGACCCTTTTTCAAATTTCAAACTTCGCAGCACTGCACTGTGTACGATAAAATCTTGAAAATTCGCCAAATACGGGAGCTCGCCAGAGCCAGGGCCCATCTTTTTGTGAATGGACTGTAGTTTCAATTTTTAAATTTTTTTCCGGGGGACGACCCCCCCCCCACCCCCCTTCCATGGCCACCCCACCTCCAAAGCCGGTGCGACGGGCCTGCCACACTCAGAGACAGCAAGTCCAGGTGGCAATTGCCATTGTGAATTTCACCGGCGTATCACGCTCCGCAGCAGACGTGTAGTATTTTTCGCCACAGGTACTCCCCTGCTGGACACAAGGCCATCACGAGCGCTTCGTGCTGAAGCCGGCTAACAAGCATCCCGCCAAGATTCCTAGCTACGGAACACGTCAGCAGACGTACGCAGAGGGCAGAAGCGTTAGCATTGCCCAGATCGGTGAACTAGCTGCAACAGCTGAGGGCACAACATTACATTACGACGGAACAAGCAAGTTTGGACACAAGTACATGGGTTTCCTACTTGGCAGCAGCGAAGGGCAACTCACCATGTCAGTCGGTGATGTCGTTTCTCGTTCGGCAGAGCACGCACTGGCATTGCTCAAGGAAGTAATCGGCACCCCGCCTCCTGTTGATAATGTTACCGGAATAGCGACTGTAAGCTTGAAAACTGGTGCTAACCTTGCTCCTTCCAAGTCGCTTTCGTGAGCAGCATAAACAATTGATGTGTGGTGTTTGTTCGTCGTTTGTAGAGGCTGCTCTAGAAACGCCATGTTGTAAACACTTGTTCGTGCAAAGTGCATTACACGTTGGCCGGAACAAAGTATGAAACGTCCGCAGTGCAAACATGCACTGTGTATAGATTGATTTGGGGTCACCACATCCTACTGTGGCTGATATCACTATGCTGCAGTCAGTCTTAAAATGTGATTTTCACGAGACGCCACTAATACTAGCAATAGGCTGCCCAGTGCAGATGAGGCTTTGTGACCTAAGTTAAGAGCCACATGCAGAATTGTTCGCACGGCCCAAGCACCCCATCCACTCCTATTCAGAGAGTAGTGTCCGAATCTGAATCCTCCACTCTTGAGGATATCCTGTTGGTGGACACACCCGCGGCATAACAGACGCAGGCGAGAAGCTGCCCTGTACCCTGCGCAATACCACGACAGACCGTGCTGCCGCTGCAGGTAACGCTAAGTTCAACGTACTCCTCGGCAAGTACCGGCAATCGTACTATCGGCAAAGGTTCCTGACTGGGACCAAGTACCTGATCAGGAGAAGGCATTGCTCTCCAAGATGAACGATCACTGTTGCCGCCCCCACATGTAGATATATGGCGGAAGAAGATGGCAGATGACAGTGCCATAGAATCGGATTTGGAGGAGGAGGAGTGGCCGCAGGTCATAATAATCAGCGATGATGATGATGACGACGTTGAGGATGGGCCACCAGCACCACCACCACCACCACCACCACCACAACAACAACCACCACAACCACTACATCATCTGAAAGGATATGAGGAGGTGGTGGTGGTGCGAAGAGAGCTCCGTGAAGATGGCCTCGTGCGGGTCATCAGTTTCACTACCAAGACCTTTATTTACACCACGGGTGAGGAGGTCACACACGCACACATGTTCGTTGGTGAATCTCGCTGAGCAGTGCAATGCTGCCCTGCACAGGTGCAAGAGCGGCACCATGGAGGGAGAAGAAGTTGCACAGAGAACAATAAAGAGGCTGGCACCATCCGTCTTACCAGGACTGCATGCCTTCTGCTGCAATCAAGTCGCTGATGAGAGCGCAATTGAATCGGATTATGAGGACGATTGGCCACAAGTCATCATCATTAGCGATAGTGACGATGACGCCGATGATGTCCAACAAGAACCACCACCACCACCACCACAACCACCACAACCACTACAGCAGCAACACCATCTGAAAGCATATGAGGAGGGGGTGGTGATGGGAAAGGAACTGGAGGAAGACGGTGTAGTGAGGGTAACTACATTAACCACGAAAACGTTTATGTATAGTAATGGCGTTGATTTCATGTGGACTTTGCTACCTCCTGCGCCAGCCGTGGTATCACCGCTCTACCGTTAGCCGCGTTCAAAGGCAACAGGTTCAACATCATATTCTTCGATGCTGCAGGTGTTCATTTTCTCAAGGCACTCATGACGGAGTACTGTTCTTTGGCGGAAAAGAACAGGCTGATTGAGGCAGTGGAGAAAGATCCGGCCGATCCACATTATCTGGCCGGATGTCGTGCACTTGGCATTATTGGTAAGATTGTCAGCGGTCCGCTGTGGCAAATTCTTGTCCAGGACATGGGTACGGACCCACAGACGCATTGTTTCTGTGCGTACGTGTACTTGAAGCGCGCAAACCGCGACGAGTGCACACGCTTTCTCGTGTTCCTCTACTGGCAATGCGAAGTGAAGGTGCTGCTGAAGTCGCACAAGCGCTGGCTCCGCTCTGCTTGTGAACAGTCACTGATGTACAGTATGGTGTTTCGTGACCATGGCGACGCTTACCCTGCACACTCTAGACTGGAATAAGTCCTCTGTATTTTCTCCGATTTGCTTCAAGCGTTGCCAGCATCCTCTACCCGTCTTCAGGAATCGGACGGTATTACAATAGCTGACCGGTTCTCAAAGCAGAAATCTACCCTGACGTCGCTACCCAAGGTCGTAACGTTATTCACGAGGTTGACTCTACATCGTTTCAGGAACTATGGGTGTCTCCGTAGACGCTATGACTCACCGGGGGTACAGTACACTAACGGTGAGTGAGTACTTGAAGACGAGGACGATGACAATCATACTGTAATGGACTGTTAGGGGCATAAGGTGGAACAGTTCTATGCCAGACTGTTTTTTTCCTTTTTTTTACTTACATGACCCCCCCCCCCCCCCCTGGGTACACAATACACCAAGGGTGATATGACTCCCTGGGCGTACAGACCACCTAGATGCTATGACTCCCTGGGCGTACAGACCACCTAGATGCTATGACTCCCTGGGCGTACAGACCACCTAGATGCTATGACTCCCTGGGCGTGCAGACCACCTAGATGCTATGACTCCCTGGGCGTACAGACCACCTAGATGCTATGACTCCCTGGGCGTACAGACCACCTAGATGCTATGACTCCCTGGGCGTACAGACCACCTAGATGCTATGACTCCCTGGGCGTACAGTACACTTAGGGCGCGTTCAGACTGCCGTGAATCCCGTCAAACCGTGAAAGGCGATAAATCGTGAAGGACATTCACACTACCGATAAACTGATGTTACCGGTACGTAAGTTTTGCAGTTCTCACCGCGGCGCTGAGAAGGGATTTTCCCTTTTCCCTTCAGCCTGAGCACTCTTTTTACTGCCGGAATGCAGTTACCACCGCAGCAGCCGGTGCAGTAACGCGGCAGTGACACTTTTACGCCGGTAACGTGCCAGTAACGGCACGTGATCAAATCACCTTGGAAACTTTCCCATTCCGTCACTTTTTATCGGTAGTCTGAACGCACCCTAAGGGTGATATGACTCCCTGGGAGCACGGTACACCAAGGGTGATATGACTCCCTGGGAGCACGGTACACCAAGGGTGATATGACTCCCTGGGTGTACAGCACACCAAGGGTGATAAGACTCCCTGGGTACACACTACACAGACCACCGAGATGCTATTACTCCCTGAGTGCACCGCACACTGTGGTGAGTGAGTACTTACATTGCTTTAGACTCGCCGTACTTGGCCCACTTATGGTGGATGAGTATGCGAAGAAGATTGTGTGATCGTAACTCCTGGTCAGCGGACAGAGAGACAGAGATACAGACAGACAGACAGACAAACAGACAAACAGACAAACAGACACACACACATACAGACAGACAAACAGACACACACACACATACAGACAGACAAACAGACACACACCCAACACATAACACAACACACGTGTGGTAACCACATTGATGCGTTTGCACAGGCTCAGCACAGGCACGTTTGCACAGGCTGACAATAATATCCAATAAAGATCAGCTTCTTTTTCTCATGCATATGTTAGAACATCTAGTACACTATGAAGCCGACGCCTAAGACCAGTCGCCGAGTATACTATGTCTCACCACCACTTTGTTCCTCGATTCTAACATGATTGGACCCATTGGGCACTTGTAAAGATGAAATAAAAACGTATTGTTGCAGTGGTGGTGCACTACAGTTCTGTCAGAGGCAAGCGGCAAGACGGAAGCTTCTCTGACTGACAATAGCGCTTTCATCGTCACCCTCCCATCAATTTCTGACCTAACCTGCCCATGGTAGAGTGGAAGTAAAACTTTAGTGGCTCTGAGGCTCTCCCATTCTCCCTGAGAGTTACAGATCCAAACATCTCTGACAACATTTTCTCTATGTAATGATTCATTGAGGGGAGCTGTAAGGGATGAAATGCATACATATTGCATGGCTGCTGTCTGAACACTGAGGCTGCTTTTACAAGGAGACGAAACGAGCGCGGCCCTCGAGTTGTTTTCAACCCGTTTACACGAGAACGCAAACGTTTTAAAAACGATTCAAACACTTTGAAGTACGTTTCCTATTCAGTCCGTTTCGGGGTGCGTTGTCGCGTAAACGATCGTAGCAAACGCAACGATTCCGTTCAGTTTCGGTCGCACTTCGTTGTCGTGTAAACGCAGCCTGAAATACATACACATTGCATGGCTGATGTCAGGGTACTGAGATGTATGCACATTGCATGGCTGCTGTCAGGACACTGAGATGTAATCCACTGACCTTGCTATCAGCCACCTTGGCATACGCCAGTCCCTTCTTGGCACTGAAGTTAGGATGGTCAGGTGGTCGACCAGAGGAGTCCGTTTCCATGACAGCAAAGTAGAACTTGTACTGCTCGCTATCGATTTTCTCTATCATCGTGTCCATGATGGCTTGAGCTGTGGCCTAAGACAGACGGACAGACGGATAGACGGACAGAGGACGGACAGACAGACAGACAAACAGACAGACAAACAGACAGAAAGACACACACACACACACACATACTGTTACGCATGATACACAGACAGACAGTGTGTATCGCGTATAGCGTGGGTCTTTGAAATCAGCTTGCCATTATTACATGCAATGTATTACTGCCTGCAAAGCGGGGGGGGGGGGGGGGGGGGGGGACATGTGTCATGCGCGGCATTCACGTGCACGTACATAGTACATGTAACGGTACGGTACTCTTCACCGCTGGCGCGCATATTGTTTGCCACATGCACAGTTGTTTCCTGGCGTTCTCTTGTCATTTTCGGCTTGTTATTTTCGGTCTTGAGACAGTTCTGTTAAGATAGACAATGGCGAGCAACAAAGAGAAGCCAAAGAGGAAGTGTCTTTCGGTGGACGACAAGAGGAAATTTTTGAACTTTGTTGATAGCAATCCAGGTAAGACTCTGGGAGATCTTAGTCGTCACTTTTCCGCATCGCAGCCGACAATCTCTTCTATACTGAAACGGCGTGACTCCATCAGTGCCCTTGCTGCCGAGCGACTGACGCAAGTGAAAAGAAAACGAGAAACAAAATGCGACTTACAGGAAGATGGACTGCAGAAATATTTTGAAGCTGGCAAGGCCAAAAAATTGAAAACCATGTCCTACTACATGCTGACATTATTTATTTATTTATTTTTATTCTTATTTCTATTCTTATTTTACTAGGGAATTCCCAACAGGCGTCATCGCCTTCTTACAGGGAACCCTAACAAAAAAAGGAGAAAAAAGAAGACATGCTGATGGAAAAAGGAAAGGATTTAGCCGCTGGTCTCGTCAGAGCTGGACTTGCGTCTGAATCCGACTTTCCAGACACGGACACGGCATGGAAGTCCCATGTTCACCGCTACTTGCATCGACGAGGGATAAAGACGAATAAAGCGCACGGCGAGTCTGGTGATGCGGATGTCGAAGGAGCGAAGGAGTTCATCGGAAATGTTTGGCCAGAATTGTTTCGTTCTGTGGACAGTGATCCGAGCCGTGTATGGGAACATGGAAGAGACCGGTTTGTTTTGGCGTACCTTGCCGAATCGCACTTTGGCAAAAGTGGACAAAAAGGTGAAAGGCAGTAAGACCCAGAAGGATCGTGCCACGTTCGCCACTTGTCTTTGCATGGATGGCAGCGTCCTTCCATTGCATGGCCTAGGCACTGCCCGTTTGCCCCGTGCTGTAGCTGCTGCGAACACTGCCCCTGCCACTGCGTTAGGAGGACGATGGACCAGCAACAACAAATTCTGGATGAACCGTGAAGTGTTCCGCGAATGGCTGCTACAAGATGTAAATCGTCACCAAGCGCAAGGGGAAGAAGATCGTTCTGTTGGTCGACTACTGTCCTGCCCACAAGTGTGACACTGTGAAGGACAGGTTGGACTTTGTGTCGTTGGTATTCATCCCTCCCAATACCACGTCCATCATACAGCCATGTGATGCTGGGGTCATCAAACCCTTCAAGAGTGGCTACAGGAAGCAGATGACGCGCAAGGTGTCATCCTTCATCGATGATCCTGCTCTGCCTGAAATTATTCCGAAAGAGGGAAGCGTGGAGCAGAACTGGTAGCTTGCAGCAGTGTGTACAAACCCTACTCGATCCCTGACATTAGCTTGTTGTGGGTCGCACTGATGAACATGCATGTGTTCAAGGATTATGTGGGAGGGCATGAACGTATGATTGGCATGCCCTGCGTGGCCCTGGTATTTAGCAGAGTCAGGTTTTGGACTGTCTCCCGACAATGACTGCATGTGGAGCTGCTGATTGAGGGGAGAGTCAGTACAAGCACAATATCCGCATGGGACACGATGTGAGGCGTTTTGGAGATGCCGCGAGATTGTGTAGAGCATTCTGGCCAGGCAGGATACGTAGCCGAGGACTGAGAGCAAGTCGCCAAGCAAACATCTAGCAATCACGTTGCATTGGTTTGCCCATGCTCCCTGCCCAACCTGCATTGCTGCAGGGTCTGGGAGTGTGGGGTGGCACTGCTGTCCACATAGTGCACTCCACTGTCAATGTGTTTCTGACAGGGTTGGTGCCAAAGATGATTACATTCCCGCAAGGGCCAGAATTAGGGAGAGTGATGGCAGACTTCCAAGACTTGTGTGGCCTGCCCTACTGCATTGTGTAGGAGCAATCGACGGCACGTTCATGGAATTAGAGAAGCCTGTAGCCCATGGCGATGGGTATTGGTGTGCTACAAGAAATATCCAGCCATAATGATACTCGGGACAGTCGATGCAAGAGGCATCTTTATCAATGTGAACTGTAGCAGACCTGGCAATGTGTTGGAGATGCAGCAACACTTCCAACATCTACACCGAGGCTTGTCTTTCGCTCACCTTGTCCATTGTTATCACTAACAAGTTGGGAACGTGAACTTAAGTAAAATAATCTGCACCGAGGCAAACAATAGTGGATAAGGTGAGGTTGGTCAGCGATCCGTTGCCAATCGGAGGCATGGCCATCCAGCAGTACCTTGTGGCCGAGTCCGCTTTTGCCCTCAACACATTCACAACGCAATGCTTTGCTACCCCTGTGGCAGCTGAGCTGCAGTCGGTCAACAACCGCCTTATTCACACTCGTAGAGTAGCGGAGAAGCTTTCGGCAGACTGAAAGGACAGTTCCACATCTTGGTGCGTACCAGCAGCAGCATCAGCTATCCTACTTCGAAATACCGTATTTCCCCGATTATAAGTCGCACTCCGTTTTCAGGTTTGAGCGATCATTAATTTTTTTGATATATTCACTTCAGTAGTAGATCATGCTCGATTGTAAGTCGCACTCCCTTTTTTACCCTTGAGTTTTAGAGTAAAAAAGTGCAACTTATTCGGGGAAATACGGCAGATTGGCTGCTGAAGTGACTGTGCTTGCAAGCTCGCTGCACAACTTGTGCGAATGATGGGAGCTGCGCGTTTGAGCAACAGTGGACAATCGACCAAGCGCAGTATGCTGCATGCGCACCATCCACCACCGGCTGAGAATGCGAATGTGGAGAGAGAGAGAGAGATGAAGTGGGGGGGGGGGGGGGGGGGGGGGGTGGAGGGGATGTCGTCCCGTTCACACATACTGGCCCAAATGGGTATATATCTGCAGGCTGCTGGATAAAAAATATCGACATGACCAGCCCAGAGTGGCATTTCGAGGTGTGCCATCGCATATGCTCTGTACGCAGAGTATAGAGTGGAAACTAGGGCCACAGTCCATTGATCCGAAGCTGGCACCTTTAAAACTCTTTGATGTCTTGCGCCTACTATGGTAGATAAAGTGAAGCCAACTGTACATCCTGCATTTTCTGACACATGCAAATTTTCCTAGCCACACACAAGGTCGGGAAAGTCAAAGACTAGGGAGTAGGAAATTTGGCCAGGTTTTACAAAGTTAGGATAGGTATGCCGTGACAAAATTTGTGAAACAGCAGGTCTGAAACCCAGAAATAACGCACCACTGTGCCATGGCTAGGCGTTCCATACATACAACGTATCACACAGGATGACGTAATCACCCAACCTTCACATGGCGAGGTCTCAAGCCAAGAGTCATCTTTGCAACGCTGCTTACCCTCATTTTGCGGTTGGACACGATGGCGTGGAAGTTGTACCTGGGCAGCACGCCCTCCACCGGCTCACACAGGAACAGGCTGCGGGCACTGTACATGTACAGCACAGACGTGCAATCACAATAGCAACCAATACACGCGCGTACATGTACACGCACATGCCCAGCCGATCACATACGCAAGCGCCGAAGCCCCACGCACACACCCACACACACACACATGCATGCACCCACACACACACACACCCACAGGCATCATTGGTCCCTTGGTGTTCATCCTAAGGATGTTTGACTGTAGAAAGATAGCAAGCGGCAAGCAACAACAGCCCAGTCAGTGTCGTCAGGCAGACAAACCCACGCTGGTGATGAGCGAGTGACAACGGAGTCACAGGTGCGCCACAATCCTCATCAAACTGCACACACCAGAGATTCAAATTCTCGCGTAGCCAGCCGGCAAGGTGGCACTATCGCCACACATAGCGGTGCCACACACGGAGAGAGATTCCTCTCACACCCTCAGACTGCAAGGGACATGACGCCATGTCCCAGTGGAAAGAAACGTGCACGGATTTCCGCTGGTGTTCTGTGCCAGTCACGGAGCAAAGAAAGTCGATGTAATGAGCGAGGGATACCAGTGTTACAGGTGCGGAATCTCCATCAAGCTATACACCACAGGCAGAGTCAAACTCTCCACAAGGCTGGCTGCATGCTGCCAGCCTGAAAGTGGCACAATCGCCACACATAGCGGTGCCACACACGGAGAGACGTTCCTCTCACACCCTCAGATTGCAAGGGACATGACGCCATGTCCCAGTGGAAAGAAACGACGAAGACATTCTCTAATACGCATAGGACCAGGAGAAGCCACTCCACCGGCGCTCTCTGCCAGTCACGGAATGAAGAAAGGCGGTGTAATGAGCGAGGGATCCAGAGTTACAGGTAAGCAATCTCCATCACGCCACACATCACAGATTCAAACTCTCCACAGGGCTGACAGCATGAGCTGGCAGCCTGAAAGGTGGCACAATCGCCGCACATGGCGGTGCCACACACGGAGAGACATTCCTCTCACACCATCAGATTGTAAGAGACACATAGCCGTGTCCCAGTGAAAAGAAACATGCAAGCACATTCTCTGATACACATTGGGACAGGAGAAGACATTCCCAAGTCCCAGCATGACACAATAGTACGCAGATGTTCTGAAATGTATACTCATTAAATGGTGAGAAGATATTCCGTTGGCGCTCTCCGACCGTCACAGAATGAAGACAGGGGTGCCCGTCAACAGACAAAGTTGCCTCTCTCTCGTATGTAGTTAGACTACTCGCACGACTAGACTCGCAAGGAAGACCTTCTTTCCCACCGTGCGTCGCATGCAGCAACGCTGGTCACCTTCTCACAATACCTGTCCACTGTCAAGGAGGCACAAGGAGAAATTCTCAATTCGTGAACCGTTCAGCAGACTTTGCCACTAAGAACTACTGGGGAGGAAAAGGAGCCCCTCGCCCTGAATGGCAAAGCCCTGCCGATTTCGGGGTCAATTTCATTAACGATCCGTCGCCTGGATGGACCCGTTAATTTGGGCAAATGTACTTTGCATAGGATGACGGGCGGCAGGACATCTCGAAAGTGGCCAAGCTCACCACTACTTGGACAAACCATTGCCCGAGAGCAACTGTTGTCTCCATGCTGTCCGCAGAAGGCATTGACGAGCGGCAAATCATGGCTGTGACAGGTCACCGCAACGCCAGGAGCCTGTCCAGCTACTCCCGACCTACTGCAGCACAACAACGGTCAATGGCTGACATCCTTGACGGGAAGAAGTCATCTAAGCCAGCAGATCCACCAGTACATGCTCCGATCTTCACTGACAAGGAGATTGACTCCATTTTCAACGTGGATGACAGCCAGCCAGCCAACTGATTCACCAGTTAAGGATCCACTCTTTACTGAAAAGCAGATCGACTCCATTTTCAACGTGGATGACAGCCAGCCAGCCAACTGATTCACCAGTAAAGGATCCACTCTTTACTGAAAAGCAGGTCGACTCCATTTTCAACGTGGATGACATGTTCAAGCCGGACCAGGAAGACATGGATCCCTTCCTGGAGAGTGGATCAGAGCGGGAGCTCACCCAGCTGGAGTAGCCTCAGCCAACTCAAGTTCAATAGCAACAGCGGCCTGTCAATTATTGTGGTGCCAGTTTCATCAGTGCTACAGCAAACATTCAGTTATAATTTCCAGTACTGCACTACTATTGACAAGCTTCCGCAATGGCCCAGGATTGAGCAGCTCTGAGAGGTTTTATTCACGCGGCATAGCGCGCGTGCGGGCGATTTCCAGCCGAGGAACAGCAGCAGAACCAGGTGTTGCACAACACTATTATGCTTACTGTGTCAATGTATTTTGCACGCAATCTGTCACTTAATTATTATTTTATAATTTGTTAGGGGCCGTCCGTAAATATCGAACATTTTTCACAAAACGAAATAATTTCGTTAGGCGGTTGACCAATTTCGTTTCAGAAAACATTGATTCATGTACATGGCTGTTGTATATGCATGTATGTCAACATTTTTTACGTTCTGAGGGGGAGGGAGGGAGGGGTTGGGTCTAAACTAAAATAATTCGTTTGGTGAAAAAAGTTCGATATTTACGGACGGCCCCTTACTGCACTACTTGTACCGAAAGGGAAATTATTTTACGGGACATAAGCTTGCGTTCAGCAATTTTTTTAGCTTTTACTACACAAACCTCCGGTCACGGCTCATTTTCAGAATTGTGTCATTTGTTTGTGATGCAATACACCCCCCGACTGTGCACCCGACTGTGCACAAACCTGCACTGCAGCACACTGTCAACCCTACATCTCCAATGCATGCATGGAGCCGCGGTACATCGTGAAAACTACGGAATTCCGAAAACGAGCCGTGGCAGGTACCCAATCAGCAGCGCAGCATACTCTGCATCCTCTGCACTGTTGCTATCAGACAATGCATGGCAGTGAAATCAAGCACAGGAAAATGAGACAGACCGTGTAAACGCAATCTATCATAAACTTAGCTCGCTCCCCCATGGCATACTCTACTATCAACAAACGTTCCTTCCTTTGGTCTCTGAGTCGTGACCAGAGTGGCATTGTGTGCTGCTTCAACCCTCCCCCCCCCCCCCTCCTCCTCTCCTATCCCCCCCCCCCCCCCCCTATTTCACGCTACAGTGGAGATCGGATATAACGAGTCTAATGACCTTGCATATAACGACAGACTGGACACAATTCTGTTGCTCATGTCGTTTAGTAAGTCCTTTGTGAAGACCGGGTATAGTGACAGATCGAATATAGTGACATTCTGTTCTCTCCCGAAGGAGTGTCGTTATATCCAATCTCCACTGTATTGGGAGGTTATCGACATATCAAACTCTTCTTGTCAGGCTGCATGTGTGAGGCTCGCCTTCACAGAGAAAGTGGTACATACTGTATAAGCAGAAGTATTCGTCTGGAATTTAATTTCGTCTTTTTCGTCCAAGGAGCTTTCAGACTAAATTAAATGCCGGACTAATGTCGATTTGTCCAACTTTTCAATACACTCTTGTGATCCATGGACGAAAGTTACAACCGGACGAACTCCCTTTCTTTGGAGTTGGATGAAATTATTGACCGGCGAAACGTTCTGCCTGTACAGTAGGTCAACGATGCACGTACACACAAGCAAGACAGCACATGTACATGTACTAACTCTTCATTGTTCATGGCCGATATGAGCAGGGCGGACATCTTGTCCTGGCTGTTGTCCAGTGCGTACTCGACGGCATAGCGACCGGAGTCGTCACGACGACCCGTTGGTACCTTCTGTGTTATCAGAGTCTACAGTCACATCGCAAGAATAGGAAACAGACACACAGAGACGAGGACTAGAACAAGCTCAATGGAAATGGGAGTATGAAAAAATAATACTACCTCCGACAAGCGAAACTTGGCGCGCTTTTATACTTCAAATTACTCGAAAGAACTCACACTTTACAATCAAAACTAATGATTGACTCACCAAAATTCAACTTTGTATTGCTCAACAAGGACATTAGAGACATCTGTTAGGCTGAACAACTCTCCTCTGATTCAGAGATAGCAGTTTCTTCTGGAGAGGAATTGTTCCTGTTTTGAGACGAAAGTGCGACTAGAGCGGATTCAGTTGCAGCAAGTGCCTGTGTTGTAATCGCTCTGAAAATCTCGATGTCGCTCCTGTGTGCTGTGCTCGAGCCACGGTGTCGTAGTCGTTTCCGCCGCCACTATCCAGATTGACGTGGTAAGAACTGTGCAACACCTCCACAAGCGCCTGGACTCCAACTGTTTTGCAGGGTGTTCTCGCCAACTGTCCAAAATTGCCTGCAGCAATTCCTGGTGATTTTCCTTAGCCACCAGAGACGCATCGCTCTGGTGGCTGTTGAAAGACGCTAGGATTGTTTGGCATGGACGCATGGACTCTGTGCTGGCGGAGTGACCAAGAGGAGAGAGAGAGAGAACTCCTTGGTTTTGCATTGCAACGCGAAAGCACGACAATTCTCCTTCGCAGAATAGACGCGCGCACAGTTTTGCTGGTACACGATAGACACGATAGACATCGCTCTGGTGGCTGTTGAAAGACGCTAGGATTGTTTGGCATGGACGCATGGACTCTGTGCTGGCGGAGTGACCAAGAGGAGAGAGAGAGAACTCCTTGGTTTTGCATTGCAACGCGAAAGCACGACAATTCTCCTTCGCAGAATGGACGCGCGCACAGTTTTGCTGGTACACGATAGACACGCTTGCCTCTGACTAAGTCTGAGCCATGTGCCACTCACCAGCTCGTCGCTTGGCTTCCTGCACCCGGTTGCATGGAGCTACAAAGTACAAGTAGGTCGTACCTCACAGCCTTGTGAAGTACAATTGTAGTTTTGGTACCAACACAAACAAATTAAAAAAACACGCCAAGTTTCGCTTGTCGGAGGTAGTAATTTCTTTACTAGTTGAGGGAATGGAAAACGGAAAAATCTGAACTAGAAAAATTGACTGTCACCACCAGGACTCGACCCAGGGACCTTGGCTTGAGGCCAGCGATGCTCTGACCACTGAGTTATGGTTAAAAAATACAAGCCTTACTTCTGCCGCTTCCAGCGATCGACCCCGTGCGACGTAGTGAAGAAAGGTCTTGCCAGCCTCGTCCACCTGAGTAACGTCAATAGTGGCCAAGTTGAAAACGAGATCAAGCATAGCTTTCACCTACACACACACACACATGGCAGACATCATACAGGGGAGAAAATTGCACAAAGGTGGCTCGGGATATGGAAAAAGCAACTGACTTCTGTGATATTCATCAGTGTTCTGCCGTGATACGTGGATTTTCTCACTGGCAAGAAGCTAGTTTGCTAGCTGTACGAGTAAATATCGAGACAGTGTAACTTTCTGAGTTTGAGTTTCAGTGAAGTGCGATTTCAAAGACGGTGGGTCGAGCAGAGTAGTGCAAAATTCCAAGTAAAAGCAAAATAACTCTGCATGGAGTGTCAATGACTTGCACACCGCTTACTTCCAGCGGACACGTGAAAGTGCACAAACAGTGACACACACACACACACACACACACACACACACACACACACACACACGCACGCACGGCATACTCACCTCCAAACCCAGGGAAGACTTTTCCAGCAAGAAGAACAGAGCATTCTCGGCTGACCCTTTCTCCGCAATGAGTCGCTTGACCCGGCATTGGTGTAGAGCCTGTTCGTACGGAAGTCCTTCGTTCTGCCGAAGGCACTCCACCTGGGGAAGCGAAGACACACAAACATTACCACAGGGATTGTTGGAAGTGAATTATAAGGAGTGGTAGCAGGGGGAACCTCAGCCTGGGCTCCGTTACCCTGCTTATACGACAATGCATGGCATGCGCTCAATAAGCAGTGTAGAAATAATTAATTATCTCTTTAATTTACTTCAGTAACACTTCCACCACCACATTGAAAACAGCGTGGACATTGTTGAAAATTCCCCAGTCTAAGTGATGGATTGCCACTATCAACCGTGTAACAAGTTCAGTGAAGCTTGCCCTAACTGCCCTTGGTGCATCGGAAACTGTCCTGATACGACAGGATTCCGCTCGATACAGGTGTCCTGCGAACACAGGTTGTGCTTTAGTTCTGTAACAGGCTAGAGCACATACGGGCAGTCAAACCTGTACTTTCCCACCCACCTCCTGTAGGAAGGTTGCATCACTGTCGTCGTCAAACACATCCTGTGCCGACACGGTGTTGGACCTCTTGTCCGGACTTCCGGCTTGGTCACCGGCGGGTCGCGACGGCATTATGTTACGTGTCAGACGTGTTAGGCCTGACCATCGTCAAACACACACGCACGCGCACACACGCAAACAAAGAAACACGTGCACGCGTGTACACACACACACACATACGCGTACACATACACACACAACGTACGCACGCATGCACACATACACACACACAACCACACACACAGACAGTCACAGACAGTCACAAAAACACATATTATGCAAGAGCAAACCGCACGAGTGCATGACTGTACACATATACCAACACTGCAACCCCCCCCCCCCCCCCCCATTGAGCTCATTTTATAATATTTGTTTGAGTTTCAACAAGAAGCCAGTTGTAAAGTCAAGGGATTCCGTGTGCTGTTAGAGAGTGTGAGTCGGACACGCGGAGGCTGTGCACGCATGGTCACGTGTACTGGTTTCCTGCATTCATGCCTGGAGTAGTCTGGCTGTCATGTTCATTGTTGTGCTGTGTTACGGTCACGCGCGTCGGCATCTTAGTGCACGACAAAGCTGTCTGCTTACGCTCTCTTTGTACGCATCCATGTCAGGCGATAGAGCGGCCCTCATTTCCATGGGTCGACGTTTCACATGAGCCTTTTATGCCGCCCTGCTGTGCCTTTTATGTTGCCCTGCTGTGTTACATACCATGGTGCTTTTCCTTTCGGCCGAGTCTTCTTTTGTTAGTAAGTTGGAAACACAAGGTAGTATGCAATGCGAGTTGAGCCTGACGTGAAACAGTCTAGAATCCAGTAAAGCGAGCCAGACAGAGAGCTGGCCAGAGGCGAACATAACATGAGCCAGAGCACGCTAAAATATGACCACAGACCAAAAATTCGATTTTCAGTTTTTTGTTCAAAAATGATCAAACACACCTAATGTTCACTATCTGACAGTTTTGGATTGATCTGACATGTCTAAGTGGTGCTACAATGGTATTATATGCAGCACTGTTGAAATGGTGAAATTCTATGTACAGCAATGGGATTGTCATTTTTGCACACAGTTGATATGTCCATTGGTTCATCCTTTCTGGGTCAGTTCCTCTGTCCAGGGTCTTATAGCATGAGCTGACAGGTACTGCGCCACATCCAACATTTCTATAGGCACCGAGCTGGGTGTCCGAAATACCTCCTGTGTGGAGCACCATTGGAGAACCGCCAGCGAAAATACGGTCAACATCTGTAGATGGCTGAAGAAGTTGGCACTCCACGTCCTCTCCATCACATTCCACCTGTACTTTCAGATATACAGTATACACTGCTGCACACAGTTTTCCTCAACATACTTGACGTCGCACTCATATTCCCCACACCAAAGCCCATCTGCACACAGTTTTCTCCGCTCGCCAGAGAGTACTGCTTTCGCTGCCTACTGCTCGTGCTAGCGATGTTCCGCATAAGGTTACTCAAATTATCGACTTGAGCAAGTTGAAGCAGCAGAGTCCATCGATTGTTTTTGCACTTGCAACCAATACTGGCATTGTCCCGGATATGTGCAGCGATGTCCGTTCTGGCCAAATCATCGGCCGACTCACCTCCCAAGTCAGTGTCGATGCCAATCGCTTGCCAGGTTGTCATCAGAGTAGAATTCCTCGTCACTGCAGATCGTGGGACTACCAGCATCAATTATTTTACAGTCGATGAAAGTGTCACCCTCAAATGACTCGTCGCTGTAGCCATCATCGTCTTCCTTCTGTTTCCGACCCGAATCCTCAAAATATTTTATCCTGCGCATGGAGTGCGAGGATGTCGTCTTCTTCCGCTCCGCAGTACATTACTACTACTAGGCTCTTCCGTCGATACATCGATGACGATCAGTTTTAGGCGACTCAGCGCAACATGGAATACAAACTCAAACAAATAAACTTACTTGCAACAAAGAAATGCATCCGGAACAGTCCAGTCGACCGAGGAGAACAACAACAGCGACTCGTGTTGCACTGCATTTCGTATTTTTTGCCGCGGAATTCAAATCACGATTTTCTCGACTTTTTCCAAAAAAGCTGTGGTCATGTTTTAGCGTGCTCGGGCTCACATGGCGCAGTGAACAGTTTTGTGTAGTTATAGTCCGCAGCTTGAGCCTACATGTAGCAGCACCCCGCTGTGTCGGTGATGGGCAAGAAGAAGCAAGAGGCAAACAGCCAGCACGGCGTCCTTCAGTGAGGACATCCATGCATACGCGCCACCGGCTTGGCTTCTACCCCTTCTACAGCAGATGCAGGATGACAGCCGACGATGGGAGGAGGCAGGATTACAGCCGACGATGGGAGGATGCAGGATGACAGCCGACGATGGGAGGAGGCAGGATGACAGCCGACGACGGGAGGAGGCATTGCTGGATAAATTGCCAGTTCACCCACGACGTGATCCGGCGTCTTTTTCCGCCGATACAGACGAGCTGGGAGTCCAGCACCCCCATCGGATTTTCATAACATGGCGCAGTCAACAGGATTGTGTGTGTGTATAGTTCGCAGTTTGAACCTACGTGTAGTACCTCGTTGTGAGTGATGGGCGATGGGTGTTGTCTTCCGCTGATACGGACGAGCGTGTGTCCTGCACCCCCGTCGGGTTTTCTGACTCGCCTCACCCAGAGGTTAACGCTTGCGGGCGTATGACGAAGGAATCTATTAGCATTATTGGACGGGTGACCAACGCCAAGCCTCCCCCTGAGTTACACTCTAGAATCTCTCTGCACCATTTCTCTGGGTGGCGAGCCCGGTGGGAAGATTATGTCACCCTAATCCGATTGGACAGATTAAGTATCCGTATCCGTGAGCAGTAGGCACATTTGCGTACGTGCCTTACGAGTAACATGCGTGGCCACTCTGGAGCACGCCATTAATATTGGCTCGTGTGTGTGCGTGTCCGTCACGGATATGCTGGACGCCATCCATGGATTTCGCAGGAGCCAGTGCAACGTTGCCTTGGACAGTACAGTGTTTGCGGAGCGTCGGCAGGAGGCAGGCGAGTCGTTCGACGACTTCGTAGTGGCCCTCAACGCCTCTCCAAAGAATGCTGAACTTTGCGATTGCTGTATGGAGCAACAGATGGTTACCAGATATATGTGTGGGGTGCGTTGCTTGGAGACGTGCCGTAAGTTACTGCCTGTACACCCATGCCCCTCGTTTTAAAAATCTATCATGGATATCTGCCGTTCGCAGGAGGCAGCCGCCAAAGACAACGCCATCTTGTCAACCTCAAAGTCACCGGAGATTATGGTACAGGCAGCAAAGACTGAGGCAGAACCCCAAACCCGGCGCCAGTACTGTGGGGGCATCCTGCATTGTGGCACCAGGAATTGATTGGCACTTTTCCCTTACCCCCCCCCCCCCCCACACACACACACACAAAATCACATGTCGCTGCGGAAACGCATATCTTACAGAATGTGCCGTCTTTCGCACCCATTTCCTCCCCAAGCGAACACATAACAAAGCGTACCCTGGACGACACATTCCACCTGCTTTTAAGAGTTTGACAATATACGAGTACTGTACAACAGCCACCTAAATCTGAGCTGAAGTTGAAATTGAAATCATGATGTTTAGTTCACTGCCCGGGGGGGGGGGGGGGGCGTCACAGGCCCGGGGGGGAGGGGGGCGTCACAGGGCAGTGGGGGGGGGGGGGGGTGTCCCGCGGAGGAAAAAAAATCGGATTTTTCGGTCAACTGTGTTCTACAGGTGCTCTGGGCGGACGGACCATCCTGGATGAAAAGTGGTACATGACCATGGTCGTACTGACCGTGCTGTGTGTGACGTCCCTGCTACCACTCTCTCCCAAATGAACTACAGTGAAACCTGTCAAGAGACGTTCAAAACCTTGTCTCTGTTACCAGGTGGTCTCCTTATCCAGGGTCATTGGACTGGAAAAAATAGCATCCCTTGGTCCTGGTTGCAGTGGTCTTCTAGGACAGGTGGTCGCCTTATCAAAGCGGTCACCTTGACATGTTTTACTGAATACTAGTATCCATTAGAGGGATGGGCCACTTTTCACATTCGCTATGACCCGTAAGAGAAGGCGATTCGCACGCACTGTGAACATGCAGCACTGTACATCAGGTATGCCGGCTTCATGTCAGAACGCAGCTTTGTCTGTTTGTTTGTATGACTGTGTGTGTACGACTCAGGGGCGGATCCAGAGATCTCTACAGGGGGTTCCAGTTTAGCCAAAACTGAATAGCTGATACATGTACATGCATACTGGTTCCCAGTAGTACATCAGCAACATTTAGGGGATCCCCCCCCCCGGGATCCGCACCTGACTCTAAACAATATTCAACATCAACAACAATAACAACAACCACCCCTGCCCGTAAGTAGTCATTAACCCCTAGGCCCTGCCCACCCAATTCTTCCTCACTCTTTCTCCTTTCTTACACTATTATCTCTTATTGGCCACTGGCTATCGTGAGAATAAAGATTTGAAACCAATGTTCAGCAGCTGACTTACCCTTAAACAGCCCTTTCCTGCTCTTGGCTTTCTTGCCCTCATCGCTGATAGAGTATGATATAGCATTGGCACGCTGGTACTCGGTGATGGGAGCTAGCGTTGAGAACTGAGCAATCAAATGAGAGAGAGAGAGAGAGAGAGAGAGAGAGAGAGAGAGAGAGAGAGAGAGAGAGAGAGAGAGAGAGAGAGAGAGAGAGAGAGAGAGAGAGAGAGAGAGAGAGAGAGAGAGAGAGAGAGAGAGAGAGAGAGAGAGAGAGAGAAAGACAGACAGACACAGACAGACACAGACAGGCAGAGACAGAGAGATAGAGTTGGAGAGAGAGGCACACACACACGCATCCACATGGGTATAATTAGGGGCGAAAGTTGTCAGGCCGAGTTTGGGTGGAGAACTCGGATTTCCTCTGAAAGTTTGAAGTATTCGACCAGTATAATTATTATGTCATCTGTCTATTGCTGTATCAATGCATGGCCTAGACTTCAATCTCCACCCATTGCATGCTCTGCAAGTGTCGAATACAGAATAACAACATGTCAAGGTGATCAATCTGACAAGACGCGACCACCTTCCTCTGAGAACCACTACAAGAAGGAGCAAAGGAACAGACCCTGAGGATAGGGAGACTAACCACCCACACACAGCAACTACATTAGGAAGGTCTCCTAAATGGTCTGCTTAGACAGGTTTCACCGTACATGTAGAGGGAATTGTTCACCAGACCAGGGGCGTCGGACACGGTCGGTACGGTCACTGCTGCACCCATGCCAGGTGGCCAGGTGTTTATTTTGAGTCTCCACCCGCAACGCAAACACCCCCCCCCCCCCCAAAAACACACGCACGCACACACACACACACACACACACACACACACACACACACACACACACACACACACACGAAACACGGGGCTTCTGTTCCGAGTCGCATATAGCGTGCAAAGTTAGAGCGATGTTGGATGATGAACACTAGACATTGCTAGAATTTTAGCGTTCAACGGTACTCGCACCTAATACCCAAAATACCGTCGGTGTGGTATCGTTTCGACGATAGAAAGCTCTGTTTAGCGGGAGACCGGAACGGTAAGATTTCGACTAGGGTTACGTCAGAAGTCGATCGTTGTGTCAAAAACCGAAATGCTAACCATGTCTTGAAAACACACCAAAAACGGTACAGGTCGACGGTCGAAGTTAGCGTGAACGGTAAAATGCTAACCATGTCTTGAAAACACACCAAAAACGGTACAGGTCGACGGTCGAAGTTAGCGTGAACGGTAAAAAATGCTAACCAAACACACCAAAAACGGTACAGGTCGACGGTCGAAGTTAGCGTGAACGGTAAAATGCTAACCATGTCTTGAAATCACACCAAAAACGGTACAGGTCGACAGTCGAAGTTAGCGTGAACGGTAAAATGCTAACCATGTCTTGAAATCACACCAAAAACGGTACAGGTCGACGGTCGAAGTTAGCGTGAACGGTAAAATGCTAACCATGTCTTGAAATCACACCAAAAACGGTACAGGTCGACGGTCGAAGTTAGCGTGAACGGTAAAATGCTAACCATGTCTTGAAAACACACCAAAAACGGTACAGGTCGACGGTCGAAGTTAGCGTGAACGGTAAAATGCTAACCATGTCTTGAAATCACACCAAAAACGGTACAGGTCGACAGTCGAAGTTAGCGTGAACGGTAAAATGCTAACCATGTCTTGAAATCACACCAAAAACGGTACAGGTCGACGGTCGAAGTTAGCGTGAACGGTAAAATGCTAACCATGTCTTGAAAACACACCAAAAACGGTACAGGTCGACGGTCGAAGTTAGCGTGAACGGTAAAATGCTAACCATGTCTTGAAATCACACCAAAAACGGTACAGGTCGACGGTCGAAGTTAGCGTGAACGGTAAAATGCTAACCATGTCTTGAAATCACACCAAAAACGGTACAGGTCGACGGTCGAAGTTAGCGTGAACGGTAAAATGCTAACCATGTCTTGAAAACACACCAAAAACGGTACAGGTCGACGGTCGAAGTTAGCGTGAACGGTAAAATGCTAACCATGTCTTGAAATCACACCAAAAACGGTACAGGTCGACGGTCGAAGTTAGCGTGAACGGTAAAATGCTAACCATGTCTATTGACTGCGTGTGACACATTGTATAAACAAATCTCACCGCTCCTGATGGATCATCGTCATCCTCCTCTTCAACGATCACATCGAAGTCTACTGATGTTGCAGAAGAGGATGTGGCATTGCCGGATGATCCTGGCGCTGGGCATTGTCCTCCTCTGCCTCTGACTCCTCTTCTTTTCTTCCGCAGAGGGTTGTGAATTATTACGCTGCTCGTTGAGCTTGTGCTACCCGAGCTTTGACTGCCGCTGACACTACTAAATGCGCTGCCAGCGAGCGCCTCCCCTCCGGAAGACGACGACCGCGCCCCACTGCCTGGCCCTGGCCCTGGGCGATCGCTAGCGCTGTTGTGACGCGACTCGTCCGAGCAGCTCGCACCGCTGGTACTGGAGAAGTGCTGACGGAGAGCTGCCTGAATCCGTGACAGCTTGTTGTTCTCCGCTCCATCACCGGCGATCGCCGAATCCGCTGGGAAAGCACCGCCAGCCAGCTCTGCATCGGCAAAGCTACCGTCGTCCAGAACGGCACGACGATTAGCGGAAACGTAACTGCTGTCGGACGCAAAGCCAGCGCGCTGCTGCTGATCTTCATGATCGTTACCTGCTGCACCTGATCGTCCGCCAGCGGTCTCAAACGCGGCCGCCACGAAGCTCGTCTCTTCCATCTCGCAGCAGCTACAGCTAGCTGGTAGATAGAGATCCGTGCGTCTGCAACACGTCTTCCGACTCTCCACTCTAGGAACCTCACACTACTTAGTAGGCGACCTCCACTCTGTGTGCTGAACAATCGCTGGTGAAAAGGTTCTGGACACACGCAACGATCGCAGTGATCGGCAGCGATGATGTCCTTTGAAACCCCTCCGCGCTCCAGCACAGCAGGAGGATGGAAGAAGAGAAAAAAAGAAGAGGAGAAATCCTTGATCCTTGATCCTTCGCAGCATGAACGAAACACGCGTGGGCTGGACGTCTCGTGCGCCAGCTCCAGTAGCTAAACTAGACTAGAGCCGAGGTGATCATGGTGATCGATCGTGAGAGGCAACTGTTGCTCGTTCGAAACGCAACTGCACAAATAAATACTCAACAGGTCATGTTGAAGATCACCACACTGATTTCGGTAGCGTGATACGAATGCTGCATTATCATGATTATGCAGGTCAGGATAGGACAGAAGAAAGCAGACACCGCAAAGATCGGCTGCTGTAGTGAACGCTGACTACGTCCAGAGACCAGGAAAAATCCAATCCCAAAATATCGTGTCACATGAAAAGCAGGACGAGATGATTGAGCCACTCACGTGATTACACAAGTCGAAGTTTATTGGAATATTGGAGGGGGCTTGATGCTTTGTTCACTTCAGATTCAGAAGTGCATGGGGAATAAATAAAATTACTTGTTTCAAGTACATCTACACGATTAGTACAAGCAAGACAAGAAGTCAAGAACGCATCATACACATCAGAGCAGGGAGTCGTATGGTATTTTACCACTCCCTGCATCAGAGTGCCTACACAATGATGTGCAGAGTACCGGGTACGCGGGTGTCTCTCTTGTTATTAGGCTGCATATGCCTGTTTTGATTTCCACTATTAATAAAGTATACAACAACAACAACAACAACAACAACAACAACAACAACAACAACAACAACAACAACAACAACAACAACAACAACAACAACAACAACAACAACAACAACAGTACACATTGGACTTCCACATAGTGCCATTTAATACAGCTGTCCACACCAACAACATCGGGTCTTACGAATGCGAAGACAAAACACGCCGGCGGCAAATGACAAAGTCACACGCGGCGGTCCGGCCTGGTAGGCCTCGTAGGCGTGTGAGAACTCAACGCATAGAAGTGGACTCAACTTGGGCAGGGCTATTCTTATAAGTAAGGGCGAGGCTATTCCAGTCGCAATAATGCTCTTGTTGTACGCGCACTGTGTCGCCATCATCATGAACGGAAAGAAAGAAAGAGATCGGTAATAAATTGGAAATACTTTGATGTACGACTAGTACCTCATAGAACAAGGAGACAATGCAAAATAATTGTGCATGCCAGAAAGTGATTCTCTCTCTCTCTCTCTCTCTCTCTCTCTCTCTCTCTCTCTCTCTCTCTCTCTCTCTCTCTCTCTCTCTCTCTCTCTCTCTCTCTCTCTCTCTCTCTCTCTCTCTCATGAAACCGAATTAGCAATGTCAATCTAAGAGAGAAGCAAACGGCGCTGGTGACAGCCAAAGAATAATAATTTTAGTAGAGAATGGAGGGGGGGGGGGGCACGGGACCAGTGACTGTTCAAGCGGTCACGAATCAAGCCAACTGAGAGCTTTCCGTTCTAGCAGCGTCATTACTGCTCCTGCAGAGCTGCTGCTGCTGCTACCTCTCCCCTTGGTACCGGACACTCCATGCTGAGCTGACTCAGTTACTAGCTGCTCTGCTTTTCGGAGGGCTTGTCCTTGCTGAATATTACAGTGTGGTTGTTTGCTGGCATTGGAACCTAAACAGACACAGACACAGGCACACACAGACACACACAGACACACACAGACACACACAGACACACACAGACACACACACACACACACACACACAGAAACATAAATGTGGGCGTGGGTGTGGTGCGATAGGAGTGAGCTAGAGATCATGCACACAATGTGGATGCGTGCGTAAGGCTACATACATGTACATGCTCCGCTTCATGTTGCTACATGCAAGCTTCGCTTCATTTGGGGACAATCATGGAATACTCGAACTGGTCTGTAAGTACACAAATTTTCGGCCCATTCAAATTTCGGCCTTCCAGGGCTAAAACCCATTTCGGCCGCATCAAATTTTCGGCTTGTACCGCTGCCGTCTGTGTACACTGTCACACTGAAAACTGCAAAACAAAATTTCGGCTGCAAATTTTTTCGCCAAACATGACCAGGCAGGCCGAAAAGAGCCAAAAACAAATATGCGCCGAATATTTGTTGACTTTATACAGTAGAGAGAGAGTGACGGACAGACAGGCAGATAGATAGACAGACACACAGGTAGATATGCAGATATACAGGCACACGGGAAGATACGCTGACACACAGACACACGGGAACTAAGAAACACAGAGAGAGAACCATGGTTCGCCCGACAGAGGAAACTCACCGCTTTAACGAACGTCAGTCCAACCTCCTTGCCGAGAGCCTTGATATCGGCTACATCTCTGACACCCCACTCAGGATTACTACAGAGCAGAACATAACCGCGTCAGTACACTGCATTAACGTGACTAAGAATGGGCTGCACTAGAACACCTTAAAGAGACCTACTGTCGAACACTGGAAGGATTCTCTCACAGTTACAACAGCAGCTAGCAAAGTGCACAAAAATAGCTTCAGTCAATATGTACTAATAACAAGGCAACTATTTCGTATCTGGCTTGCAAGTTTTCAGTTTCGGAGAGCAAAGAGCAGTACGAGGCATGTGGCCTCTAATTTCCTAATACTTTGAAATTCTCCGTGAAGTCCAAATTTGAATTTGCAATGATGACTGTTGGTTTATTGACTCTAAGAAAAAAACATTTTTTAAACCAAAACATAAACTTGAATTTGTAGCCGAGAGACCGTTTTTGAGTAGTGGTGCACACCCATAGGAAAAGTTGGAAAACATAAACAGCCGGCGTCCACCACAACAACGAGGCACGCAAGAGCCATCCATCACAGTCACAGAGCAATTCATAATCACAGTAGTTGGTAGAAAGTGCAAAACACCATCATGCTTGTGCTTGGGCTCTTGCTCAGTAGCCAACAACACAACTTCAAGATTGTGAAATCAAATGAAAGGTGAGGAGGGAAACAGAAAACCTTTTAAAGAAGCAAAGGAAATGATTGCAACTCTAAACACTTTGCATGCACCAGGCTTTTCACACTTACGTCGGGGGATATCGTAGATGCTGTGGCGGAGGCGGCCATGACCGGAACGCAAGAACAAGATTCGCCAAAAAACCGAGGCTACGGAAAACGACATGCGTGTACGCCGCGGAGAGTCCGTGGATACTATGTACATTGTACATGTACGCCGCTCCGCTTGTTTTTGGGCCATGGCTGGGTGACAAAGGCAGGCACTGTCGACCTAAAACGTGAATGTGCTGGCAGAAATACACATGCGTAGAGAGTTTCGATGCTGGCGCAAATCAACGCTACACCATGGCTGATTACAACGCACATTATGACGCGCGCCAAACAGACCAGGCGGGCATGTAAGGTGAAGCTTGTGATCAGGCACGCAGGGGCGTTTTCTCACCGTGTCCATTTGCTTGTAGATGATCGGATTGCGAAGGCGCAGAAAAGTACAGTCAAGCGTGTGCAAAATAACGAAAAGACATTTCAAAACGCAATTCCGGGGAAATGATTCTTCAAAGCACAAGTGTGAAAAGCCTACAGAACCACTCCCCGAGCCAGGGACTAGTAGGGTTGCAGTTTCATACCAGCGTGAGTGACTCGTTTTCAGTAAATCTAGGATTGAATCCCGACATTGCGGCAGCGGTACTGGGGCACCAGTGATGCAAACACAGGAACAGCACAGTGCTGGGCTACAAACACGGAATTCAGTATAGGAACACCGCAGTGCTGGCTGGAACACTGGTGAGGCTCGATATCATTCGCCACAAGCACTGAATTCAGTACAGGGCTGAGATACTGGTGCAGCTGGATTTCATTCGCCACAAACACTGAACTCAGTACAGGGCCGGGGATACTGGTGGGGCTGGATTTCATTCGCCACAAACACTGAACTCAGTACAGGGCCGGGGATACTGGTGGGGCTGGATTTCATTCGCCACAAACACTGAATTCAGTACAGGGCTGGGATACTAGTGCAGCTGGATTTCAATCGCCACAAACACTGAATTCAGCACAGGGCTGGGATACTGGTGGGGCTGGATTTCATTCACCACAAACACTGAATTCAGTACAGGAGCACCACGGTGCTGGCTGGGATATTGTTGTCACCACGTGGCTGGATGTTATTATTAGCCACAAGAACTGTCAACCAGAAACATTTTTGCACTAACCTGTTGACGAGTGTTCGGTGGAACTGGATATTGCTATCCGGCTCCAGTACGCCATCGAACGCAAACGGCTGTCAACAGGGAGGGAGGGAGAGAGAGAGGGAGAGAGAGAGAGAGAGAGAGAGAGAGAGAGAGAGAGAGAGAGAGAGAGAGAAGAGAGAGAGAGAGAGAGAGAGAGAGAGAGAGAGAGAGAGAGAGAGAGAGAGAGAGAGAGAGAGAGAGAGAGAGAGAGAGAGAGTACAGGAGAACATCAGCCATCAATGGTGCGGACAAACATGGCATGGATCGCATTCCAAACTATGAGCAAGACCTGAGCTGCTCAGAAGCACAGGGATAAGCAGCTATCAGACCGCTCGTCTCTGCCACAGGTTAGCCGCTTAGATAGCAGGTACACAGTGACTTGAAACGGTTGTGAAGAGGATACTTTAGAGGACATTTGCTATCACGAGTGCATGGAATGTAGAGTGCACAACAAATAGAATGGAAAGGTCTGCTGCCACGCCGAGTTTCACGTTGACACAGGATCATCATCAGGCAAATAGTGGATCAAAACAAGTGACCTGAGCTTAAGGGGGTGAGATGAGGAGGTGTAAAAATGGGAAATAATCTGGCACAAACCACACACCCAAATACACACACATGTATTATGCAAAAAAGGCCAGGAGGTCGGAGCCATACAGCAGCAGATCTCGCACAAGGTGCGCTACAATTACATAAGAGAGCTTTGTTGGGAACAAGAAATGCAGCGCTGATGAGGGTAGGTGCTAAAAGCACACAAAGAAGAAACAAATATTAGAGAGGTGATGTGCCTGCAGAACTATTTTCGCGCGAACTCAGGGACGTTACAAAGATCGAACTTGCTTTTCTCGCAGCTAGAGCACTCTGACTTTAACACGTTGGAAAAAAAGCTGCTCTGTCCAACATATTTCAATGCGAGATTGGTCCAGTTAGTTATAGTGAGCTCTGCCGATGAGACGTAAGGAGGTTGAAGCAGTTAGCTGTTTGGATAGAGTAAAGGTTGATCCGTGTACATTGGACATTTTGCAACGCATTTTTCTCACCTACACACATGTTGCTCAGCGAACGGCAAACATTTCTGAAAAAAAAACCGATTTCCACCGCGTCGACCTGCATACGCAACATGCACAAGTTCACGCGTTCATGTTGAGTGCATCTTGTAACCTCTCTAGTGGTGAGCTTGGGTTTGGACGGATATAACGTTACTAACTTACCCCATAGATGAATAGGAGACCGCCAGGCTTCAACAGCTGCCCGGAACCACGCACAAACCCCTGCAAGATGCAACGGCATGAGGCAGAAGAACAGAACAGAAGAAACAACATACTAAAACAACACAAGGAAGACGTCATGAGCAGCATGGTCTAGACTGTGCAAGGGGCTGTCCGTTAACAAACCATGTCTTTTCCAATACAAAAACAAACAAACAATATTTTGAAATTCAGGGGGGGGGGGGGGGGATTTTAAAGAACTGTTCTTTTCATTAACGAGTTGCAAAAGAATGGTGTTGTCCCGTAGAAAATAGATTGGCACAACGGGCAGCACACAATCATGTCATAATAATTATGTGTGTTCTTCAAGAAGGGGGGGGGGGGGGGGAGAGAGAGAAAATACAAAGCTTCGTTTTATAGAGACGTAAAGATATCATTCTGGGATTCTTCTAAATCACATGCGAAACAGAGAAAGGTTGTCCATGTTCAGCTATCATGCACCGTGCCTCAGGATTTCTCTAACTGCCTATACCCCTCTCAACTACCAGTTCCCCACCGAGCGGCCATAGGACTGTCCGTGAACCAGACGCGCGGCACATACCTCGCAGACATTGAATGGCGCAATGTGTATCATATTGGAGCATACGATGACATCATAGTTGCGGTGCGGTGTGTTCCACATGCTGACTGGACTGGTGCAATCGAGCAGGATCGGAGCGCGCACATTGGGCAGTTTAGCGACGTTCTTGCGAATACTACACAAGCACAACAGAACACAAGACGGGCAATATGCCAAAGGTCACTAACCTGTACAAGATCATTTTACTATTCATAGATGTAGATGCATGCATGTGTACACTAGTATGCGTGTGTAATATGCGTGTACACACGCACACGCATGCACACACACACACACACCACACGCACGCACGCACGCACGCACACACACACACACACACACACACACACACACACACACACACACATGCCCATCGCGGAAGCGATGACAGCGAACAGCTATGTTAGACATAGCAACTTGTGCTGGGATTGCACCATTCAACAGCTTGCAAGGCTGATGAATTGACCGCCACTATTTTTAGCCTGGTACCCACCACACAGCTGATTGAAGTGACTTTTTTTCTGGCCAGTGAATCCCTATTTTTCATTTTTCCATTTTTCTTTTACTTCTTCTTTTCTTTTTCGACACACACACACCACACCACATACTCCGGCATACACTGGCTGTTGGTAACCACCCAGGGGAATGAAAGAAGAGCTAGGAGAATGAGAAAGAGAAGAAAGACGTGTGCGACCATAATCGTCGGGAATTGAAGCAACCTTTCGATTGGAAATCGACTGCACATACCACTGCACCATAAGGGACACATATGCACACACATACACACCATGTACCATGTATATGCCCGTCGCAAGAGAAGCACGCAAATCTGCAAGTGCACTGGATGTGTACCCACAGATTTTCTCTTATAGCAACGATAGCGAACAAGATCTGAATGAGACAGATCAAGACTTGCGCCGGATAACTGTCGAATCCACACAACTGGCGAAGCCATGTGAATCGACCACCAATGAACACCTGGTCTACACCACACCGAGTACATCGGCATAAAATGACACACACACACACACACGCATACACACACATACACAACATGCTTGAAGGGCAGGGGGGAACACCCAATTCCTGCTCTGTTCCTGTGGTTGACACCAACACAAAGGACAGGAAGCTACCCGGCCACACTGAGTATCGTCACACCGCTGCAACAGGAAGTACTTCAGAACAGCTCTGTTACTTCATGAACTACAGCACTCCTCCACAGCATACTCTTGTATGCACTGGCATCAAGTGTGTGTGTGGCAGGCGTGCCCATGTCTGACAGCACCCATACAGCAATAGACTACACTATACATCACATGTACTAACTCCTGAGGAGACCAGCACCACATGTGCCAGGTGTGACGGTACTCTCACACACGCATGCACGCACGCACACGCACACACACACACACACACACCAATACTGGCAATAGTAGTACCAATTGCTGTACAATCATGTACATACTGTACAAGCAGAAATATTCGTCTGGAATTTAATTTCGTCTTTTTCGTCCAAGGAGCTTTTGGACTAAATTAAATGTAGGACGAATATCGATTTGTCCAGCTTTTCTATACACTCTTATGATCCATGGACGAAATTTTCAACCGGACGAACTTCTTTTCTTTGGAGTTGGACGAAATTATTGACCGACGAAATTTTCTGCCTCTACAGTAGTACTTCGAAGCACAGTCGTGCCCAGAGAACCGACCCACGAGCCGAAAGCAGCAACCCTGCGACCCTCAGATGGGATTTTTTGGACCGTGCATTATGTAATTTAAATGTTACTTTTGACTCGCGGGTCGGATGTCTTTGGCCACAACTGCACTGTACTACACACTATACAATGTACATCTATTTCATGCATTGCTTTAAGGCGCTCCTCGAATCCCTTTGCACTGTTCATATCCCCAATTCATTACCTCGAGCTCAACACATAATATTATGTTAGGCACCCTGTAAATGTTGCCAGGAATGCCCAAGTGTCCCCGTGGCTGATGCTACATGACACGACTGTCACACAACACGTTCACATCCTCCAACAAAGACCGGCATCATGACAGGTGGTCTTGGAGAAACATGGCTCGTAAACTGTACGTCTAGAAGCAAGACGACTTGGCCTTGCATACTTTCAGGACAGTATGAGAGGGTATGAGAGTCAGAGGTTGTAACGTTGGACATGGTTCACTGTTTAATTAAACTAGTTTTTTTTGCTAAAATGCCAATGGTACACAATTTCTCGGATCTTATCCACACAATATTCACAGGATCTCAAGGCATATTTTTAGAAGATACAGGCATTGTTCACCCGTAGGGTTCCATGATTAAAAATGTGACTGGGATGAGGGTAGGTGGCCCTTTACAGAGCAGCCTGCAAGCATCCAGTCTGACAATCCACCGGGGGACACAACCAGGGCAGCAATGCAAACTGCCTTGTCGACAGCGTACACACCTAGCGCTAAGTATGGCCTGAGGCTACACTTAGAGTTCCGCCAATACCCGGGCTGGCCAAGGATGTACGTGACAGCAAGCCATACACACAGGGTTGGCGTATCCTTGCATCGTGCCAGACCTTGCTACAGTCTTTCAAAAATAGAAAAAAGACTTTCGGGCACAAATGAGGCATATCAAACTATTTATTTACAGTACTGCCCAATGAAACCCGATCAAACGAGTCAGCGCCACCCTGGGCGCAGACCTGCGAACACTGCGATGTGAACTGGGTGCAGGGCGCAGACTTGAGCAATTTTGAGCAGCACCGTGCCTAGAATAAAAAAAAAACCCGCGAAGACCGAGGTACTCGTACGTGAGTGAGAAGACTCCCTTGACAAGATGAGTCTCCAAAAAGCAGTATACATCCTTTAAAGTTCAGTTTGACAATCTACAGCGGAGCAAACCCGGGGCAGCAATGATTTTGATTGATATTATATTTTCAAGGATTCGCCAGAGGCAAATGGATGCCTATCAAAGGGAGTCTCCTGGGGAAAGGAAGTGAAGGTGGCTGTTATGAGAGAGGGAGGAAGGGACATGACAAGGTGAAAAGATAAAAATAATACAAAAATGCAAGCTACCTCATCGACAATGTACATGTTTAGCACTAAGGCCCCGGTCACACCGAAACAAGCCACTTTGGGCTTGTTATCGCTGGCGCTCAGCTGGCTTGCGTGATCCCTGTGACGCGGTCACACCAGACCTTGAGTGCAAAGCTTGAATGGCTTGTTTTTCTTACCCGCCAAATTTTGAATATCTCGAAACACACCAATGTTTGCAAGAAACTGGAGAGCAGAACGTTCGCGATCTAAAACTGTACTTGTTCTAGTGTTCAGTTTTGATGAAGAAGCAAAGGAAGCCCGGATTCTGAATTGCGAAGTCGTGCTCTTTTTATTTGTTCGGTGTGCATGGACGCGATGGTTCGGGTGGTGTTTCCTGATGTCGAGCTTTCTGCCCCGCCGGTTGCTGTTATTGAACTCAGTTGCAATCCACTCTCTTCTTCGTACCCGGCTTTCTTCATGAATTCGGTCGTGAGTGTGGTGCCTTGTCTTGGCCTCAAACCACAGCTCCAACAATCTACGCAGCAGTCTAGAGGCACAGCGGCAGAAATCCATGGTCGTTGGACAAAATCCAAATCAAACTGAGTACAGTGTAGTTGGGGTAGACAGACTCACGGTCAAAACCAAAGGCACAGGGATAGCACGGTTCCACGGACACAAGAAAGAACATCAATATCAGTTCATCATGTCAACTAGCTACATGGTGTGCTCCGGAGCTCCAAGCGCACTCAGATTATTTTTTGAATTTCGGCTTTCAGCCGCTTGTACAAGCTGTGGCTGAAACAAGCCGGAAAAAAACGGCTGAGAGTCAGCCACGGCTGAAAGTCGCTTGTAGGACATTTTTCAGCCATTTCCATGGTAATAGTGACGTAAACAAGCGCTTGTTTCGGCTGAACGGCTGAATCGAGCTCGGTGTGACCGCGGCCTAAGCATAGCCTGGGGCTACACTTTATTTTCCGTGTGGCTTTGTCGGGGCACATGCCAGGGACTTTGCGGGGGATATCTCGAGCCACACACACACACACGATGCACGACTACATTCTGTTTCCTGTCCAAGCACATGGCACGTACAAACTGCCTCCCCGCTCGTTCAAGCAATTAGGAACTTAGACGGCACCATCCAGGTCAAGCGCAGGCACGATAATTAGACAAAACTGACAAAGTGGCTGATCAAAGTTTTAGTGAAAGACGAAGGCAGGTGAGCTAAGATTCTGCAGCTTAGCGCGTCCCAGAAATCAAGCCAGCCCAACAACCCAGCCAAGTACTCCAAGTAGTTACACAGTTTAGCAGGGTGCACACTACAGACCAACTGTCTTGACAGACCAGTCAAGCTAGGTCCCAGACTACTAGTATAGTACACTCGGATGTCTCTTATCCGGGCACCTTCCATATCAGTCAGACTAACTACGGTCCATTTCAAAAATTATAGATGCATAGTATAACAAATTTGCAAAAGCCAAATTTGAAATATTATTTCAAATTTGGCTGGAACGTTTTGAGAGTCGTTTTCGGAATTTTGCTCAGGTCCTTCCCCCAATTACTCTCGGAAAGATTTTTGAGCGATTAGATAACAAATGCCAAAGTTCGAAATTTTCATGCATAAGGTGATCACGGGTTTTACGTGGTATTGATGCTGGCCTCACGTTTTTTTGAAACCAGAGGTCTATAGTTTTGAAACGCACTGCACCTACTTAGAAAGACCAACATGTCTGGAGAGACCAGCTTTCTAGATGATGGATTGATGAATACAACTGACTGTACTTCAAAGTACAAACGGACAGGGGCGGAAACCGGGCACCTCTGTCCACTGGAAGCTGCTGGAGACCTTCCGCAATGTATGCGAAAGGGATGATCACGAGCCAAAAAGATGAAGAACATGTCCGAAAAAATATATACCAGCATTTTCATAACGGCTGTGGATATAGAGAATCAACTGGTCCCAAATCGGGGCAATTCTGAGATCTGGGTAGGCACCCTTGGGTCCAATCCAAAGCCACGCATACAGACCTGGCATGGAAAGACTGCCTGCACTCAATCAATCACTGCACAGTGAACAACGCAGCTTAGCTCTCACCTGCTTTAATTCAC